CTGACAAGTTTTTGTTGTTGCTGCTGCTGCTGCTGCCGCCAGCCGCTGATTTGCAGTTCTGTTGTAGTTTTTGTGTTGTATTTTCTTTGCCCTTTCAAATGATATAGCGGCTTTAGAAGGTTAACATGTGTGTGAGTGGAAGTTTGATCTACTTAAGGCCAGACGACAAAATACAGCAAAAAAAAAAAACACTTCTTTCTTTGTGTTTCTATATAAATTTTTGTTTTATTTTTTCTTGTTGTTGTTGTTGGCGCTCAATTATTTGCTTTGGGTGAGTCAGTTTTGTGAACTTTAGTTTTGGCCCGATGCCAGTGGATTTCCTTACTCGCTCATTGGTAGCCTCCACCCACTCTCGTAATCAGCCCCCTTCCTCGTATTGCTCAGCTAGTCCAAGGTCGTCGTCCTCCCACACACACACGCCACCCACCCACTCCACACTCCAATAAAATCGTCAGGCGACATCACCGTCAGTCCCCAACATCATCTGACTAAAAAATACATATATAGATGTAAGTAGCAGTGGTTCTAGGATATGATTTAAATATAAATATTATATAATATACGAGTATGGCACTCTAAGACCCCGACCAAAAAGCTTGGAACTTTATGATATAACATTAACCAAACTCAATCAATTTATTGGGCAATTTTGCAATCACAAGTTTTTTTCACAAAATTACAATAATCGTAAAGATTAAATGAAAAATTCAGCTAAGAAAACCATGGAATCAATAAAAAAAATGCATAAATAGCGTTTAAATTATAAATTAATTTTAACATATGTCCAAAATCAGCAAATTAATAACATATCAGAGAGACCAAATTCGATTCCCATAAAATATGCAATTTTTCAAAGCCGTATCATGTTCGATTTTTTATGTTTTTTATCCTCTTTTGAGAAATGTAAGATACCATCGGAATGCTATAAATCACCTTGCAGCTTAGTTTTATTTTATTTATAGCTATTAATTATACTATAATTAATTCACAGTCGTCGCTTGAGGTGGAGTTATGGAGATTTGATTATATTTCCTATAAAACGGCTAATAGTTTCCAAAATACAAACCACTGTCAATATGTACAGTCAACCCACTCAATGCTAAAACTGTCTTTTTGCATATTATATATAATATTTGTTGAATCTTAACTATAGAATGGCGGCGGCGCCGGTTCTCCTTTTGTCTGGCGTCTATTGATTTAGCCGTAAATGACGAAACGAAGCGAAACGAAGCGGAGACAAAGCGTCAAAAAGGAAACTCCGGCAAGTGCATTTAACCAAATGAGCGAAGGGAAACAGGCGGAAAATGCAGGGCGGGAGGTATAGAAATAGGGATAGTGCTGACATTTATGGCAACGACGCCTGATGGCCCGCTGATGGGATATGCCATAAGATGGAATGCAATGGCGGGGTGGCCGCCGATGGGTGGATGACAATGCATCAACAGCAGACAAAAGGAGCCAAAAGGGAATGGCCACAAAAGGAGTCAAACATTCATATGGTATGGTCTATATGTATGCAAAGGAGGGCGTTTAAAAAGGGAGAGGGGGGAGGTGGTTTGAAACTTTGGGTGGAGGCAACTCCATTCGAGTGCTGTTTTACCATTGTTGGCTCAATGGCTGAAAATGGATAGATAATAACTTGTGAAAATAACTTTTGCACTTGAACGAGATTTGAAATGTTGTTGTTCAATGGGGAGCACTCAACGGAGACAGAGCTGCATCCCATTTCACATACACCACACACACACACACACGGGGCACTGTCAAAATCATGGTACATGGTCCATGGTCCATGGTCCATGGTCCACGGTCTCTGCTCCACATTCGACACTGAAATTTCTGACAGATGCGAGTGCATCAAGTTCGGATGATTTCGAGAGTGGTGGTGGAGATCGAGATGAAGCTGCCTGGTAAAGGGGTGGAGTGTGGTTGTGGGAGTGTGAACTGTACTCCCCATTGAATGTTGTGGCCTGAAACGAAATCGTTTCGATTGTCGCTTCAAGTGTCATTGAACGTTTGGGTGGCATAAAAGAAAGAAAATATATATGAGGAATGAGCTGTGAAGGAGAACTCTCTTGGAAATACACTAAAAACAAAAAAATGAAACTGCATTTCTGTTACTAACAAAGTAATACTTTTAACACTCCACATAGGCTTGAATGTGATGTGTAATATTTTTCTAGTGCTTTAATCAACCTGATATTGTCGAGTATCTCTTGGATATGCAATAGATACTTGATATCTTGTTTCATTGACACTTTGAAGTATCCAACTTTGCTATTGATTCCATCATATCACCACCCCTCCCCCACCCAATATTTTGGTATTGTGAAACTTCATTCGCATGACCCAACATCTCTTTCGCTACGTTTGTAATTGTTAATTGAAAAAGTCAACAAAAAGATTGAATTCGTTACTTTTATAGCATATTTTTCATATTCACTGTTTAAATGGCCAAAGCTGTCTCGATCACTTTTACTGTCATTCGGTAATTCACACTTTACCACCGTGAAAAAAGGGGGGAGAGGCCAAGGAAAAGTGCAAGCATATTGTAGAGTCTGAGGCGAGGGAATCATTAGTTCACTTGTTTAGTTTTAAGTGCTAAAAAGACTAAAAAGAAAAGATAATAATATCAAGAATCGAATCCCAATGTTGTAATAGTTTTAACTATCAAACTTACTTCATAAAGTAATCTTTGGAATATAACTAGGAAGTTAGGATTCAAATCTCTACAACCCTTCATAAATCGTTTAAAAATAAATTGATCATATAAAAATTAAGTTAAGACAATTTAAGAGATAAGAACTTTATAGTAATACCATTTAGATGATTACTGAATACATGCAAGTTCCTTTTCGAAAGATAGACAAGGTCAGATTGGGCACTGATAATGAATATGATGGGAACCCATCAATTCTATTGCCATAAGGTCTGGGAACTCAGTTTAGATAAGGGACAAGTTTCACGCCTGGCCGAACAGCAAAGCAATATAAAAACCAAACAATAAACTTGGGGAAATGCGGGGGAGTTGTAATGACAATTTCAAATGTGGAAATCGGCAAATGGCCAAAATACAAAAAAAAAAAAAAACTTTAAGAGAGGCGCAAACATTCAATTACCGGAGTTGGCGATGGGAGGAGATTGGATCGCATTGGAATGGAATGGGACAGGCCTTATATGCGAATCGATGCCAACGACGCATCCTATGTGTATGTTGTTTATACATTTCGCTGTGTTTGGATGCGGATTTTTTAATTAAATTCACTTTCAAAAATACCGCTAATCATTCGAACAAAAGGCCAGCGAGCATTTGCATATTTGTTTGTCTCGAAAGTTTGTGACTTTTTTTTTTTTTTTTTTTTTCGTATTTTGCAGTCATTCTCTAACTTAGGTCAGCAGCAGGGGGGCGTGGCATGTGAATAGATTGATCGATCTAGGCAAAAAAAAAAAAAAAAAAAAAAGATTTTCGCAAGTGCGAAAGTGAAATCTGCGGGGATGAGATGCGGATTTGACCCAAACCCCCCGAGGTTTTTCGTCCATCAATGGCCAGCAAATTAGCCAACACACACACACACACATATGGGTTTTTGTGTACTTTGTCCGAAAACGAATACGAATAGGAATACAACGAATCCGTAGCCCAATCGCAATCCGATTCCGAATCCGCCTGATCACTTTAAAGAAACACGTAAGTGGCCAAATCGGTGCGCCTTAATTAAGACCACCAAGCGCCTCATCGGGAATCGAGGCAGGCGGTTACGTAAGCACTTAATACAGCTCCGGGGACCAACGGATCCAATAGCCAGGCGAATTAAATACACAAAACATTTAAAACACAAACCGAAAAGTTAAAAAAAAAAAAAAACCGAATAACCAAAAATTCGAACAGCGAAATTCCAATGCGAATGCGAATGGGATTCGATTTCTTAAAGCTTTGTTCCCACTCTTTCACCTATTGGGCTTTTTTTTTTCTTGCCTTATTATTATTATTATTAACTTACAAGATTTCGATCTGACCCAGCAACGTGGCCTAATTTGTATAAAGGCAGGTGTGGCGAGGGCGTGGAGTTCGTTCTACTTTCACAATAGAATTCGTAAACAGATCTATAAATATTATAGGAAATTTTTACCTTCACTTATAGACTAAAGGTATCCTTCCCTCTTTTTTCCTGAATATAAACTATAAATATAAACTATATAATATAAATTTATACAAAGTTGCCTTTCGTTTTCCTTTGTCTTGCTGACATAGCTTTTGAGAAGGGGACCTTAAATCCATTGGCGGTATAACACGCGGGGCGGTTGAAAACGATAAAACAGCAACCTGTTCTGATCGCCCAAGGTCGAATCCTGTTGCGGCATCCTTATGAAACGATAATTCGATAAACGCCTTTGATAAGCCATAAGTTTTATGACTGGCCTTGGCTGGCAATTGCCAGATGGAAGGTGTCCAGATCGTCTTCGACATTAATCCTCCTCCTTCTGGCCGAAGTTCACAGTTCAATTGGGCTTACCGCTAATTAGTGGATGGAAACCGACCTGTTAATGAGCTGCCGAAGCTGGGGGGGGAGGTCTGGGTGTGAGATGCCATTAACCTGGCGGCGACCAATACCAACTTTGTTTTCTAGAGGTTGCCGGCTGTTGCCGCTGGTTTTGTCTGGGCCTTTTTCAAGTCACCGACTTTTATGTTTTATTTATTGATTTTATTTGTATAACTTTTGCAGTTGCTGCTTGCCGGCGGCAGTGGCGGTGGCGGCAGCGGTTTGCCGCTGCTGCGGTTTTCTGTACCATAATTATGTCAGCTGCAGTGGCACAATCATAAATTTACGCCGTTTTGGTGCAACAATTTTTACAATTTATTATCCACTTGCTGGCAATCTGATTGTATATCATCAATCAAAAGCTTTCAAGCCAAGGAGTAAAATAGTTGAGGAAATTCTTTGTTTTCCACAACATAAATCGATGAAAATATTAATTTATGTTATACTTATTTCTTGCAGCTTAAAATATCGAACCGAACCAAAACGCTAATCCGAACCAGACGCGATGCACTGCAGCCAAACGCGTAACGAAAACACGACGACCAATCTTTGCTAAGGTCCAAAGAAAATCGCAAACAAAAATTAACATTAAAAAAACAACAACAAAATTAAAAACTTCAAAAATCGAAATTGAAAACTAAGAAAAAGTAGATTATTATTTTTCTTTTGGAGGATTAATAAATAAACCAAACGCAATGGCCATGTTGGAGGCAAGGTCTTATAGGCCATTCAAGTCCAGCGAGGAGTATCTGGAGGCCATGAAGGAGGATCTGGCAGAATGGCTTAGCACACTGTATCCCGAACTGAGCATCAATGCTGAGAATTTCATGGATCGTTTGGACACAGGCGTGGCATTGTGCAAGGTAAGTCTTAAATTGTAAACGAAAAAATTTACACATTTTCCACATCAATTCCACACTCGACTCGACTCTGGCACTCTGCAAGTGCTAAGAGCTCGACAGATTTCCATTTCATCTTTTATGCCTCGTCTAAAGAGCTTCTTACCTGGCCAACGGCACTCCACCAGCAGGAGCAAAAAAAAAAAAAAAAAAAAAACAAAAACCAGGAGAAATTCAGGTCACCGGGGGTTCATTGAGCCAGCTTTTAGTTGCTCAACCGAAAGCATTTGTGAAAAGTTCATAATTTAAATGAAGCACTGAAATGAGCCAAGGGGCAGTGATACGGCAAGAAGGCGAATGCAAGGATTTCCTTATGCTGGGCATAAATTAACCCAAATGCATTGCCATTCGTAGAAGGGTTAGGACTAAAGGTCTACAGAAAACTGCACTGCGAAAGGGACAGAAATTTGAAACTGTTTTAATCATTTTTATATTATTAAAAGATTTGGCATTAAAATAATTTCATATCTGAAGATTATTATGGCCAAAGTACCCTTTTTTTGGTGGAGAAATTGAGACTAACCGAATGGGGCATTTTTCATAAGGGTTATCATCATCTTCTTTTTTCGAAAAATTAAAAAAATTTGACATTTTCAACTTTAAATGCAGATTTCATAAGAATTAAAAAACAAGCCCAATGAGGTATTACATTCCATAATCGGACCATTATTGGCTTAGTTATGGGCATATTACTGCCACTTAAAGCAGGAAAAAGGAAGAAACCAAATTTCGTATTTTTGTTAAGGGGTAACATCATCAATTTTTGCGAGAAATGGATGAAAATTAACAATTTTAGCTGTGAATGCAGTTTTATTAGAAATTTCATAACGAATCCAACGAGGTATGTCATTCCAGATTCGAGTAACTATTGGCTTAGTTATGGCCAAAATACTGCCACTAAAAGGAGGAAAAAGGAAGAAACCAAATTTGGCATTTTCGATAAGGGGTAACATCATCAATTTTTGAGAAAAATTGACAAAATTTGACATTTTAAATTTTAAATGCAGTTTTGTTGGAAATTTAAAAACAAACTCAACGAGGTATCACATTCCATAATCGGACCATTATTGGCCAAATACTGTCATTTTGTGGGAAAATCAGAATTAATCAAAATTTAAGTTATAAAGTCGACCCTGGAATTTAAATCATAGTATCTAAATGGCATATCCCAGTTTACCAGTCAATTGAAACAGACTAGTTTATCGGACAACACCAAAATTTTCTACGAGCGTACAATTCTAAGCCAAAAATTATTTTAAAAAATTTTTATATTTTCTATGAACTTTATACATTTATCGGGCTCAGCGGTAAAACAAACGTGTTTCTTTCCAAAATAGTACGTTAGAGAAGGTATCGTTTTGAATCGTGAAAAATGTTACCTTTGATAAACGTAATACAAACCCGTAATGCCTGTACCTATTCGCGCCGTGAGATTTTAGATTGGGTAAATGAAACTTTAGGCACAGATATCACCACGTTGGAGAGCCTGGGGAAAGGCGTTGAGTATTGTAAATTATTTGCCAAGCTCCGACCATCTGCCATTAATATGTCAAGACTCAATTTCAATAATATATCACAGTGGGGTGGAATGGATAACCTAGCATTATTGTCGCATGCCTTTGAACAATGTGATGTTCATAAGGATATACCAATCGAACGAATGGTTTCTGGTGGCCGCCGTGAAAACCTTGAATTTGCCCAATGGTTCAGGGCTTTTTTTGAGATTAATCGACATGAGGTGGAAAAGAATTTGAATATGGTTCCGGTCCGATCCAGGAAATCATTGTCGAAAACCAGTCGATCTGCCAAATCTTTGCGAAATGCAAAGAAATCTACAGATGTCGCTTCCTCACAACTTCACACAACTGCCAGTATGGATTCATCAGCAGCGCTCAAACAATTGCCAAATTCAAGTTTAGTAAAGATTGAAGAGGATACAGCAGGTTGTACTCTGCCAAACTTATCATTGTCCCAGGATCACAGAGAAACCCCTCCAATTACTGATCAAGACATAGAAATCAACCGACAAAATCCGACCCAACAGTATAGTCAACCAATCCAGGCTGATAAAGAAAATATGTTTCGTAGGGTTGAGCTAATTGTGTCAGCGTTGAAGCATCTTAGTCAGGAAAAGGGAACTGTACAGCAGACGATGGGATCTGGGAACAAAAAAAGTTATATTGACATAGAATTTGTAGAATCATTGCTGACGAAAGTCATTTGTAACGCAACCTGCATCAACGATGAAAACGGATATCCAAATAAATATCTGGTCGATCTAGAACTCGGCCTGGGACTTGACAAAAAGTCTTTTAAAACTAAGGAATCTGAATTACATTTGCAAGAGTTAGTGGAATCGATCAAAGCTTATCTGGAAAATACAAATTCTGCAAACGTATCAGATACGCGGAATGTCTCACGTCCGGATGATAACCAACCTCAACCAACTTTTCAGGAAATATTAATGACGACGACTTGTAGGGAGTGTAATGCTAATGCGCGTAAAGAATTTAATAGGTATATCCAAATTGAAGACTACTTTGCCATTGAAAACGAATTTGAAAACATAAAAGAGGCAATGGGATCTATTAACATGATGCTCAAGAATGTTCCAAGAAGTATGGTGTTAAAAATGAATAAGAAAATCTTAATAAGATGGATCCGGGAGTCCTTCGATGCGAAAGGTGATGAAATATCTTGGACATTTACTGGTGTCTCTGGATGTAGGGAATTCATCATTACATGGAATGCAAACGAATTGATTGGCGACAATCCCGAACCAGCTTTCGAAAGCTTGGCAACAGTGGAGATCATAGGAATCCTTAATGATAATGTTAAACCAAAAATGGTTAAATACATTACAAAGAAGGTTAAGAACGTTGTCCGCGACCCATTAGACAAGAAGCTCTCGAGAGTAATGGGAAAACTTTGCGATGCTCATGAACAGATCGATGCCTGTCACAAGAATATAGATTATTGTGAAGATACGATAAGAAGCATTGCACGGACGGATACCGCTAGAGCACAACCCTGATCGTGTCGACTATTGTCGATCATAACTACTAATTATAAATATTTTGATTTTCGATTATTTTGTGCAATTATATATATTCTATTCTGTGGTCTCTTTCGATCCAAAATTCAAAACGCTTGGCTGTTTTTGTTTTGGTTTTTGGTTTTTAGTTTTTCTTTTTCTTTAGTTTCAGTTTCGGTTTGGCTTGGTTTGGTTTGGGTGGCACATGCCATAACCACCACAGCCTCCCGCCCTGTCCGCTGCCTTTTTGGCCCTCTTTTCTGTTTTGCTGTTGCTGTTGTTGTTGTTGGCGCTGAGTGGCGCCAGTAGCACCCGACATCGTCACGCTGGAGGCCAATAGCAAGACCTCAACCCGTAGACAATTTGTCTTTACTTGTGCTGTTGCCCCGATGTTGCCGTTGCCATTGCAGTTGTTTTTTTTCTGTTTTGTGTTTCTGTTTTTCTGCGGATTCGTATCGGCAACGAGATCGCCTTGCCCCCTTTGGGGGTCTCCTGCTGCGTCGATCTTCTCGTTTCTTCCGAGTGTATGGATTTTTAGTTTTTCTTTTTGGCAAATTTACCACAGAATGCAGGCCACTAAAACTGATGTTACTTCTTCTAGTATTTCATTTAATTGGTATTACCTAAAAAGTAGCTTTAAAATTAGCAGTAAATCTAGTAAAAGTCTTCCTATGTAAAGTATTTTTTACTTTTTTAGTGTTCTCTGAAAAGTTGATCAACTCTATAACTATTTCCAACACTTTCTTTTAACTAAGGCTTTATAGATGTTATCTAAAATATCTAGAAAAGAATAAAACATATACTCGTATAGTAGCCTTGGTTACTAGATAAGTGTTGAAGGTAACGCTGCCTTCATACGGTTAGTGCCGATTATCCACTCCCCTAACCACTGTAGCCACACACAGCGTTCCCAGCAGCCACAGCAGTCTCACCTGCATCTTGGATCTTGGATCTGGGATATTTTTCCCTCCCCTTCCCCCTTTATTCACCGAACGGTTACCATGAACACCCATAGACAAAACTCCAACCCGAGGCGAGTGCTCGATATGGTGATGGATATGCGTGCAGCATAATCATGAAGCTGCTTTGATCTTCTGTCTGCGCTGTCTCGAAATAAATGAAATGACTCAGAGACAGGGGGCATAAATTTTTGCACCAGCCGAAGATAAAGGGGCGGGGCGGGGGGAACTGCCGGAAATGTCATAAGCATAAATATAATTTTTGATAATTGTGTGTGTCGCGAAGCGTTAATGGAACTTTAATTGAAACTCCAAGAAAGAGACACGAGAGATTGGGGTATCTTAAAACCAAAACAAATCTCTGTGAATGGCCAGCCATTCTAAAGGCAATGCAATGCGATTTGATGTCTTCATCGTTCCAACAACGATCGTAATTACGACTTGATGGCCACTTTAAACGAAGGGTGGTGGTCTAAGAAAACGACGGGGCAAAGCGGGGAACATACATAGTACGTACTGTGGGCCAATTAGCCAAAGGAGATCGTTAGCTGTCTGACGATCATTAGCCTTAACGATCTGTACAGCCAATTGCTTGCCAATTTATCTAGTTAATTATACGGATTTTCTATAGTTAGAACTTCTCGAATTTGCATATATTTTATGTTCTTATTTTTTTTTTTTTTTTTTTTTGATTTTTAATTTTAGTTTTATATTTCTTAGAGAGTGATGGTACACCCACTTCTTTATAGACCATTAAGCAACTTTGTTGCCGAGTCTTTTCCGCTGTTTCTTTTTTTTTTCTTATTTTTGTTTGGTTTTCGGTCGGCGGCTAATTGAATTTGATAAAAAGCCAGCGAATGCTTTTAATTGACCAAACATCCAGACACTCACATAGTGGCCAATTATACGTTGATAACCCAACGGGGCCAGATAATGTCCAGCTCTCTTTTGGGTCTTTCGATTGAGTAAGAGAGCTCTGCACTTCCGCTAGCGGACTTCAAGCCCGTATTCGTATCTCTGTCCGGAACTGGTACAGTCTTTACTCCGGCAATGGAACTCTTCGAAGACCATTAAAGGCTACTTTTTTTTATTATTTTTTATTTACTAAAATGTTGAGAAAACCTTTAGGATGGCCCATGTAGCGTTTGCTTTTTGAACAATCGTTATTTTAGCCTTTGCCCTTTCAAATGTCATTGTCAATGTGTCAGATATTTAGTAGAAGGTTTGCGGTTTACGTGATGATTAAGTTTAGCCTCGAAGAAAATTAAGGAATATTGATATTTTTTTAGTGATTTTAAAACGCAAATCTTCCGTGGGCCACCCTATATTTATGATATGATAATTTACTTATTAAAATGCTCTTTTTTTACCGAATATATTTAGTTTGGTAAAAAGCCTAACTTTTCTTCAAACTTTCATAAAACAGCATTTTCAATATTTTATTTCTGGCCAAGTCGAATTTTAACCAACACTTAAACCAGAGTTGTCTAATTTTATTCTAAAGTTGACATTTGGCAATACAAAATGGGCAATTTGTCAGTCGACACCGAGGCATAAAGTCGATGCAAGGAAAATCTAAAACTAAAAAACTGAAAAACTAAAAAGGCGTGTGAAATTGGAGTTGAAAGTTGAAAAACAAAAACGCTTGTTCTAGAAAGCAAAGCTGGTAAACCAAAAAAAAGGTGAAAACGGAAATAAATCAATTCTTAAGCTTCCTAAAATCTTCAAGCTTATCTAGCTTAGATTCCTGGCCAGGCGTAAGAAAGTGGAAGAGGAAAGTTGAAAACTGAAGAACAAAAAAAGAAAAGACGGTAAAAAAAAAAGGTAAAAAGCGAAATAAACCTAAGAATTGGTTCCTTAATCTTCAAGCTCATCTAGCTTAGATTCCTGTCCTTTTATGCGTTCAAGCAACTTCTCTGAGTCCTTCGAAAACCATGGACTGTGACTCGGACTCTCGTTCTGTGGAAAATGTTTCTCCAAAAGCAACTACATCTCGTAACCTGAAATCCAACTCAAACTCCAAAAGCAGGAGCAGGAGCAAGAGCAGGAGCAAGAGCAGCAGCAAAAGCAGCAGGAAGAGCAGCAGCCGGAGCAGCAACCGTAGCAGCAGCCGGAGCAGCACCTCGTCCAGCAATTCCTCTAACGCTTCTATGCGTACGTCGAAATCCAAATTCAGGCAAAGCAGCAGCAGTAGCAGCGAGGACGAGGTAAGTTCGACATCCAGTTCTAGGACTCGCCACAAATACGAGAAAGTACCGCGACTGCGTAGCGCTGTCCAGCGCATTCATGGAACTTGGGAATCTGAGTCGAACTCCTCCAATTCCGGGAATCGTCAATCCGGGAAGAGTTCATCAAGGAGCATTAGTCCACCTCGCAAAACTGCAAGGAAATCTTCCAGGGACCGTAGTCCTTCCAAGGAGACGGCAAGCCGCAGCCGTTCTTCATCAACCGATGTGGAGGAGAAGAAGTCAACTCCAGAAACCTTGAGATCCCCTATCAATCGTAGTCGCAAATCTTGGAAATTGCGCAATCGCAGTGAGACTCAATCGAGTAACAGTTCCTCTGTAATTCATACTCGTTCACCAACCAGAAGCCGCAGTCCCCATCGTGTTTTGAATCCACGGATTGTTATTCCACCTCGAGATTCTCCAACGGATCGATCGTCAACCAGGTCCCCCAGTCCCTGTCGTACCCGAAGGGAACCAATCGATTTGGAGCAAAATGAAGCCGAGGCTTATCAGCAAAGCTACCTAATCACCCTAACAACCTGTGATTCACGACCCGCTCCAAGGCCAATAAAAAGCTTCCCAAGCAGCGGATTCGGTGAAGTCATAATCCGTGGTCTAGAACTCAAGGGTTATAAGGAGCCCACACCTCTCCAAGCCCAATCTTGGCCGATCGCCCTAAGCGGCACAAATTTGGTGATAGTTTCTGGTACGGGAACCGGAAAAACATTAAGCTATCTACTTCCTGGTATCCTACACATTAAGGAGAATAACCATACTAAATGCCGCAATAAGGGTCCCATTTGTCTGGTTCTGGTGGACTGCCGTGAGGCGGCCATGTTGGTCTATAAGGAGGCAATGGCCTACACTAATCATCATGATTTTAGAAGCCATTGCCTCATGGGCAGTGGCAGATGGAATCGCCCCAATAATTGCGAATTACTGGTGGCCACAGCCGGTCGCCTGTTGGAAATTTTGGATACCAATGGTCACGAGGAGGACCTAGATCGTTGCTCATATCTGGTCATAGACGACATCGACCGTATGTTTTACGTAGGCTTGGAGGATCAGCTATCTCGTTTGCTCTGCCTTCTGCGTTCTCGCGCCCAGTTGGTTATCTCTTCGACCACGTGGCCGCGTAGCCTGGAGCGTATGGCTAACAAGTATATGGGTGATTTCACAATGATTAAAATGGATTCCGAAAGCGATTCGAATGAAAAGATTATGAAAATTCGACAGCGTGTGGAGATGATCAATCCGCGCTTAAAAAAGGATAAGCTCAGAGAGGAACTGACTGCAATTTATGATTCTAGTGATTCTCCCGGAAAAATTATTGTCTATGCTGAGCGTCAAAAGATCGTCAATGAACTGGTGGGCTTTGTCCGTGACTTTGTACCCTGCGAAGGCATCCATGGAGGACTTACTTCAATCGATCGTGATGACGCAATCCGTGCTTTTCGCGACGGCACCTACAACATAATCGTGGCCACCGAGATGACTTCACGCGGCTTTGATGTACCGGGCATTAAGTATGTGATCAACTATGATTTTCCCAACTCAATCGAAAGCTATGCCCAGCGTTTGGCCAGAACTGGTATCAATTCGGGCAACCATAACTGTGAGGTTATTAGTTTCTTCACCAAGGCAAATGAAAAACTAGCCAAGAGTTTGGTAGACTTTCTCAAGAAACACAACCAGCACATTGAGCCAGATCTCCTCGTTTTGGCTGAAGAAAAGATTATTAGCCAGCGCTCTCGCAATCGCAACCGTCAGCGCCAGCGCCGTCGCAATCGACTCCGTCAACGCTTTTAGAGCCATTTAAGTCATAAAAACCAAAACCATTGGGCTAACATCTTGACGAGGAAAATGCAACCCCAACCATCTCTTATAAAAATACTGTGTTGACCCAATAAAACTCTTATCGATTTCCTTGGCCAATGCATACCACCAAATGGGGGTAGAGTTTTTGGGAGTCAAGGGGAGGTAGTAGGGTAAGGAGGGTGACTGACGTATGGGGGGCAGCAATTGCACGTTCCCGAAGAAAGTTGTGCATCCAGAGCGGTAACGACGTGACGTTATGCCAGCGAAGAGCAGAAAAGAAATGCACGGCCAACAACCCATCAATATTCAAATAATGTCGACTCAAAAGGTATACACTTTTAACTTGAATCACGATATTTATATAGTATATATAACATTTATTTATCAGCTTACATGACACATAGAACATAAACTTAAAGAATTTATTACTTTTGAGACTTGAATTTATTAGTTTACCAATGCAGAAATACCGCAATCATTAGGGATATATATTGCTTTTTATCAATAATAGTTCAGTAAATTAGAAAATACTGCGAGTTGATCTCGTACCGAATCAAATCATTTGGCTTCTGTCGCCGATTTGCCGGTTCGCCTACCAAGTCCATTTCTGACATATATGGGTCAATATTATCTATAAGGCCCCCCCTCCCCTGACCAACCCGCTGGCCCATTGATTGGCGGAGTTATTTAGTTGTTTGCGCCAAAAGCAAATGGAAATGAATCAAAATTCATTAGAGGTGAATTTATTGTGTTGGCCATTTGATTTCAGTCTCAGCCCAGATCAAATATCTGGCCAATCGATCGGGTGGGCCGCGTTCGTTTTTGCCTGATTGGGGTGTGAAGGGGTTGTACTCGTACATATATATCGCGACTATATCACCGATAGATATCACAGGTGGCTTGGCTTGCAGCTGAGTTTTGTTAACAAAAAAAAATAAAAAAAATCGAAAACCTAAAAAAAAAGGGGGCGGCAGGCCGTGTCTAATCCGATTTTGACTTTATTAACGGTGCAATTTGTACCGACAACTGCCAGACGGGAACCAACTGGCAATCCGAAACTCTTAACTCTTTTAACTCCGAACTCCCGGAGACTGCGAGCCAAAGACCCCTAGCGATTATTATTTATGGCCGCTAGTGTTAACCCCACAACCACCCCTCCCGCCCCTCCATAAATTGTATGCTAATCGCTTGGACCCCAAGACATTGGCAGCTGTCCCAAGTGAAACTGGACATGGGGGACATGGTACCTCGAGACCTGGACTTGGACCTGGAGCCTGCTACACACTCGATTGTTTTCCTTTGGTTACTATGAGTGTGCCTGATTTATGGAGTGTCGCTGACTAATTTGAGATCTTTGCAAAAGGGGTGTGAGTGACTGCAGTTTGCTGTTTGCAGTTTACAGTTTGCGAATTTTCCCAACTGCGAAATGACCATTCTAGGGATGGAAGAAAAGCGTGACCGGCACAAGCCACAAAATCACTCACGATTGTAACTGCACTGTTTCCAAATTTAGAACCGCAAAGGTCAGCGATGAGGGGGCGGAGTTGGTTTGATGGAGCCCAAAAAAGGCAATCAATATAACAATCGATCGATTTCGTTGAGTCATCGCGGAAACTTAAGATTGCTAAAAAAAAAAAGAAACTATTTCTAAAAATGGAAGTTAACATTAAACGGGATATGATTGGTTTACATTTATAAGAAATTACTGTCAATTATTATCTGATTATTAAGAAGAATATTAGAATTTTAGACAATGCAAATTAAATATCCATCTAAGGTCTTATTAGTAAACATGTTATTTCTGATGACTATAACGCTTCCTCGTCTTTTCCCCTGATCTGGTCAAGCTTATTGGGCTTTCACCTGACTCGAAAATAAGAATAAAGACCGTTGCAACGATGGCACGTAGGTCATTCACTCGACTTGTATCCGCCGGATCTGCACTTCAAAGACAAGGCCGCCAGGCGGTCTAAAACCACCCACTCCCTTCTCAGGTGATTCCCACGCACGGGATGCGTGAGTGATGGCAACTGTCAACTTCTGTCAGTGCAAAAAAAAAAAAAAAAAAAAAAACGAAACCAAAACCAAAACCAAAACAAATCCATAACCGAAACCGAAACAAAAGAAACACACTACTTTTGCCAGCACAAATATTGTGAATTGAAAAGCCAAATATGAAAAGCAAACACAGTTTGTTGTCGTGTTGTCAGCGACGTCAATGTGCCAAGTCCAAAAGCCTTAAAACTCCAATAGCCCAAACCCCAAGTCGCTTCGAGATCTTGCAGTCACGTTTGCTTAATAAAATTAATATTTACATATGTTCCGTATTTACACACACACACACACACACATACATAACCATAATGCTGCCCCCACCGAAAGTGGACAAATAGCCAAATAGACCGGCATGGCCAGGCAATTTGCACGATCCGCGTGGTAGATATCCCCTCGAGTCCCGAATACGGTCCCCTCTGGAGTCTCCAATCTACCATTTCTATCCGCAGCACGCACCATAATTCGTCCGTGATGATCTCTGTATACGTTAAAGGGGCTTTCGTGATCCGACATCCGTGATCCATTGGAGAAAACGAGGCGGTCAATGCGGTAACCGGGTGACTCACTCATTGCCAAATGTCGATAAGGATCTTGGCCAAAACGGAAGCACAGCGATCGTGAGCCAATCGAGGAGAGATTTTCCAATGGATATCGCTCAATTTTGCCTCAAATTGAATATTATAATGTAATCTTGTCTTCTATGTTAAAGGTCCTTGATCAGGATCGTTTGTTAATATTTAACTTTTCCAAGATAAGGATCAAGTTTTGATTTAGAATTCGTAGATTTTAAGACTGCTCTAGTAATAAGACTTCAAATTAGAATCATTCAAGATTAGCTCAGCCTAATCAGTTGACTAATGGATCATATTGGCAAACAAGAAACCCGTAATGCTTTTCTCGTGTCTCTCTGGTCTGGTCTGGATTTGGGCAATTCGAAACAGGAAACACACCAAATCGGACAAATTGGACAAGCGCGACAAACAGATCTCGACATTTGTGGCTTGTTCTGAGTCGGACTTGGTTTTAAGTTTTCAGTTTTTTTTTTCGGTTTTTCTGTTTCTATTTCTGTATCTCGGTATCTCTCTCCATCTGTAAATCCATCTGTATCTGTATATCTGGATCTTATTTTTTCATTTTTCATGCAACTAGTCAGCAGCCAGTGGTGTGTATTTTGTCAGAGTCTCGCTCTCACTTTGGGGTTAGAGACTCTTGGCTCGCACATAGATTGGCTTTAATTTGGCCAGAGTCTAAATTCAAGTTTATAACTAAATATGCGCCAAGTAGGTACAGATCATTGTGGGAGGGGTCGCGAGGGGTTCTTGCTATAGCCATAGCTCTAGCTAACCTCGATTGCGTTTGCCACATTTTTAACAACTTCACCCACATTCAAAATTCGTTTTGGCTTTGGCCGACAACACAAGCATAAAACCAGTTCGGTTTGGTTTGGTTTTCTGTTTTTGTTTTTTTTTTTTTTTTTTTTTTTTGTGTGTTAGGAGGAGGGTTTTGGCATCGAATTCTGCCACTTTTGGCCATATCCAAATGCCCATCTAGCTCTGTTGTTGCCGTCTTTCTTTCGTTTCACCCAAATGTCTCTCTCAGCCCTAGAATCGTTAATATTTTATTTCTATCTTAGACAGCTGTAATTTCATACAGAAGCATTTCCCCTGACCTTATAAGGTGGTCTCTCCTAAGCGAACTTAGTCATTAACAACCTGATCGCTTTGGATCCATTTAAGGAAGTCACTCGTCTCATTTTAAAGGTATTTAGCCAAAATTGTGATAATTTATTTAACTCTAATTAATGGGTATTCAAAAAAGGAACTCTTAAAAAAGCAAATACTGTAATTATGACATATTATGTTGGCATGATAATATGATGACTTTTAGTTCTACTTGTATAACCTTTAACCCCTTTCAATATCACAAATAATTACAAGAAATTTCAAGCCATTTTTACAATTTTTCTGTGTAATTATAAAAAAAAGAAGAAAACACCAATGGGAAAGATATGTTTTTGTTTTTTATTCAGTAGCTTTGGAAATATTTTTCCCGTGAAATCAGTGAAAACTAATACTCGATTGTCTCAACATATGGTTGGAAAAAAAAATGGCAGACAATAGCCAACGTTACTAGGTTAATTGGATTGGAGCTACTCGGATTTCCAGAGCACACTTGTTGCCATTATTGCCTTTTTTCCATTTCGAGTGCCATTGGCTTTAAGTCAAGCGGAAGTCATATGTAGTTTCTAATTTAGTTTTTTGCTTTGACTTTGGCAATCGTCATCGACAATCGCTAATTCTGAGTGATCTCATCGATACTGCAGTAAGCTCTATCGAAATTGCCAATCGTCAGGGTCACTCAAAGATTTTCCCACACACACATACGGAGCAATAAACTTTGGTTCACAGAGCTAGAAGAAAAAAAAAAAAAAAAACAAAGAACGCCTTCTATGGGCATTATGGAAATACCGTTACCAAGATCAAAAGACCTCCGAGCAGGTGAGCCAAACTCTTTTTGAATCAGAGAGAGAAGATCGATAGATCGATCATTGTTTGTTACCTGCTAGCTTCGTTGTGCAGAAATCATTTGCAAGCGAATCGATCGATCTATCATTGCCAAAGCCATATAAGCAATACTCTACGGTTGTGGGTAGGAAGTCATCGCCATGGGAGAACCTTGAACCCAAAGAGACAAAGCCGCCGATGGAACGGCGTTTGAAATATGATTTTGAATGGGCCGCGGACAGTTTTTGTGATTTTGATTGAGCTACCCAGTTTGCTGCTATATTGTGTTACTATATATATATGTATGTATGTGTGTTTGTTTGGGGTGCCAATCGATGGCAATCAGCGACAAAAAAAAATTAAATAACAACAACCAAAAAACAGTTGAAACGGCGGCAAATCCGCTTAGCTAACTTCTCTAAAATAGCCCCCGTCTTTGACACTCCGAGGGAATCACAAATGCGTCTATGTAAGTGCAAAAATCAACCATTGTTTGGTACAGTGAATATTCATAAACTGGTTTGTTGAACAAATAACAGTTTTATAAAATATATTTCTTAAAAAACATTCACTTTGCGATGCCTAGAAATCATGACTTAACTTCTATTTTGATAAGTAATATTGCTAAAAGTTAGTGAAAAACCAAGTTCTACTGTTTTTGTTTTTCGTGATATTTTTGCGTTGTCATTTTATTTATTATTTGGCTGCTGCTGTTATTTCTGCGCGCTTTAATTTTGTTTTATTTAATTTGCCTTTTGCGGAAGCAAAAAATGCTTTTTGCACCGGCTGCGTTGCTCTGCCGGCGCTTACGTCGTCGAATGTTACGGTACAAATAATGCGACAGAGTTTATTTCTGTTGTTGCAGTTTATTTCTTTATTTTCCTTTTTTTTTTATTTTTTTCTGTATGTTTTTATTTTTTTTTTTTTTTTTTGCAATTTGCTTTTAGTAGTCATGTAATGTTATTAACGCCATATTGACATACATTTTGTGCACAGGCAAAAGCGCAGAAAAAATACAGAGAAAAATCTAAGCTAATTACGTGACGTTACGTACCTGTAATAACGCCCTCTCTTTTTTGCACACACACACACACCAATTACAGTGGAACTTTCCTAGCTTGAACGAAGTCTCAATAAGTCAAAGGGTTTAAATCGAATTTAAACAGAAAAGGATTCACGCTCTCCCATACTTAATTTTCTAACAGAAAATCTTGTTTTTTATACAAAGTTGTTCATGTTTTATAAGCTCCACTGTACTTCTTCTTCCGCCTCCTTGCTATCTTCTTCTTCTGATTTTTCTACCGCATCACCGTCACGTATTTGCAATATGAAGGAGGCGTGGCCAGATTGAGTGACGTGGGCGGTAGGCGGTTGACTACAGGTCGACCCACTTTCCATCTCTTTCCGTCTCAAAGTTCTATTCCCAGGGAACACAAAAAAAAACAAAAACAAAAAGGAAAAGGAGAATAGAAGAGAAGTAAGAACCGTATGGATAAGAGGAGAATGAATAAGAGTCATGTTAATTGCTTCGACACTTGACTCTGAAGAGGCGGATGCGGATGTGGATGTCAGTTCACTAGGTTAGATGGATAAGAATGCAAAGTTGGACAAATATGTATATATGTATATTATCGTTAAAGGTGACTTAAATATGTATTCATATGTTGGTAATCCTAACTTTAGAAGGTGTAAGCTTCTCTTTTTGCTTTAAAAATGTTTGATTTACAGATTTCTTCATAATCTTACTATATAAAGTTAATTTTTTGATTTCATGAGGCCAAAACTGATCTACTAATGTTTAACTTTCTTTCATTTTCATTCATATTAGTGAGTAGTTTGATAGTTTCTGTTTTACTAAAAACCTGATAAGATAAATATGAACTACAAAATATTGATAGCCGACGTTTGATTTATTTTTTCCTGTGTCTCAATATCGATTTATCAATAGCAACCTGCACTTGCACTTGCTCCACCAAACGGCCAACATCAACGACAACAAGTGGCACGTGCTCTCCCCTGATGTTGATGCAAGAAAGTTTTGATGTCATAATAACAATTTCCATTTCCACAACGGTCCACCCCCTCTTTTTCATTCACTTCTCTCTCTCTCTCTCTCTCTCTCTCCTTTGCCTTCCTCCTCAGTCAGCTGTCGAATTTCGAAAGTGAAAATGTGATGCTGCGATTATCAAATATGCATGTGCGTCCGTCTATACGTCCGTTCGTCTCTGTCGCGCGCCACTCTGCATGCATTATTCAGATTCAGATTCGGATTCAGAAGAGGAAGAAGCCAAACAAACATTGGAGTGGTGCTGCAGCTAACACACTCATACACATACAAACACACAATGGGGGTCAAGATTGTAGGTACCAAGATGAACTCTATATAACTAGTACTTTGAAAAATCAAACTTTGCAGTATTTTGTGGTAACTTAAAGGTAAAGAACTAGCAATATTTGTATTTTTCATAAAGTAGGCACTGCTATTTTGGTTTCCCTCACTGTACTTGCTGTTAAAGCTTCGGTTCTAAGCTGGCGGCCAAAGTGAAACCAAGGCCCAAACAAACTTCGTGGGTAGCGCATCTGTTCGAGGTGAGGCAAAGAGTTGGGAATGGCGGCGCAGAAAGAGACGGGGCGAGGGAGATGCATTTAACGCCTCTGGGTTGCCGAAATGGGTTGTGGGCGTCACAGCTTTACCTTGCAAGCGGCATGATAAGAGCCACAGAAGAAGAAGCCAAAGAGACGGATGCCGAACAGGGGAAAAGGCCGAGAAAATCAGTTCGATTTGTGGATACTCTAAAAAATCATCTTATTTAGACTATGGATAAAGTATTTTATTCGAACTTAACAAGGTTTAAGAACATCATGTCATTAGGTAACTAGAAGTTATGAACTTAAGGTTACTTAGGTAACCAAAATTTGTTTTATAGAACTAACTAGTTGGCTTACACAATATTTCCAGCCTATAAGCTTGCCCACTGATATGCATATTTGCAATTAGTTCACGATCTCAATTTGATCCCCTCTGGCTTTCCTTGAGATATTTATATTTATATGTACTATAAACGTCAGCGGAACGGATCGTCATCATTGTGAATGCAGTTGTTGCAGTTTCTGTTGCCCTTATTTGGGGTTAGGGTATTATGGTAAGGTGAAACAATAAACACCAAATAAAGCATTTGTCAGATATCCATAAAAGAAGAGAGGCGGTGGAAGAAGCAGAAATAATAATATTGTTTAAATATTAAATTATTACAACAAAGTGTGCATAAATGAATATGGAATGATGCAAATGGAAATGCATGACACGTCGAGGCACGATTGCAGTTGCTGTTGTTATTGTTGTTGCCCCAAATGGGATTGGAGCTTAAGTTTTTTTTTGGGTACAGGGAACTCGGATTGCGGATGACATAACCCCAAACGTCAAATGTGCCAATGGCAAATTATAGGTTATCGGTTTGGGTTTCCCTTTAAAACTGATCCTTCTCCAGAAGAACACAACTCTCTGTCCTAAAATACCACCCTTCACCTCAGAAAAGAAAACACAACAACCAACTAGGAAAAAAAAAATAAATAGTATTGTCGCGACGTTGATCGTTCAACGCCCATTGCAGGTTGCAATTTGCAAAAGATCGAGGGAATTTCAGGCGGGGAGGGACACAGCCTAAAAATGCCGTGCTAAATTCTTTAGAAGCTTAAAAATAAACCGTTTTCTAGTTTTGTATTTTTGACTTTCACTCGGACGCACTCTGTGAAATATTTGCCGTGCTCATTGGGAATTTCTGCATCATCTCGTGCTAATGCTAATGTTCTCTTCGCTTCGTTCTTCTTCTTTTTGCAGCACGCGAATTATGTGAGGCAGGCGGCAGAGGATTATCTGGCACGGCGACAGGCCCGCAACAAATCGATGACCCGCTCGATGACCTCGGGTCTGGCTGGGCCAATTCTAGCCCTGGGCAATGTCCATTATCTTCCGGCCGCCAAGAGTGGCACCTTCTTTTCCCGCGATAATGTGTCGAACTTTATAACCTGGTGCAGGTATGTTAGGAAATCCTTAATTTTCTAACAAAAATCTCCATTCTATATCCTTTAAACCCGTAGAAAAAGCCTTAAGATCATCGAGTGCCTGCTTTTCGAAACGGACGATCTGATCATGCGCAAAAACGAAAAGCATGTGATCCTGTGCCTCTTGGAGGTGGCACGCCGTGGTGCCAAGTTTGGTAAGTTTCTAAGAGTTCAAAGACTTGGAAATCTAACTAATGAAGTATTAACTATAAAATGCTCCTGTAGGAATGCTGGCTCCCATGCTGGTGCAAATGGAACGACAAATCGATCGAGAGATCGCCGCCGACATCAAGGCCAATGGTGTCGGTTCATCGGAAAACGGTACCCAAACGGAGGCCATAAATTCCGGAAATAGTACGGCCACAACGACGACAATAACGACCACTACGGTGGAAACGGATCTGTATGATGACAGTGATGATTCGGAGACCGAAGATGATGGCGATGAGAGTCCCGTGCTGATGTACGGCCCTCAGCCTCAGATAATCACCAACGATCTGAAGAGTCTCGACGAGATGGTAAGTGAAACGAATTCAATTTTCTATTAACTAAATTTAGTTAGTTTAAGGAATTATTAAAAATAAGCGTTCTGTAATGAAATTCTAGTATTATTCTTAAAATTCAGTTAAGAGCAAGTCTGTTTATGATGCAGAATGAAGCCGGGCTTCTTGCCACCAATCGCCTTTGAGTGAGCCAACTTGGTTGCTGATATCAGATCTTTCCGCTTTTGGTTTCCATTTTCCCGCAGGGCTTTCCGCCTAAGTTTGCGTTCCTTTGGTGTCCCAGTCCCACTCCCAATGTCCACTTTGGGTTTTCTCTTTTATATTTTAGGTTTTTTTCTCGGTTTATTTCTTTTTTTTGTTTCTGAGCTGGCTTAACTCACGATTTTGTTTGTTATTGTTTTGCTTGGGCTGCTGTTGTTGTTGTTGCTAGTTTTCTCATGTCCATTTTTAGCCATGGCTAAGTTTCCAGTTACAAAAAAAAAACAGGCCGAAAACAATACCAAAACAAATCAGAAGCAATTGAAACTGGGACTTTGGTTTTTCCTCGTCTTTTTTTTTTTTTTTTTTGTTTTTCGTTTTTCGGGGTGTTATGAGGGTTTCCCAGATTTGCCTGCTGCCATGTTGAGATGTCAAATTAATTTGACAAGATGACGATGTGCCAACAACAATTACAACAATTGCAATTGTCAATGTAATTGCAAGTGTGACGACAACAGCAGCAGCAGCAGCAGCAGCATCAGTGATCAACAAAGGATGAGGATTGGTCAGGCGCAATGGAAAATCATTGACGGCCAAACTAATGAAAGCCATGCAAACATTTCCTCACGCCGCCAGCAACATTGACAACATACAGCAACATGAGCAACAGCAGCAACAATGTTCGACAGCTGGGGGATGGATGGTCGCTGGATGGATGGGACATGGACCTGGACATGGACATGCACCTCTCCTTCTCCTCTTGCTTTGCAACCAAAAATCCACTCCGAGGCAGCCAATCAATTTGTGCAGCCACAGCAACAGCAACAGCAGCAACAGCAACAGCAGCAACAGCAGCAGCCAAATCAGCAAATAGCCTCAACAACTTGTCGAAAATCAAATGATGTGCCACCAACAGCAGAAACGAAACAAAAAGAAATGAAAAGAAAAAGCCACGATCATTTGTCGACTCCAAAAGTCTGGAGCTGTGGAGCTGTAGAGCTGTGGAGCTGCGGAGCTTTAGAGCTGCTGGCACGTCCGCATCGCCGCTGTCTGTCTTTTTGGTCTCCAGTTGCTGTTGGTTGGCTGGTTTGTTGGTTGGTGGCATGCGATTTATGGTTAGGCCAGGATCACATCGCTATCCCCATCGCAATCCATGGCCAGCTAATCTCGTATGCGTCAGAGTCACGCCGATCCCCGATCTCTGGCAGATCGCTGGCGGATCGTTGGCTGGATCGCTTGGATTCCACCTCCCTCTATCCAAGGAGCTAAAAGATTTATTGTCATGTCGGTTCCAGCTTGGAGCCACCATGGAGTTGGAGTAGTAGCTGCATCTCAAGCTCCACCTAAGCACGCATCCCATCTCAGAAGGAGTTGCAAAAGTTCAAAGGTGCCAATGCGTTGCTGCTCAGCTTCAAACTGCCACAAAGTACAGTAGCAATGGGTTCGACTCACAGTTGGGGGAGACCAAGTTGCTGGCAGAGAAGTTGACGATGGAGATGAAGGTGGGGTTGGAGCCAGGGCCAGAAATAAAATTACACTGAAAATGTATTTATTGATACATTTTAAGGAAGATTGTTAAAAAAACCTTTAAAAACAACTTTAAGGAAGTCAGAACTTTCTAATATTAATATAATATCACCAAGTTGGTAAGCAAAGTATAGTTAACCCAAGAACCTTTTTCAAAAAGTTGATTTTGAAAAATCGATAAGGAATTTTTGTAAGTGGAGAATCAGACCCAAAGACATGCCAGGCCAAGTCGTCATTTGTTTGTCTGCCGCCGCCCGCTGGGACGGACTACTGATGGTGGAGCCGATGCTGACTGGTCTTGCCATGGATCCCATGGCTCCCTAGGGCAAGGGTAGCCCCTCCAGGCCCCTCCATGCCCCTCAATCCTCTCGATTCGCCGCCCCTGCGGATCATTTGTTTGTTGGACAATGGCAGCGCGTGAATTTATGCAGTGAAAAACTATTTGGTGACCCCGATGCTCGTCGCTTTGCTCCTTCTGCTTCTGCTTCTCCTTCATCTCCACCCCCACCTTCACCTTCTTCTCATTTTTTGGCCAAACTGCAACTACAAACTGCCACTGTAGAAGTCAGGGAGTTAGGAAGTCGGGGAACTGATCGGGTCAGGCTTATGCAACGCTTAGGGTCAGCCGAGGGGGAAGGTAGCCAGAGGATTTGGACACTTGGAGTCAAGAGTTTTCCACTGCAGATCTCGGGAAGTTAGTATAGGCCCCTGAGAACATTGAGAGCTTCGATATGGGAGGCCTTACAAATATTTTTCCTCACTTAATTGGCCAACGACTTATACAATGATACAGATAAATGCTAATTAAATCAATTAATTTTACTCACAATACCTGTCATCATTACTCATTTTTATGGGCATCCGTTGAAATGTATTTAGTTTGCAATGGACTATTATGGCAGATAGCTCTGTAATTTAATCATTTTGAATAAGTGATATATGGTTATTATTAATGATCACTTGTTGGTTTTTCATTTTTCATAACATTTTTTTTTCCTTTCCTTCCTTTCATAGGTCAGGGATCTGGTTGAAAAGTGCACATGCCCCTCACAGTTTCCCATGGTCAGAGTATCCGAGGGCAAATATCGCATCGGCGACACTAAAGTTCTAATCTTTGTGCGGGTAAGTAAATCCTAAAAGCCAAGTGACATTGGCCTTATTGACCTGGCTTCCACTTGCAGATTCTACGTTCTCACGTGATGGTGCGCGTCGGTGGCGGTTGGGACACATTATCCCATTATCTGGACAAGCACGATCCTTGCCGTTGCCGCGCCCAACATCGCAGTTCTGTGGCAGCCCGCCTTGTTCCCCGCCAGTCACCGAATCACAACCCCAGCAATGGCATCGAGCTCCACAAGGCACAGGTGATATTCGAGAGGTGAGTGCCTGCTATATAGTTCAGTTTTTAAAGATATATCCAAATACACTCTATATCTTCCTTTTGCAGGTCACCACCAGCAGCTCGTCGAGTTTTCAACAGTCCTAATTGCAATGGCGGATCAGGAGCATCGGCAGGAACAGGCTTAGCCAGCGGAACAGGATTATCAACAGGAGCAGGAACAGGAGCTGTGGGCTTAGCCCCAACTCCGCCGCTTCAGAACGGCCACAGTCTGTCGCCGAATTCAGGAAAATACCGCAGTCGCAGCCCAACGCCGCAGCGCAAGTTTCTCAACCAACAGACGAACGGAGGAAGCAGTGCATCCGCAACGGGATCCAGCCAGACAGTCACCACAGAATCCCCCAACAGCCAGCTACTGGGATCGCCCAGCTTGGCCAGGCGTTCCATGTCGCCAAGTCCTCGTCGTTTAATCGACATGCGTAAGAAACAGAACTCCTTGGATTCGTATAGTAGTGGTCCGAAATCGCTGCCCGGCTATAGTTGCTCCTTGGAGGAGGCAAACGGAGGTTCTACTGTCGGATCGGCAGCAGGTGGAGTGAGTACAGTATCGGGCACTGCAGCGGAACAGGGTGGCGCCAACAAATTCGAGAATATCAGTGATAATGGAAGTGAAATCAGCGACGAAGGCTACCGCAGCCTGGGCGTCATCCAATCGGGTGCCCAAAAACGTGAGTCCCTACACAGTCAGGCCTCCATTGAGGACGCTGAAAGCAATGGTGAGTTCTGAACTTCCCCGCCTTATTATACTTCCTTAAAGTCTAACTTCTTCCCTTACTATTTTGCAGCGCGTCTGGATCAGACCTCAAGTGACTCGCAGATCTCGCCCTCCGATGAGCCGGCGGAAAAGACAGCCGTGGATATTTTGGAAGTGGAAGATCTAAATGGCCAGGATCGTGAAGAGGAGCACGAGGACTATTCCGTGTGCGATGGTCCACAATCCTTGCCAGCGATTCTCTCCGGAGCCCAAAAACTAAACGACAAATTCGAGCAATCCGGAGTCTTTATAACCGACGATGAGATCACTGTGGACATGGCCAAAACCGAGGATCAATCCGCGACTCGTGCCACGGGTGTTCCAACAACCAATTTAAGCAAGATTCCGCGATCCCCGCTGGCGCAACGACGCCGCCGTAGTAGTATCGATAATAGTACATGCAGTGGAGCCGGTGGAAGTCTACAGGATTTGAGCAGCCGATCGGGATTACCGGCTCCGGCTTTCAGCCGTAAGCAGCCTGTTTATCGATCCGTGCGAACGCGTAATTCTACTGGAACTACAGCTGCTCCAGTGGCACCACCTCGATCCCGTCAAGCCACCCAATTGCCCATGGTGCGTGATGTCACGAATACGTGGAGTGGACGAGCTACGGGGGCACCCAAAAGGAGACCTCAATGCACCGCCGATACCTTTGTGGCTCCCTCAAATGGAACAGCAGCGGGAGGAGCAGGATTCTTTGAACGAAATGGCAAGGGCCGCTCCTCGCAAATCCTTTACGACAGCAATGGCCGACGGGTGAGAAGTGGAGCACCGGGATGTACCAGTTCGCTGACCACGTCCCCTGTTAAGAACCATGCCTCCTCACCGCTGGCGCAACAACTCCTGGAGGCGGCAAGCAGCGCCAAGAACGATGCCCAGATTCTAGAGAAGATGAAGTCCCTGCTCTCACGCTATGCGGCTGGTAACCAAGCGAAAGCAGGAGCAGTACCTGGGGCAGCAGCAAATAAGAATAATAGTAATGGCAAGAAGACACCGGTCTATGAAGACTTTACCACGGCCTGGGTGCACAGCAACGGTAATCTTGAGCGTTCGGAGAGCTGTTCTCCACCGGCTAAGGCTCGATCTAAAAGGAGTTCCGCTGCAAGTTCCTGTGAGAGCAACAACTCAAATGCAGGAGGAGCAGGAGCAGCAGGATCATCGAGTGTGGTATCACCTAGACGGGAGAGAGGCATGTCCAAGATCCCGGCGCCAGTTCGCCATCACACAGAGCTTTACTAGCAGCGCCGGAGGACGCCAAGCGTCCAGGTCCGTTTCCAAGCCAAGTCGAGGGTTTTCTGAAAAGCCTCCAAGCGAGCAGAGGAGCAAGCAGATGTGAAGTGAAGATGTCAAATGACTTGGGAATTTTGGGGGTATAAGATAGGGATAAGATAGGGTTAAAGCCAAGCTGGAATTGTCTGCTGCTGCTACGTCGTGTGTGTGTGCGTGGAGATCAGAGTAAGGATAGAGTATCTAAAGATTTGAGCCCAAAAGATAAGGTTTTTTTAATGAGGCCATAGAAAGTTGAAGAAAGAACCCCAAGAAAACCTTCTGGTATATATATATTTCGCCAGGAGTGAGCCATAGCTATAGGATAAACCCAAATCGGAATCAGGATCGAAAAAATGTCGAGTGAAGAAAGCAAAACTGAAACTGCCTCAAGGACAGACAGGTCAGAATCCCTAGCAGCCAGAGACCCCTAAGCATATCTCCCTTATCAACAGCTCTAAGTCTGAGCATTTTATCTCTCTTTAACTATAAACTATATTGTGTCCCCCGCTGTAATCGTCGTTATATAATCTCTCTACGTTATCAACTCTCTCTTTCCGTATAACCACTAAAATATAAACAAGCTTCAATTCCCTAAAGCTTTATATTTCCAAATAAGTCAGTTATTATTTTTGCAACTTCATAAAATACCAAATATATAAGCATTTGATTTGTATTTAAAGCTACGATTTTTTTGGGATAGCCCAAGTTTTAGCTTTGATCTGCGCTGATCTAGGGTAATGATTATATTATACCATATATGCAATCCAATTTTGAGACTCGAGTAAAAAATTTTAAATCAATTTTTTGTCTAGACCTAGAACAGGAATTTTAAATCTACACAAAAGCCACAAGCAAACCAATATCGGTTATATATATATATACATATATATCTATTTAAAATCATACACACAAAATCGCAAATACATAAAGGACGCAATAAATAGTTTTCTAGAAATTTTTAAAACGTAAAGCCAACAAAATTCTTAAGATTCGATTTGTAGCGAAGCAGAATTAAATTATTTTTGTACGCTTGAGATCAGGATGAGAAGGAGAGATCGTGGGATCTGGAAAGATGAATAGCTTTTAGACAACTCGACTTTTACAGTATATATATATACAATAAAGAGTGGATTCGGTTAGGGATATAGCAAGCAAGCATAGCTAGGAAATGAAGCGACCGCCCTACCCCGCAAACACCTCCGATAAGTGGGTGCTCCTTAGTCCTTCGGGAACTCAAAAATCACGCTCTTCAAAACCCACAAAACCTGCGCCACCAAATACACACACACACACACAGACACACATCACGCCATGAATACAGTGCGTTTCGAGATTGTAAGGCAGTTATAAAAAAAAGTTTAGTTTGAATTTAATGATGAATTACCGTTTAATCACATGATAAATTAATACAAAATCAAAAAAAGACTATCGAATTAATAACCTATAACGAAAGCGATGATATAACAGCTATAAAACGCACTGTATTTGCTAGCTACCTTATGACACCTATAAACATAAAAACTATATAAAACACAAAACAAGAAAAACGGTCACAAAAAAAAGGAAAATAACTGAGAAACTATAGCTTTTGATGGGACAGAAGGATATCGTTATATAAAGTTAATAAACGAACGAACCATAGCATAATTTTCAGAATCCTTAAACTTTCTACAACTATGAAAAATATAAATTTTATAATTTTTTTTTTTTTTTCGTTAGCTTTAGCAATGTTAACATATAGTTTAGTACATCGTACCTATGGATCATATAACTATATAGATTGTAAATTGTGTTTGTCTAATTGCTCTCCAATGTTGTATAGTTCTTATGTACTCGTAAAATCGGCCTTAATGTTCAGTCTGTCGATACCTTATATCAATTTTATATTATATAATTATTTTATTTTTTCATTTTGTATAATTTCTATTTGAATTTAAGTTGCGATTTTCAGCTTTTTATTGTACACCAAATGGATACCAATTTATGTATAGAATCGAAGTGGCGAATAAGATCGCAACCAAAATAATTAATGATTAATTGTTTAACAATTAAATTGTTCCAATACACACACACACACACACACACACATAGACAAAAGAAACATCCACACATACACACCTGACCCGTGGTGTAATTATAATTATAGAGAATTAAGCAATTTTCCCCGATTTTCATGCCAAAAGGCTGATAAAAAATCAAACGAAAAAGAGGAGCATACAGACATTGCACCACGGGTTCTCGAGCGCTGGCCATGATGAGCATCGCCATCGAGTCGCATCGCATATAATATATATATATAAATATATGTATTTGGATATATATCGCAGAACATATAAAGTGTATTTTAAATACAGCTAAAAGTGTAATTATCAATTCATTTCGAAAGCAAACTAACTATTACAAATGGAATAGATTAGACCGCAAGGGTGTACTCTAAGCGAACAGCAGCATAATTGATTTTAATCACAAGAATTTAATTAATAAAAGCCTATATACAAATATATATATAAAAAAAAACATCAAACATTCGTTTTAACTTAATGCCCTCGTAGGGGTTTTATTTATCCACATATACAAAGTGTGCTGGAATCAAAGCAATGCTTAGGTATTTAGCAATACATTTAGTCGGTTGGATTAATTTAATATCTAGAGATCGCCGAAGGAATCCATCCCATCGCCCGCTTCAGCGCCAAGCCTGGCCTTTTCCTGACTTCCGGTCCAGGCCTTGGCAATCATTTGCTTCGTCTTCGAATCACCTTCATTGTACATCTTCTTCATGATATTTACCAGCATTGATTCGGGATTATCGTTATCCTTGGCCAATTCGGTGTCCTGCTTCTGTTTCAGTCGCTTTTGAATGGCGGTCAGCACATCCCAGTTCTCGCCCTCCGTGGCTTTCTTAAGATATATGGCCACCATGTCCGTCTTGATCTTTCGGTAGCTCTTATCCACATCAATAAGGTGCAGCAGATTGTTCACACTGAGACCATAGTCCTTGCCTTGGACATCGCGCACATGCAACTTCAGTGAAGTCGGTGTGTAGTTGACTGTAACGTCGTCCTCCGAACATCCTTGCACGCCGTTTACGGTTATGAATAGCTTCACGTACTTGGCACTCTGGTCCCAGCCGTAGTCGGTCAGCTCGTGCAGATATCTAGGGATCGTAAGAAGGTTACTAAATATCTTCATACTTCCAAAATTTGTATTTCCCTTTGGTGCCTGTATTTAGATAGATATTTTTGTAATCAATTTCGGATAAATCTTGAACTAGACTATATAAGGTGATATATGATGAAAAAGTTAGATTCTTATTACTCTTGAGTTGTCATGATGACAATTTTGAAACAGGATTACCAAGGATATAGTATTCTTTAGTAAATTATAACGAATATTAGGCAAGATTTCAAGCCGAGTACGATGAGTCTATCTGAGACTTTATAAACCTCGTGTGCTGGATTTCCTATACTGGCCGGATTTGAAGCACCCCACCACCTACCTCTTGGATTCGCTGGATCCGGCAGCCTCCCGTTCCGCCGCAATTTTTGCCTTCACCTCCAGGTTGACGATCTCCCGTTCCGCCTCCGCTTTTGCCGTAGTCAGCACGCCTTTTACGCGGGCACTTTTCGCCTGTGCCAAAAAGGCCGCAAACTCGGCTACATCGCTTTTAAGCTGTTTATCCAGAAATTCGAATTATTAGTCCTTTGACAACCGAACTCCAGACCATTTAGACTTACCTGTTCCAGAGCCATTTTATTTGTAATTCAAAAGGCAGCTGAATGATTTCGTAAAATCGCAGAAATTTCGAGCAATTCAATAACGCCGGCGCCAGCACTGAATAAACTAAAAAACGGCAAACGCGTGGGGAGAACAAAGCACATTTTCAGGAAATACTTTTTTTGGTATTTTTTTTAGAATGATATTCAGTATCATATACACTGGTTATTAGGGAGAATTTTAAAAACATGCTGAGGGAAATTCTTTAGAAGTTTAAATTGGTAATTACATCAAAATACTAGAATTAAGAACAAAAGCTAAAAAGATTGGTTTTCATTTCCCCCGCCAGTTGACGAGTATGACCAGTTGGGGAATACCAGACGTTTCGGTATTTTAGGCACAATAACGGCAAACACACTGGTCCCTATAGTCTTAAAAACCAACGATGGTACCGAACCGGCTGGAACCGAACCATCGATATTATCAATAGTGCCATCGATGATTTGATACCACCGCGAAACGCCGACGACCGTATAATCTAGACAATACGACCCAGTGCCCAGTTAATGTGCTTCATCCAGGGAAACCACTTCCAAAAATCGGACGCTGCGCCATTGCCAGAGTTCCGGGATTAAAGGGCGGCGCAGCAGGCTTCTGATATCGGGATTCCGGACAGGGGGAAAGGCATTAAGTGAGTAGGCATTGCCCTATCCGGCAATGCCAGCCATAAGGCAACTGTGTCAGTATGAATCCTGAACACTAGAAGCATATTGCCCTTGATTTTGGTCTCGATATCTAAATTATTTATTTTTCAAAATTTTACAATTTAGTTTTAGAACCATAAATAAGCCGATGCCTAGGAAAAGTGTGCTTCTTAGCAATAATGGCCGATCGTGTTTTATGCCAGGAGTTGGCAACGCCCGGGAGTCACTTTCGCCGCCCCAAATCAGGAATTGCAAACCCCAATATGGTGTTTGCCAATGGGGGAGGATCCTGTCGAGCAACTTCAAGGCAGACTTATAAGCAACAACAGCAGCAGCAGCAAAGACAAATACCTCAGCAACACTGCAACAGTTCAGGAACTGGCGCCGGTACCCCAGGAAGATATATGGTGAACCCAGCTGTGGAGGAGCAGCCTGTGGCCCCCGGAGCTGAAACAGTTGGCTTGCCAGTCACCCCGCGAACAACCAAACAGACACGCAACAAAAGCGAAGGTTTGTAAAGCGAATCTGCCTACTACAGAAAAATTTCCAATACTAATATATTGTCCCTGTTTATAGAAGCCATAAATGATCTCCTTGTTCGAATTCCGGATATTGGCAAGCTGTTTGATGTGCACAGCCGGATTGGCAATGGAACCTTTAGCACTGTGCTTTTGGGAACACTACGGCGGGAATCGCATCTGCCGGACAGTCTGCGGCGCAAGTTCGCTATTAAACATCATATACCAACTAGCCATCCGGATAGGATAATGAAGGAGCTGCAGTGCATGACCAAAATGGGGTAGGTCCTTAATCCGTAATCCCTTGTTATCCTTTAGTATTCCCTCATATCTGTACACCCACGTACACTTCTTCGTCCTCGTCTGCGTCAAACGCCGTTAAACGACGTCAGCCGGTAGCCGCTCCATCTACGTCATTGCAATTTATTTCTCCGCATGAATGAGCGAGATGGCGAGACTATAGCGTTCGTTTATTGCACTTTCACACGCCATTCACGTGCCCATTTACAGTTACATTGAAGCCCTCTTTGCACAGAGAAAAAATATTACCCTCAGTACAGAAATTCGCATCAATCACTTCAGTTCAATATGCGCATAACGTTAGATCTTGATAAATACTCTTTAAAATTTCAATTCAAATAGATACTAACACCTTTCTATATACATGAAATATGTTTGAAATGTTTATCATTATCAGTTACATGTTTATTTAAAACAAAATGGGTTAATAGGTCAGAAAACCCACACAAAAACTAGTCCAAATTCTACAACTGTCCAGTATATTCAATATTTGATCAGCTTAAATACTATTTTCTTATCAAAATAAACTAATCAACGAAGAAAAATGCAAAATGCAGAGACAATCATCAAAGTATATAAAATTTTGCTCTCTGTGACAGCTGTAATGTTTGTTTACAGGCCGCGCACATCACACATGCGTGGTTTTGAGTACAGACGCTAGCATATCCTGCAATCCCAGCCGTCTGTTATCGATTGCCATGCCCCGCCAGTCGATTAGATTAGGCGTAGTCTCAATCCAAATCAAAATCGGTTCAATACCGCCTCGAACCGGAGGAGTTAGGGCGGTATCGGCGTCATTGGTCAGCTCATCAGAGCCGGCTGGATAATTCTCCTTCTCTCTTCTCCACATCGTGATAGAGAGAGTGGGCAGGGGATAATAGTGGGTATTGTGTGTGTGTGGGCGACGTTGCGTGTTTGACATTAGCCGGCTGCCTCCTGATTACCCATCTTTTGCCCCTCGAAGACCCAATGCCTGCTGATTTTGTGTCTATTCAAGCAATTTGCGCAAATTCCACAGACCCAATTGCGTCACAGCCGACGATAATTATGACTGGGCCATGCCGAGTGCTCCCTCACGTATTCACATATGCCGTATGCCCATCGCCCAGTTCGCAAATCGCATCTGCCAAATCGCCCATCGCTCACCTCTCACAAATGTGATGTTCAGTTGGTTGGAAAAGTAGCTAAATATTTTACCGAGTGTATAAAGAAAAGATACATTTTGCCCTCAACAACATTATTGCATTCCCAATAACAAAATGAAATATTGATTTATGTCGATATGAAGAAGGTAGTTTGAATATAAATATTTACAAAAATATTTAAATATATTAAAAAAGAAAACGTTTTCTGAAACATTTGGCTAAAAAAAAAGCTAGAATCCACGGCAACACTTGTTCTGAGTGACGTAGAAGCGCCTTTCTCTGCCTCACCTAATCTCTCTTTCATAAAATGTGGGCGGAAGTGCGGAGGCGTCTCTGTTGTTGTTTACGCACAGGGCACACAATTCAAGAGCAACAAGAAAGGGAAAGCTGGCTTGAATTAATCCGCTTAACCAGTCAAATCATTTTATCGCATTCGTATTATGTAAATTTTTTTGCATCTTTAAAAATAGCTTTGGAGTAGGTGGCAGACATAGTCCTGCTTTGTATTCAAACCATAAGTAACCATCTAATCTAATGATTTCTCCCTCTTTCCAGGGGAACGGATAATGTGGTGGGCATCCACTGTTGCCTACGATGCGACGCCTCCGCCGCCTTTGTAATGCCTTATATGGCACATGACCGATTCCATGACTTTTACACTCGGATGGATGTTCCCGAGATCCGGCTGTATATGCGCAATCTCCTGGTGGCCCTACGCCATGTCCACAAATTTGACGTCATCCATCGCGACGTAAAGCCAAGCAACTTTCTCTACAATCGTCGCAGGCGTGAGTTTCTTCTGGTGGATTTTGGCCTGGCCCAGCATGTGAATCCCCCGGCTTTGGGGTCTTCAGGAGCTACCGCCTCATCCGCTAGTAACAACAATAACAACAGTAAACGACCTCGTGAAAGGGAAACAGCGGAGGCAGTTCAGCATAGTGGTCCAGCGGATGCTGGTTTAGGCGGAGCTGTAAAGCGTATGCGCCTGAACGAGGAGTCTAACAACAAGATGCCCTTGAAACCGGTTAACGATATTGGCCAAAGTGATTTACAGCAGCCAGGTGGAGATGGCTCCAGTCTTGTCCAGCAACAGCCTGTGCAGCAGCAGCAGCATACGCAGTTAGATCAAACACCCTCAACCCCATCTGGCAGCAAGTACAATACGAATCGAAATGCCTCATCAGCGGCGGCCAATAACGCCAAGTGTGTCTGCTTTGCAAATCCTTCAGTTTGCCTTAATTGCCTGATGAAGAAGGAGGTACATGCCTCCAGGGCAGGAACACCTGGCTATCGGCCGCCTGAGGTGTTGCTTAAGTATCCAGATCAAACCACTGCCGTGGATGTCTGGGCGGCAGGTGTGATTTTCCTTTCAATCATGTCGTCTGTCTATCCATTTTTTAAGGCCCCCAATGATTTCATTGCCCTGGCCGAGATTGTTACGATTTTTGGAGATCAGGCGATTCGAAAAACAGCTTTGGCATTGGAGCGCATGATCACATTGAGTCAAAGATCAAGGCCTCTTAATCTGAGAAAGCTGTGCCTACGTTTTCGGCATCGTGCAGTTTTTAGTGATGCCAAGCTCCTGAAGAGCCATGAATCAGTGGACGGACGGTGCGAAGTGTGCCGAAATTGTGATCAGTACTTCTTTAACTGTCTGTGCGAAGATAGTGAATATTTGACGGAGCCATTGGATGCCTACGAATGTTTTCCGGCGAGCGCCTACGATTTGCTACATCGTTTGCTGGAGATTAATCCCCATAAGCGTATAACCGCGGATGAGGCACTAAAGCATCCGTTCTTTACGGCCACCGAGGAGGCAGAGCAAGCGGATCAGGATCAGGTGGCAAATGGAGCACCGCGCAAGGTTCGCCGGCAACGGTATCACAATCACAAGGCGGTGTCTGCCACCATGGAGCAACTGAAACAACAGGTTGCCCTTGATCTGCACCAGTCGGCAATCAACAAGCTGTGAAACTAGTCCTCACCGCCCATTTGTATATAAACTATGCCCTAAATCACATATCACGATTGTATATAGACCACACCACCAACACCACCACCCGAGCACATCTCATAACTGCACCCAGACCCTAAAAATGAACTCGTCCAGTGTACAGTGTCCAAGTGCCCCAGCTCGGCCGCATCTACTTACCTCATGTTGCAGGAAGGAAATGAAAACCAAATGAAGCACACAACCCATACGCGCACATACGAGGTGTGTTCAAAAAGTAAGGTGACTTTTCAAATTTCTCGGGCAACATATTTTCGATTATCGTTTTTTTTGTTTTGTTATATTGGTACACTCTTCCCTAACATCTGTACCAAGTTTCAATGGAACATCCTCTTTTGTTTGGTTGTGAGAGGCGTAAAGTTACAAGTTGTTTTGCGAGCTCGGCGATTTTTTGCTTTTTTCGGTCTTGGCTCGTCTGGGCTCTTCCATTGGGACGATTGGGCTTTGGTTTCGATATCATAACCATATACCCATGATTCGTCACCAGTTATGACCCTTTTGAGTAAATCTGGGTCGTCGTTGACGTCATTCAACAGCTCTTGAGCGATGCTCATGCGACGGTTCTTTTGCTCAAAATTCAGCAATTTCGGAACAAACTTCGCTGACACACGACTCATACCCAAAACGTTTGAAAAAATTTCATGGCACGAGCCAAGCGATATACCGACATCTTCAGCAACTTCTCTGATAGTGATTCGACGATTTTCCAAAACAATTTTCGTCACTGCTTGAACGTTTTCATCAGTTGTTGACGTGCTTGGGCGTCCAGAGCGAGGCTGGTCATTGGCATCTTCCCGGCCATCTTGGAAGAGTTTGTACCACTTGTACACATTTTTTTACTCAGAACAGTTTCACCGTATGCCACTGTCAACATTTCAAGTGTTTCAGAGCACTTAATTTTATTTTTTACACAAAATTTGATGCAAATCCTTTGATCCATATTTTTCGATAGCAAAAAATCGCCGAGCTCGCAAAACAACTTGTAACTTTACGCCTCTCACAACCAAACAAAAGAGGATGTTCCATTGAAACTTGGTACAGATGTTAGGGAAGAGTGTACCAATATAACAAAACAAAAAAAACGATAATCGAAAATATGTTGCCCGAGAAATTTGAAAAGTCACCTTACTTTTTGAACACACCTCGTATATTTATAGAAACGTTTCAATCATGAACAATAGAAAAGGAATACCAAAAAGAAAAGAAAAAGTTAAGGATTATTGAAGTACGGCCGATAGGCTCGAAAGAATTGAATAGTTAAGATCCACAAAAGGCAGCCCCAAGTGCACGGTAACCGCCCAGTGGCAGGAAATCTGCACTATCCCATCATGTTGTATAGTTCGAATAGTCTTAGGCAACCTAAGTATAATTATTGTATATCTAAAAACCATGTGAGCAGATATATATGAAGAAGCGAAAATATATTTATACCTTGAAGAATGAATTAAGCCCTGATTTACTTAATTTTTTTTTTTTGTATAAAATAATTGGAGTTCTCATTTTGGGGCGATATATTTTAATATTTATTAATATTTTAGCAAATAACCATAAAATATTCAGAATACTTTGAAATAATAAAATCATAAATTACTTAAATTCCACACTTACCATAAATTTGACGCTTATTTACATTAAAAATGCCACCTGTAGCACTTAAAAAACAAAACAAAAAAGTAATCTCACATATTTTATTATCACTTAAAAAAAACAAAACAAAAAAATAATTTCAAACATATTTTATTATCACCAAAGATTAATGTAATCTCACATATTTTATTATCACTTAAAAAACAAAACAAACAACTTCTCACATTTTATTATTACTTAAAAAAAATGGCTGCGATATTAATTACTAATTTCCATAAAATATCGCAATATCATCAATCATCAGGATCTGAAGCTCGCACCACACATTTTTACACACACTTACATATGTCTTTACGAATGCGCGGGAAACACACACATGCAAATGCAAATTTTTACAACTGCCCAAAGGAAAAATCAAAATTGGCAAAAAATGGCCGATTTCGGTCGTTTAAACATAAAACCCGAACTGCACTTATTGCCCCGACCTCCGTTCACTATTATTTGACACTTTTAACACTTTCCAAAGCAGCAATAAGCAGAAATTAATTTATTTTAATTTTTGGCGGCACGGCGTCTGCGTGGGCTGCTAACAGGCGCGCACGGACGAAGAAAGTGAAAGCTCGCGTGGGTTGCATTGAGCTGCATAGGGGTGCTTTCAAGCCAGAATAACGGTAATAAAAGCTCCTCATCCAAGACTCTTACCATTTATCTGATTTTCAAGCCGCTCTTTTAAAAAAATAATTACTTATTATTTCATCAATTAAAAAAATGCTCGATTTTTTCTACATGCTTGATTCCTTTTAAATTAAATTTATACAGGTTTGGGGAAGATATGTGTAGGAAAAAAAATGTATTTAAAGAAAGAAATTACAAGAAAACAGCATTTTGAAAGGGAGGAAAATGATCCAGTCCCCGGCAGCCTTATAAACTAAGATAGATCGTTATCCTCCCGATTAGGTCTCCATTTTCTCAGCTTTCTTGCGCTTCGTTTTGGACGTAGATGGTGAATCTGTGGCATCTGTATCTTCAGGCACTTCCTCCACACGAATCCTCTTGCCGGCAACGACATCCTCTTTGGATGGCTGTGTCTCCATTGTCCTTTTCTTGGGTTTCACAAAGCTGCCACGTCCCGCGGCGCGTTCCGCCTCCTCAATGCTGTACGGCTCAACTTCCAGCGCCTTGAGTCGCCTCTTGTGCACCTTAGTGCGGAAATGGGCCTGCATGGCTGTGTCGTCTATGAAGTACTTGGCACAATGGACACAGTAGAACTGGGCGAAACCCGGCTTATCGAGATCAACATTTTGATTAATGAGTTCCCCGCTTCGGGTACGCAGGTCATCGTCAATCTGGTCAAGATCACGGCGGCGATTCCGGACGCGCCATCTCCTCTGGAGATGGGTATCACCATAGTGCATCTTCTTGCGCTTCGTTACCATTCCCATTTTGCTGGCTTTTGTTGAATTTACTACTTGTACTAAAAAAATAGGTGTTTGTTTTGGCACGTGTTTTGGTTACTAGTTGCTTTTTATCTTCTGCTGGTATATTAGAGGTTTTCTTCAACCTGCAATTAGTTAAATCATTAAATTATTCTTTTAACCCATTAGTTTGTTGGCTAATTTTACCTTTTTCGGCTAACAAACAAATAATTTTCCAGTTATTTTTGTATTTACAACTAAGTCGCAGTATATTTTTATTACTCGCCTCCCGATATCGACTAACGATAGACACAGCGGTTGTTGGTGACAGTCAGTTAGCGATAACTCTTATTTATCGATTTGTAAAAACTAGTGTTCACACACTTTTAGTAGGTTTGGGTATTTTTAAAAGTAGTTCTAATAAATTAAAATTAATAAGCAATAAACTAGTTCTAAAGAAACTAAGAGCATATCCATTATTTTTTTTGACTACTTTCTAAATAGAGAATAAAAAGCGAAATACTTTTTTGTGTTATTTTTTAGGCCCTTTTCGTGTGAAGTGCACTATTAAATAAAAAAAACATATGTTCGCAATTAATTCATCAACAATCGTGCGAACAAGTTGTCTGCGGGCGGACGTGGTGCGCATTTTGTTTTGTTTTTATTTATTTCCTTGCCGCAGGAAGTAAAGTAAGCCTACAACAAGAAAGCATAAACAAAAAGTTTATTTACTTGGGCCGATACAGTGCAATTGATAACGAAAAACGTTAGAGTGGGCTGGCACACACCCACAAAGCAACGCACACACATGTGCGATTGGATAACACTGTGAAATAGATCGGGTTTTACACTTGCAAAAACGATTAAAGCAATTATCGTGATTGTTTTTGTTGGTTTTTTTGTCTCTGTTTTTATATTCTGGAGATGCTGCAGGCGGCTATCTCTTTTGCTCTTAAAGCTTAGCATATGTGTTGTGTGTGTGTGAGTGTGATTTAATGCAAAAAGCAACAACAGAGTAATAAACAGAAACCGAGATTGTGGTTAGGATGGTGAAGGGATGGGTGGTAAGAGGAAGCGGGACAGCAGCTGCTGCAACCATTGTACAAAAGTGGCAATTGTTGGTTTATTGGCATTTATTGTTGATTCTCTGTTTTTAGCTAGACATTCCGTTGAATTCGTTACTTAAACCGGCATTACAACATTATTACAACTAGAGCAAATTGCCCGCCAATTGCAGTAAGTACATAAACAAAAACATTCCTTTGCGAAGAAACTGTATTAATTTAACTAAAAACAAAGCTTAACAATCCTTATCGATAATCAGCGATTGCATACCGATTGTGATTATCAGTGCCAATCGCTTATCAGTCAATTATACCGTTACAAGCATAATTAACTATCTATGCGTGTGTGTGTATGTGCTTTGATTGATATATGTATGTATGTTCGAATTTAGATCAACAAACTCTCGCTCTTTCTCTTCTTCACTGTGATATAACAGCTCCCCCGCCCCTCCATAAAAAAACACGCACTAAACGAAAATAATCACTCTCGCTCTCCTATTTGTTTTTGTACTTAAATGCCGGTCACGATTTGACATTTTGCAAAGGTGTGAATGTGTGCTTGTGCAAGAGTAAAGGATGGAGCTCTCTTCGCAGAGATCAGCTGATAAACCAGCAATTAATGCCATATGTCCATGCAATTGCACGGAAATAAAGTATTCAGATCTCTCGTTGATCAATTTGATTAGGATTTGGGTAAATTATATTACCACTAATAGGTTTTTCATATTTTTAAAATGAATATTAAAGTTGGGATTAGACTATGAATCAGAAGCTGCTCATTGTAAAGTATTTATAAAAACAATTTAGAAATTTAGCTGAGTCGGCGTATAATTTTAAAATATTTTTTTTTATAAAATGTTGTGAATTTTTTCCTAGTGGATTGATAAATGCGAGAGCTATATGGAGTTGCTAATGCAGGCGACTAAAAGTGAGAGTGTTAGTGATGGAAGTCCAACCGGTTTCGTCTACGTTATTCAGCTATGAGAGGCGTAGACTAGGAGGTATTATTTCATTCCCAAAACCCCCTAATAATGATAGACTATCAGCAGTTCCAAAGAAATTTCACAAAACATTAAACCACAAAATGTTATCATCTACAATGTAGAAAAATGTACTTCAAGCTTTTGCAAACAAATATTTTAGATATTTGTTTAAAAAGCTCCCCTTAAAATGTTGTCTGCCGCCGCCACTGTTCAATAGATATTGCCAAATCAACAAACTATTGCTGCATCTACTAGTAGCAATTATGTGTTGTATGTTCTCTTTTTATGGGTTATTTTGAAAGTCTGTAGTTTCCGTATCGATCTTTGGCTGCCTAGTAATAACCGTATCTTTAGGCTAATTTTCCTTTCGTTTGGGCTAAAAATGAAAAAAGAGGCTAACCAACCAACCAGTTAATCAGTTGTGCCAGTCCAGTTAAGTTGGATAATTATTGAGTCCATCGCTCCAAGGCTAAAGCATTCCATTCCCTCAACAGATATACATTAAGAGGTTTCTATTGTGCACTTGGCTACCCATTTCCATAAAGATTTCGAAGCTCAGAACAAGAAGAATTCCAGCGAAACGGGTTTTCTAACACGGTTGTCTCTCTAACACTTGGTTACGATTTTGTTTATTTTATTTTTGCGGATGAGATTAATTACAAAAAAAAAAGGGGAGGAATACGTGTTTAAACTTTTCAATGGAATCTGAGCGTGTTTGCATGTTTTTCTCTCAGCTTAGTATATTGAATTAATTATTAAACAAAAAATGCATTATTCCCAGTCGATGGTTAAGATAAACATGAAGCTTGGGTTTTTACTCAAATCCCTAAAAACAATCGAATATTCGTTTTAAATTATCATCACATAAGATCAATTTAAGTGGTTTTCCAGTGTTAAACCATGACCTCATATCAGCTAGCTCTTTGTTCCTGAACCGCACTTCCTGCGATAGAGTTAAATCGAAGTGCATGCCACAAGTGGTGCGACTCGAACATGTTTCCATGATTACTTTGCAATGTGGTCGCACCACGTTATCACTCAACTACGATATGAACTGAATGCGGTGAACCACAGAGACAAAAGTTAAAAAAACAAGAAAAAACAGACAAAAGTCGCTGAAGTTTCCAGCTCGATTCGGCTGTTTTAATTCAGGTTCGCAGTGTTCTCAATTCCAAAAGTGGAACAGCAGTTGGAGGAGTCATAAGTGCTCCATTATAATCCAGGTTAATCCAAGGTCAGACGTGAGTACCGGGAGTTGTGGGGGAAAGTGGGCGGTTAAGTTTCCTCTCTATCCGGTGGGTGGGGCACGTGGAGTTATGTCTGGTATTTTCATTTCACATTCCCCCCATTCACATTTCGCATTTACCAAACCCCTCGAAGATGTGAGAAAGGGAAAGGGCGGAGGTTGAATTGTGAAAAGATTGACTTTCTAATTGAAATATCGGTTTGAAAGGCAACTCATGCTGGGCAGCTGACCCGAAAAGCAACCTTTAGATACACAATGGAGGTTGAAAATATATGGATAGTTACTATAATAAAGTGGTAATAGCACTTTAAAAATGATAAAAGGGAATTAAATAATTAAGACTAAAAATATTCTATCTTTACGTTTGTAAATTTTGTAAGTTCTCTATCTTGAGGTAGCAAACATTAGTTCCCTGACCTATTATTTTCACCGTTATCGTACTGATTCATATCATTTATATATATGTACATTGTTTATTGTTCACTTACGAGTGGCAAAGATTTAATGCGACTTTCACTCCATTCTCCTTCGCAGTCGTTAATCGCATATCCGTAGAAAAGTCAAGCGCAGTAAGAAGACTCTAGTACTCCAGTAGCTATGGACCACGCTCATCACAGTGCACCAGGCGTTGGTGGGTTTAAACTTTAGAAAACCCTTAAGGAAATCCTTGATCTATATGAATCAATAATCCACAGATCACTCGATGATGCATCATGATCACTCGGCCATGCATCATGATCACAACGCGATGGGTGCTGCAGTGGCAACTACTGTCTCGCCACTTGATCCTGGGTCCATGTTTGATCTGATTCCCGACGCCAGCGATTCGCATGCGGCACACGCGGCACACGGTGGTCACAATCATGGTGGTGGCTCTGGCACGGGGATGGAGCACATGATGCCCATGGCGGTAAGATAATATATTCTGTGCACTATATATTCCTTTGGGAAACCCCCTCTTATTACCTATTTCGAAATCCTTGCAGTTCCACTTTGGCTACAACGAAACGATCCTTTTCTCGTGGTGGCATATTGAAACTGTTGCCGGTTTAATAGGATCCATGATCGCCATCTTCCTGCTGGCCCTGATGTACGAGGGACTGAAGTATTATCGGGAGTATCTGTTCTGGAAGACGTACAATTTACTAGAATATCGGCCGGTGACGGGACCCCAAAGAAATCCAGAGGCTCCACGTATTCCATCGCCAGCAGCAGCAGCTCCTTCGCCCGTGCAGTGAGTTCTGGAGCTTTCATATAGATTAATCAATATCCAATTGGAGGAGATATTTGTTATCCTCTAGTAGATAGTTACAGCATGCTTTTTGCAATCACTCGTGCTTTTAGCTTTTGTATCTATATTGTATTCATACTTCTTGTATATATTAATCTTAATGCTTTCTTCTTTCTTCTCGTTTCGTTTTCGTTATGCCGATACCCGTTAAATCGTATAAATCGTTACCGCTACCGCCCCATCCTGCTCCATCAATATATATCTACATATCATCATTAAAACGCGTCGCTCTTCATTTGTAAATTGATTCATCTCAAAAACTAAAAACCGAAATTCAAACCAAATTCATAACGCTATGCTCTCTGCTCCGCCTCGTTAATTTTGTGATTCACGCGATCGTAATTGAAATTACTATATATTGTAACTTAAATCTGATTCTGTATCTGCATCTGCATCCGCGAATCGCATCCGCAATCGTGTGGTGTCCCTCCCGGCACGCTTCAATCGATACTTTTTTTTAGATACGTGGGCGAAGTTGTGCACAAGCAACCGTAAGTATCGCTCCATTTCCCCACCATTTAGACCACCCACTTGAACAACCCGTCCCGCCCAAACTATATATTATATTCGTCTCTGTATAATTTCTATGGCTCACTTAATTTGTCGTTTTAATATTTTCTATGTTATTGGCTATCCGATATGTCCGTCCATCCGTTAATTATTAAGAAGAAAAAAAAAACCTTGCAGCAGCTGTGCCAGTTGTTGCCAGTTGAGGCTCCATTTCCATATTGGTTTGCAAAATCACTTTTAAATTGTACAGATATCTGGACCAAAAGATATAGTATTACACTTGGTTACACACCTGTAAACAGCACAAAGTAGTTCAAGTTGAAAATTAGTCTCGAGTCTAACACTAATTTATACTGGTAGCTTAATCTAACAATGGAACCGTAGAGCAGGACAACCCCACCTCAGGATCAGCGCTATATAAGATCTACATATTTTGTTACGTTATGTTCTGTTCTGTTTTGATTTTTTGTGACGTTCAGTTATGTACTTTTTTGTTCTCCTGCTAATTTTCTATCAGATACTTGATACTGTATTATTATATCTAAATCGAACTTTTTCCAATGAATAGACCTTCGATGCTGTCGGTTAATCACCTGCTTCAGACGCTGCTGCATGTGCTTCAGGTGACTTTATCCTTTCTACTCATGCTGATCTTCATGACCTACAACGTATGGCTCTGCCTGATGGTTGTCCTGGGCGCCGGCGTTGGATACTTTTTGTTTTGCTGGAAGAAATCGGTAATTGTGGATGTCACCGAGCACTGTCACTAACAGAGAACCACCGGTAGCCTCAGCCGCCGATGTCTCATGGAGGCGGGGGCGGAGGCATTGGAGGAGCAGATATCCATCTGAACGAAAGGCGGAGGCGTTGGTGCTAAGTTTAAATTCCCGGAGGTTCTCATCCTAATACAACATACCCCTGCCACATGCTATTCTCTATGCCCTAGCCTATAACTAACTTTTAAGCTGGATGTAAACGATGCAGTGGCACCGCCTTGGTGCCCGGAATATCATAGCCAGCAACCGATGCATCGTTTACAATCAAACTTAAATCCCGACATAAAGATCAACTATGTAAATGGTCTACTCGCAAGCATTTGCGGGCAATCGTTGTAAGTCCAAAGTGTATAATACTACAAGAGAACAAATTGTTCGTAGGATTCCCCCAAAAGCAAATACTTTTTTTTTTTTGTATCATGATTATTATATACCATTTTGTATCCTTATTATACGATTATGATAATTATTATTTGGTAATAAAAATCCATTCTTTTTTATATTTCCCCTTTTGTTTGTTAAACCCCCCCCAAAAAAAAAAGACATTTTTGTTAAATTTGGCTTACTTGTGAAAAGGAAGATCTGAATATGTGCTGCAACGGTGCGTTTCACAAGTGTAATTTGATTTTAGACACCAACAAACTCCAGTTGAGATGGTTGGCATTGATTTATGCTTGCATTTACGTGTTGTTTTTAACAACTGATATTACTTTAGGCTCGAAAATTGTTATCTAATTAATTTAAATGTCTACCATTCTTCTTAACATTAACTTTTAATTGTTGTTTGTTCGTAAAATTGATTGTTCGCAAAAATAAAAACAGACTTTGCTCAACTTGTAAATTGCTTTCCTAAATGAATGCCCACCCAAAAAACAACTATTGCAAAAGGCTTCCAAAGCAAGGCCCCCCCTCCAAAAAACTGCCTTAATGTTTCGAAATGCACTGTACCCAGCATATGTTCACCTACTTCATCCGAGTGCATAAATAGAAGTTGTAGATATTAAATGTAATGCAAATACATACAGTAAAACGGCAACAAATTTATAAATATTACTATTAAATCAACTTATACATTAATAAATATACAAACAGAATATTGTTATAACTGAAATAGATCAAATTGGATTTTAAAATGGAAAAAATATTGGAAGGGATAATCGGGATTTTTATTTCTTTTTTAATATTAATAAACAAAAATTATGAAAAATTATTGAAACTATAAAAGTGAACTTATCCGTAATTTGAATCAACATTATATTTATAAAGAAAACAACACATTCGGTTTCGTTTTCGGGATTTACGTTGCTCTTTATTAGAAAATTATTGCGAGTCTCTCAATAGAATGTTGTATCCTTACTCATATCGTAATTCATAATTAAAAACATTTTTACATGACTACAGGCGATCGATCGAATTTTATTGATTGGTTACACTAAAACTTAATTCTGCATTTGTGATTTTTTTTTTTTTTAACTCTTGCTTGCCCGTTGGGAACTCAATTCAATTGAATAATTACGAGGTGATGGTGTAAAGCAAAAATTAAGAGGCGGGATAATGGATTAATGGATGGGGATCAGGATGCTTGGGGGGATGGTGGAAGAGGTTAAAAGTTAGTTAGTCAGGGGGTCCTTGCAGGCCAGGGAATAGGGAGTTCAACCTGCGAGGACACCAAAAGTAAAGCAACCATACATTCATATATGTATATGTACGGTTTAAAAGTTTTAAGATAATTATTAACTGAGATACCCCGCCGTTTCGATAACGATTTCCATAGATAGATCGAAGGGATGGATGATGGAGTAATGGAGGGGGTAGTGGAGTTATAGATATATATATATAATAATAATAATATAGTTATAAGTAGATGAGAGAAATTGAAATTCACCTCGTTTTTTTTTTGTATCATGCCTAATACACAGTTATACACGAGTGTCTCATTCTGCCTTCTCTTTCATTCTCTGATCACTGATCATCACTGATCGTTCGTTGATCGCCGATTGATGATCGTTCATTTCTGGATTGAGGACTATAGGTTTTGGTTTGCTATCCCGACGCCGCCTTGTCTGTCGTGAAGAAACATTTATGTTGGGGATGTGTGGCATAGAAGTTACCTGGTTGGTTCTTCTTTCTATATATGTCTCTCTCTTTCACTTTATATATATCCCTCTCATTCTTTTCCATATATTTTTGGGTTCCGTTGTTCAATTGGCAACTCCTGGAATATGTTTGCAGAGAAAACAGTGTTAGATAAATGAGCCAAATGAAAAGTTCGGACGTGGATAGCGTATCTTAAGACTAATTTCGAGCTGAACGTGTATTAAGATACTGTTCATCTGGGTGTGAGGTTTAATTAAACTTTTTTTTTTTTTGGTTTATGTGTCACGAAAGTTACAGAACATACACAACTACGAAAGGTTCGTTTTTAGCTTTGCATCGCAAAAATTGTCTTAAATATTGAATATCAGTGGTTTTTTTTTTGGGGTCGGGGGTCTGTCACAATTTACCTGTTGGTGAAGAGGAGGGGTACATGAACATACACTTGTGTATGGGTTTAGGAACTCGAACTCTCTCGCCCTCTCTGTCTGTGGTCAGTTTGCTGTCTCCCTTTGCTCTCTGCCTATGCTTGTTTTTATTTTATTTTTTATTTATTTTTATTGATTACAATTTAATTCGATTTAGCAATTCAATTACCTCGTGTTTTTCTTTTCTTTTTGGCGGGTATCTTGGAATCTTGGCTTGAAGATTTCGCTGGGGTTAGTTTTGAATCTTAAAAAATACGATAGTGCAAGGGGGGGTAATGGGAGGGGCAGAACACCACAACAATGAGATAGGGATACAAAAAAAGGATAAATGTAAATCTACGACGGAAAACCGACGCCTCAGGATTCCACTCTCCAAGGGAATTTAAGAAATTTCTAATCTAAAATGTTAAAATGAATTTTATGATTTCTTTTTTAAGGTTTTATTATATAAATCATGATCTCAATATGGTATATAACTATAATATACTGCTCTAAGATTTATTTTATAACTCGGACTCGGATCGGTTTAGTTCAACTTTCAAGCTTCATCCTTGGAAAGGGCTTAGCAGTTGGTTGGTTTTCATCAATTGATCAAATGTACCTTTAATTGGACACTCATCAGAAGCTCCTGTCATCTTCTCATTCCCTCAAGTCCGCCAATTTCTCATATTTTTTTTAAAGGATACAAATTACTACGACTACATACCTCCACTTTGGAACTCGAAACCCATCCCATCGCACACAAATGACCCAGCAACCCAGTCGCCAAGCCAAAAGCCAAAAGCACATGCAATACGAGTCTTTCCTCTCTAGGTCACTTAATATATATATATATATATATATACATATATCGTTTATGGGTTTATGTTCTTGTGTTCAACTGTAGGTGTGGATGGATGGTATGTGGGGGGGTTGTGCGGGTGGGATGGCATGATATGCGTGGATCTGTTTCTGTTGGGTTAGTTAAGCGCATAGAGATAACATTAAGGCTTGGTAAATACCTGTTTCAGTCACTGTCCCACTCACAATTGCAATGAAAACGTCCAAAGAACGCTCCGTGTTGCCCTAATCATCTGCCTATCTAGCGGCCGTAACGAATTTTATATATAGAAACCGGATTACCCAACCACTACAAATTTTCTCTGTCTTCTATTTAATAACATACTAAATTGAAGAATCTATAAACTACAACTGAATAAAGCTTGTGTACGTTTGTAATTTAAACAACTTTTTCAATATTTACCTAAATGGTTACTCCAATTCGCTGATCTAATAAAAAGTAGCAAAGAATAACGACTTTCTTGAGTTTACTATCGAAAATTATAGAATTCGGAACTAAAAGATTTTTCTCTATTGTTTTAGAAACACAACAATAATTAAACAAAATTTACTATAAAAAATCCAAAAAATGTCGATACCTAAACCTTAGAATTCCATTTCGTATGTCCGTTTGTCTGTTTTAAAGGACCTGCCATTCGAGAAATCCTCAATAGATCTCAAACCAACTGGGTACACACATTGAGAGGAGACATATTTGTACACAGATATAGATCGATAAAGAGTTATGATACGAAAAAGATTATGTCTACGGAATATGGAGTGGCACAATGGCGCCGCAGTGTTACTTTTTACTGGTTTTATTAAGTGTTCGACTCACCTCAGCGCACACGTTTTTGCCAGCTCAGATACTGTTTTTATACATATTATATATATATTTTTTTTTTTGGAAATTGTGTTAATGATTTTTGTTATTTTTTTTTTTTTGGGTACCTCGATGCTGCCTCATTTCACCAGGACAGCTTCTGCTTACGGAATTGCAGATTTGGGAACACTTAGGACTGAAGACTGAAGATTGTAGATGGGCGAGAGATTGTGTTCGTTTTGCTCTTGATCATATTCGGTTGTGTGTGTGTGCTCTCGTATTTGGGGCTTTGGGAACTGCTCCTGACTTTCAGCTTAAGTTTCTATGCGTCATTTACTTGTGGTGCTTAATTTCCACTTCGTTTTTTTTTTTGTTTTTTTAATTTTTGGTCTCTAGTAGCGGCTACGACTCCGACTGCGGCAATGTCGCTCGCGGCTGTCATGGCGGTAGTGATTATGGTTGTGATTGTGGTGACTCCGGTTGCTCCGGCTGCTGCTGCCACCACCACCACTACCACCGCCGCCGCCTCCTCCTCCGCTACCTCCACCACTCCGCGAGTACGAGTGATGGGAACTGTGGTGCGACTTATGGTGATCTGAAATAAAAGGGCGGAGTTTAATAGAAGCTAGAGTGCCGTGTGCAAGTGCAAGCGCAAACCCGGTCTCGAAAACGAGACTGGAAACTTACGATGACGCCGATCTGAAGGTTGACGATTTTGAACATATTCGCGACTTCGCTCCCGGTACTCGTTGCGGGGTTCGCTAAGGGATGCAGAAAAAAGAAAGAAAATGATTAGGTAAAAAAAGCAGCTAGCCTTAGAAACCACAATGTAGTGTGTAGAATCTATGACATCATATCGTCTTGAAAAGCATCTAGCCAATATGTAATTGGTAACCAAGTGATAAAATAAACTCAAAGTAAACAAACTTAGCAGCATTACTCATAGTCACATTGAACGGCAATCTGCCAATTTTGTTGTAATCAACTAGAAAAAGAATCGTATCCAAGGGGTATATAGGATATAGTCTTTGTCATAGCGAAACATAGCTGGATTAACACAGAAGGCAAAATGCCAAATATATAAACAAAATATGTACTGGACTTCTTGGTAAATCTTTTAAATCAAGATCTTTAGATCCGACACACTATGTTGCAAATATGACATCCGACTAGACTTTATCTATATCAAACGACACTAATATTAAAACTGGACTCGAGTATGCTTACCGTCTGCTTTCATAGGAGTGGAAGCGCTGAACTCGGCCCTCACGCCTTCGTCGATCCTCTTGCTCACGTTCTTTCTGTCGCGCATCGTTGATCTCAGTCACCGCGTTCCGCAGCTTGGAGTACCCTAAGTGCTGTTTGCCCATCAAATGGTCCTCGATCCGCTGTTGTGCATCGCCAACGATCAGAAAAGCCCCGCAGATCTCGCACACCTTCATCTGTTTTTCAGGCAACGCGTCATGCGACCAACTAGACGTCTTGTTTTCTGTTTTTTCAGTTTTATCCTCGCTTGCGACTTCAGCTGCTTCGCCGTCTTCCGTTGGATTGGCTCCTGCTGTTGTAGAGCTTGGAGCTGCATTTGGTGCTTCATCACTAGAATTCGTGGTGATGGCAGGAAGAGGGTTGCTTGAGGTTTCCTCGCTTGGATTTGTGACCGGACTGCTGCGCGACTGTTGCTGATGCTCTTCCTCTGGTAATCTTGTCGTCAAGCTGATGGCTTTATTATGGGCCTCGTGCTGCTGGACCAGTTGCTCCCTCTCCTCCTTAAGCTCGTCGCAAAGGGTCATTAGATCCTGTGCCTGGTCCACGTCCCCCCGAATTCCAGCTTCCTCCGCCTCGGAGAGAAGCTTATTGATTCTGGCAGTCAGATTACCCAGTTGCTCCTGATGCCTGCTCAATGGGTTTGCAGCATTTGGTTGATCTCTCTGCATTAAAAGCAATCGTTGTTTGCCCTTTTGAATCTTTCGATCCACATCATGCAGCATCACATTGCAGAATCTGAGGAACTCATCTTCATATTGCCGCTTTTTTTGCGAGGGTCGAGCATCCTCGTACAGATGACGGGCCTCTTCGTCGTGAATGCGGGTACAGGGACCCAGATCTGCGCGGGTATTAATGAACAAATCATGTGGGCAGAACTTTACGTTGTAGAACTGACAAAACTGAAAAGAAAAGTAGATTTTTAGGGGGTTTTAGGCATGGCACGGGAAACAACTCACCTCGGGATCTTCCCAATTAACCTTGGCGCCGGCCTCTGATGGATGCAGGTTTCTATTCCTGCCCATTAGCTCATCAAGCATTTGCCTGGCGGCGTCAACCATTTTCGAGCACTTCTTTTGATTTTGGGGTGGTCAAACTACAAGGGTCGATGGTAGAAGAAATCCACCGTGGTGCCGCACCGACTTTTGCGGCCTAGGCAGTGCCGGCGGGAAGGTGCAGCGACTAATCAGACGGACAGGAACACGTGTTTGAGTTGACTTATTCGCGATTTCGCCAAGAAGGAATCAATAATAATATTTCATTGGATCCTGGGACATCTTCTGCATATCACGCAGTTCGAAATTTATTGCACTGATTGGATTTTATTTCGGCTAGCGAGGACCTGATGAGGCAGTCCTCAAAGCGCTATTCCTTGCCCCCACTACTTCACTTAGAATATCGCAGAAATATATTTAATTTTTTTTTAATAAAAACTTTTCGATCTAATGTGCCCTTAAAATACTAATACAATAATACCCTAAAATAAAAGTGGTACCGTATTTAGAAATCTTTTTATGTAATAGCGTTGCCACCTCCGAGCAACTGTCAGAAAAAGGCGCCAAAAATTGGCGAAGCACGCAGCTGTAAACATTCGCAAGATCAATCCGAAATTTAGCGCGTTATCTTCAGCGTTTGTTTATCAGTTTTAATTGAACAGTGACCGAAAATGGATGTTGCAGATGCTCAGGTTGGCCAACTGCGCGTCAAGGACGAAGTGGGCATTCGGGCTCAAAAGTTGTTCCAGGATTTCCTTGAGGAATTTAAAGAGGATGGCGAGATCAAGTACACGCGCCCGGCAGCCAGCTTGGAATCTCCAGATCGCTGCACCTTGGAAGTGAGCTTCGAGGATGTGGAAAAGTACGACCAGAATCTGGCCACCGCCATCATTGAGGAGTACTACCACATCTACCCGTTCCTCTGCCAATCCGTTTCGAACTACGTGAAGGACAGGATTGGACTGAAGACCCAAAAGGATTGTTATGTTGCATTCACGGAGGTGCCGACGCGGCACAAAGTTCGCGATTTGACTACCTCCAAGATTGGCACTCTCATCCGCATTTCAGGCCAGGTGGTGCGCACCCATCCCGTGCACCCGGAGCTGGTTTCCGGTGTCTTCATGTGTCTGGACTGCCAGACCGAAATTCGGAATGTAGAGCAGCAGTTTAAGTTCACCAATCCCACCATTTGCCGCAATCCCGTGTGCTCCAATCGCCGACGTTTCATGCTGGATGTTGAGAAGAGTCTTTTCCTGGACTTCCAGAAGATTCGCATCCAAGAGACCCAGGCGGAGCTGCCCCGTGGTTGTATTCCCCGAGCGGTGGAGATCATCTTGCGTTCAGAGTTGGTCGAAACTGTTCAGGCTGGCGATCGCTATGATTTTACAGGCACCCTGATCGTAGTTCCGGATGTAAGCGTCCTGGCAGGTGTGGGCACTCGGGCAGAGTCTAGTTCCCGTCATAAACCAGGCGAGGGAATGGAGGGAGTCACTGGCTTAAAGGCTCTGGGAATGCGGGAGCTGAACTACAGAATGGCCTTCCTCGCCTGCAGCGTTCAAGCCACCACAGCTCGATTTGGCGGCACAGATCTTCCCATGTCGGAGGTTACAGCGGAGGATATGAAGAAACAAATGACAGATGCGGAGTGGCATAAAATCTACGAAATGTCGAAGGATCGCAACCTCTACCAAAACCTGATCAGCAGCCTGTTTCCCTCGATCTATGGCAATGACGAGGTCAAGAGGGGAATTCTTCTCCAGCAATTTGGCGGCGTTGCTAAGACTACAACTGAAAAGACATCACTACGTGGTGACGTCAATGTCTGCATCGTGGGTGATCCCAGTACGGCCAAGTCACAATTCCTCAAGCAGGTTTCCGACTTCTCGCCCAGAGCTATCTACACGTCTGGAAAGGCTTCCTCTGCAGCAGGTTTAACTGCAGCTGTCGTACGCGATGAGGAATCCTTTGACTTTGTCATTGAGGCTGGAGCCCTTATGTTGGCCGACAATGGCATTTGCTGCATTGACGAGTTTGACAAGATGGATCAACGCGATCAGGTGGCCATTCACGAAGCCATGGAGCAGCAGACCATCTCGATAGCACGCGCTGGAGTTCGAGCTACTCTTAATGCCCGCACTTCCATTTTGGCTGCCGCCAATCCCATCAATGGTCGCTATGATCGCTCCAAGAGTCTTCAGCAGAACATACAGTTATCCGCACCCATTATGTCACGTTTCGATCTGTTCTTCATCCTTGTAGACGAATGCAATGAAGTGGTTGACTATGCTATTGCCCGTAAGATCGTTGATTTGCACTCGAACATTGAAGAGTCCGTGGAGCGAGCTTATACCCGCGAAGAGGTCCTTCGGTATGTGACCTTTGCACGGCAGTTTAAGCCAGTAATTGGTCAGGAAGCAGGACGCATGCTGGTCGAGAACTATGGTCATTTGAGGCAGCGTGATACGGGTACAGCTGGTAGGAGCACTTGGAGGATCACGGTCCGTCAGCTTGAGTCCATGATTCGTCTGAGCGAGGCCATGGCCAAGCTGGAGTGCTCCAACCGCGTTTTAGAGCGACACGTCAAGGAAGCATTCCGTTTGCTAAACAAGTCCATTATACGCGTGGAACAGCCAGACATTCATCTAGATGATGATGACCAGGCTTTGGATGTGGACGATGGCATTCAGAACGACATTGATATGGAGAACAATGGAGCAGCGGCCAATTTCGATGACAATATGGACACCTCCGGCAACGGAGCTATGCAAAAGAAGAAGTTCACGCTATCCTTCGAGGACTATAAAAATCTGTCCACCATGCTGGTTTTGCACATGCGTGGTGAGGAGGCGCGCTGCGAGGTTGAGGGCAGCGATACAGGCATCAAGCGCAGCGATGTCGTCACTTGGTATCTGGAGCAGGTGGCCGAGCAAATCGAGTCCGAAGATGAGCTGATCTCGCGGAAGAACCTCATCGAGAAGCTAATCGATCGCCTCATCTACCATGATCAGGTTATTATTCCGCTCAAGACCTCTACGCTAAAGCCGAGGGAAAAAGGTGTGGGACAGAACGATGAGGAAACGGAGGACGATCCCCTGCTGGTGGTGCACCCCAACTACATTGTGGAATGATCAAAGCCGACCAACAGTTTTGTATACCCTTAGTCTACATAGTTAAGTTTCTGTTTCCACTTTCCATTTTTTTGATCATCTAATCATTGTATTTTAGTTGTAAGTTTGGATTTTAAGATATCACTAAAACCCATTAAGGATTTGTTGACCCATTTGCGGTCAAGTTACGTTCCAAATTATCCATGTTTTCGCCAAAATAAATGTTCATCTCAAGTTCAGCTGGGTTTCTTTTCATTTTAATTGTACAGATGCTTTGATAAATTGCCTATGAAATAAAAACGAGGCCCGCCGAGCGATCGAGAGGAGTGTGCTATCTACTTCTCAAAAGTGTAGTGCTTAACACCATCGCCGGGATATTGCTTGGCGGCCACTGGGCGGTACATCTTCTTGTCCTCCAGCCAGTAATAGAGGGCCAGACAGCCGGACATAACGCCTAAGAAGCAGACAAAGTAGTACGAGTTCTTGTATCGTGGCTGTTCGGCCTGCGACCAACGGTCCTCGCTGTACAGATCGTGATCAGCTGAGATCTAGAGTCGAAATACATATGTATTATAGATATCTATGAAACTAAGGAGCTGGGTGATCTTACGGGCTCGTGAAGATTACGCTTGTGCTCCGGATAATCCCAGGGATAGTAGGTATCCTTGGCCTCCACGCCGAGACCGCCACCCACTTTGGGATAATCTCCATGACCCAAACCATCGTCCGCATATGGTCTGTACTCCTCCGGCAGAAGGTAGTACTTCTTAGCCGCAGCCAAGCGTTCCTTCTCTGTTTGTGGATAAGGACCTGGCTTGAAGTCCTTGTTCCAGCCGGCCACTAAACGAAAAAAAAAAACAAGTTTTAAGCTTGGTACGCCAAAAAGTTACGTAAACAAAACATATGTAGAGGTTCTCGCGTTTCCTCTTCTGCCCAATTTTCACTTACTGCTCCGGAGGGCCTGGCGAGTCACGGCAGGATTGGCAGCGCATAGCTTTTGAGCCAGGCAAACGGTTTTCAGAAACGCCGACATTGCAGACTCGCTTCAAAAAAAGTTCGCAATTTTATTTCCGAAAGCAGTTTGGGCCAATCGTTAATCGGGCTTAACAGCTGTTCGCCTAACGATGGGACAGGAGTGATATCTTATCAAGCTGCCTGTAATCGATAGATGGCGTGCGCCGTAAATATTTACAAAATATCCCTATTCAAGTTTTTTAGTTTTGCTGCCATATAATAAATGTTAAATAAGGTGTTTTGCAAATACAAGAACAGCTTACTATGTTAATATTTTAAATGAGTTTTCGTAAAGTAACCATTGTCAACACCAATCGATAGTCGATAGTACGCACCCGCGCATCGAAGTTTTGTTGTTTTTTTTTTGTTGGTGTTGTTGTGGTGGGCTCGTCCGTGAAAGATCACTTTGCAAACTTATTTATTATTAATTAACCATTAAGAAATAAGCATAAATATGGTGCTACCGTTATTGCAGCGTTCTACGCTCCGCGGCGTTCAGCAAATAACGAAACCCTGGGTCTCCATTGGAAGTTTGCGTTTGGTAAGGATTTTAATGTTATATTGGATATATTCCCTTGTTATATGTCAAATATTGTGCCTTATGTAATGCTTGTTTCGCTTATAAACTGCTTTATAACTCCATAAAATGTTAAAAATTTGAAACATAACAAGGAAAAATGCGAAAAGAAAATGCCAATATAGCCGGCGTTTCGTAATCATTATACAATGGAAAGTGGAAGTGACCGCCTTCCAGCAACTGGAATATCAATTCCAATTGGCACCCCTCCTCGACCACTTGTAGACAAACTCCAATTGGCGTTTCTGATGCCGGTCCAATTGGAAGCTGCTGCATTGATTTTTTCACTCGAATATTTCGCACTTTTTATTTTTCTTTAAATCGCACTCAAATCACATGAGAAAAGAAAACAAAACAAACCCACACAGCAAAAAAAAGAACTCGCGAAACGAGTTGTAATTCAGACAAAAATTGTGCTGTTCAGCGACTTCTTGTTTTCGGCAATTGAAATCAAACCGGTTAACTGTATATTCTTACGCATGGTAATATCCAATTGCCGACCACTGTAATACACTCCCCTGGTACTTGTGATTATACAGATAACTAACATATATATAGTACCAGATAGTAGCAACAGTCGGGCATAAATTACAGTCATAAATCCAAAGAATATGATATGATGCATAATATCATACATTGAGGTGCACAAAGGTATCAGTCGGTGTCATAAAATGTATTTCAAATTAAATTATTATCAGTTTTCCAATACTACAAGTTTTAAATTTTTGTACAATATATTTTCATATACATATGTACATTTATATTTCTTTAATATTATATTGTATTATGTTATCTCTATATAATTTAAGAAAAATGTGAGCTACTTGTTATGCCCTTTGCTGTTCTCTGTGTGCCAAAACCAAAATCCAGCTGATTAGCAAAGCACCCCATGCAAAGTAGGGTCTTCAGCGTACAGTGTTCGATCCCCTCGAGAGCCGCCCTCTTTTACACCTCCACCATTCCATATTGAGAGAACTCTTTTCAAGAATCTGTTCGCTGTACACTCGGGTTTTAGATTTATTTTATAGACTCGTCCGCTTATCGGGTTCCGTTTTTTCCAACGTCTCAGTTAACTTTGAGCAGCAGACGCCGAACGATCGGATCCTCAGATTCTAGTTTCTCGGTTCTGATTTCAACTCAACTTATCTGCCATCTATCTCACTTGAAATGGTCAGATGGTTGCCTATTTATTCTTTATAATAGCCTCATATTTAATCTGGTACTTTTCCTCTTGCAGGCCTCCCAGGAATTTCGCGTAGAGAGCGATACCTTTGGCGAACTGAAGGTTCCAGCGGATAAGTACTATGGCGCCCAGACTATGCGATCCCAGATCAATTTCCCCATCGGCGGAGCCACCGAGCGGATGCCCGTAAGTTATCTCAATAATAACTCACTAAAAGTAAGGATTTTATATAATTAAAAGTTGTTTACTAAGAATGATTTATTCACTTCTGAATTCATTACCCATTATTAGTACCTTCAATACTTTTTTCACAGCCTAATTAAAACTCAAGTATTCTATCAATCATTTTTAATTAACTTATCAATGACTACACATATTGTAAGGGACTTTTCATTGTTTATGATCTTAAATTACATTGTCAAAAACAATTTTTTTAAAAAGATTGTTTAGGAAAACAAGTTTTCTACAGAGAAATTCTAATATATTCAGTTCTTAAACGACGCTTCAAGGTTCAAGAAGTAGCAAGTTTTAGCTAATTACAAAGTGAAATAATATCAAAACTTTGCCTTGAATGCACAGAATAGAGAATTCTTGTTTAATGAGTTTCTTCAAGGTTTCAAAAAATCAGCAATGTAATGTAATTGAAGTGAAAAATGTTGAAAAAGCTTGACTGGCAGAAAATATTAAAGTGGACCCAAGTAAAATTTCCAAGTCATAACAGTTTAATTATTTCTTAAATTATTTCAAATCCTATAGAAACCAGTGGTGCAGGCAATGGGCATCCTGAAAAAGGCCGCCGCTGAGGTAAACAAGGAATTCGGACTGGATAGCAAGGTAAGCGAGGCGATCTCGAAGGCAGCCGATGATGTGATCTCCGGAAAGCTCTACGCCGACCACTTCCCGCTGGTCATCTGGCAGACGGGTTCCGGCACCCAGAGCAACATGAATGTGAATGAGGTGGGTGACAAAGACACTTTCTTAATTTGATACTCCTCTAACACTCAGTATCTCTAATAACCAGGTGATCAGCAATCGCGCCATTGAGTTGCTAGGCGGTAAGCTTGGCTCTAAGACGCCCGTCCATCCTAACGATCATGTGAATAAGTCGCAGAGCTCCAACGATACTTTCCCCACCGCCATTCACATCTCGGTGGCTCTGGAGCTGAACAACAACCTCAAGCCGGCGATCAAGACACTGCACGATGCTTTGAGGGCCAAGTCAGAGGAGTTCAAGGATATCATTAAGATCGGACGCACCCACACAATGGATGCCGTGCCACTGACCCTGGGTCAGGAGTTTAGCGGCTATGCCCAGCAGTTGGCCTACGCCCAGGAGCGGATCGATGCCTGTCTGCCGAGAGTTTATGAGCTGGCTTTGGGCGGCACTGCCGTAGGAACTGGTTTGAATACGCGTAAGGGATTCGCTGAGAAGTGTGCGGCAAAGATTGCCGAGCTTACCAACCTGCCATTTGTTACCGCGCCCAACAAGTTTGAGGCATTGGCTGCCCGAGATGCCATGGTTGAGGTCCATGGTGTCCTCAATACGATCGCTGTTAGCCTGATGAAAATCGCTAACGATATTCGTTTCCTCGGCTCGGGCCCACGTTGCGGCTTGGGTGAGCTTTCCCTGCCGGAGAACGAGCCTGGTAGCTCTATCATGCCCGGCAAGGTTAATCCCACGCAATGTGAATCACTTACGATGCTATCTGCCCAAGTAATGGGCAACCAAGTGGCAGTAACGATCGGTGGTTCCAACGGACACTTCGAGCTGAATGTTTTCAAGCCTCTGATCGTGTCCAATGTGCTGCGCTCCATTCGTTTGTTGTGTAAGTTTAAAAGATAATGTTGTTGTTTATTTGCAAAGTAATGACCTTTCCTCTTTAGCTGACGGCAGCAGGACCTTCACTGCCAACTGCGTGAACGGAATCCAGGCCAACCGCGAGAACATTGCCAAGATCATGAACGAATCCCTGATGCTGGTTACCGCCCTGAATCCCCACATTGGCTACGACAAGGCGGCTAAGATTGCCAAGACGGCGCACAAGAATGGAACGACCCTCAAGGAGGAGGCCATCAATCTGGGCTACCTCACGGAGCAGCAGTTCAACGACTGGGTGCGACCCGAACAGATGCTGGGACCCAAGTAAAGCAGTAGTAGGCCAACCATCTAATCCATTTCACCCATGCTGTCATAGAAACTCCATTGGGATTTTCTAGCCTGTCGGGTTTAAGTTCGTTTATATATGAATCGCTCGGAATCACAGAACAATAATAACTAAAAATGCTAAAGCAAATCAATGGCCTTTATCTGTGCAGACGCAATCTCTGGGTGGCTTGTGGTGGCTTGCGGGGCAAGGATGTAAGTAAAACTGGCGAATGGGATGAGAAGGGGGATGTTCATGTGTAGAAAGGACATTTTTCCAGAGCAAAAAAGGCAAAGAGAATGAGAAGTTCCGTATGGAGAAGGATACTTTTGGGGAGCTCAAAGTTCCGGAGGACAAACTTTATGGAGCACAAACGATGCGTTCCAAGTTGAATTTTCCAATTGGCGACATAGCAGAGCGCATGCCGGTAGGGCTGAAAACCAGAAGATTCTCAGCTCTCCTCCTAAATTTATCCTGTACTGTTCTTAGATGCCGGTCATCCAGGCCATGGGTATACTGAAAAAGGCCTGCGCCGAGGTCAACAAGGACTACGGCTTGGATAGCAAGATCTCCGATGCAGTGTCCTGCGCTTGCGATGATGTCATATCTGGCAAGTTCTATAAACAAGGTCACTTCCCGCTGGTCATATGGCAAACTGGATCTGGCACGCAGTCCAATATGAACACCAACGAAGTGAGATTTACTTACTACCAATTTTCTCCTGATTTCCCCCTTATGCCCTTACCCTTCCCTAGGTGATCAGCAATGCAGCTATAAAGATGTTGGGTGGCGAACTGGGCAGTAAGAAGCCGGTACATCCGAATGACCATGTGAACAAGTCGCAGAGCTCCAATGATACCTTCCCCACCGCCATCCACATCTCAGTGGGCATGGAGCTAAACGAGAGACTTCTTCCATCGGTGACCCACCTAAGGGATGCTCTTAAATCCAAGTCGGATGAGTTCAAGGACATCATTAAGATTGGCCGCACCCATATGATGGACGCAGTTCCCTTGACTTTGGGTCAAGAATTTAGTGGCTATACGCAGCAATTGACGTATGGCCTGGACAGGATTAAGTGTTGTTTGCCGAGGGTGTATGAACTGGCCTTGGGTGGCACTGCCGTGGGAACTGGACTGAATACGCATAAGGGATTTGCCGAGAAGGTGGCCAAGCGGATTGCCGAGCTGACCTGCCTGCCTTTCGTTTCAGCGCCCAATAAATTTGAGGCTCTGGCTGCCCGAGATACCATGGTGGAGGTCCATGGTATCCTCAATACGATTGCCGTGAGCCTTATGAAGATCGCTAATGATATTCGATTATTGGGATCGGGTCCACGCTGCGGTTTGGGTGAGCTAATGCTGCCGGAGAACGAACCTGGTAGCTCCATCATGCCCGGCAAGGTGAATCCTACGCAATGCGAGTCAATGACCATGCTATGTGCACAGGTAATGGGCAATCAGGTGGCAGTATCTATCGGTGGCTCCAATGGGCATTTCGAACTCAATGTATTCAAGCCATTAATAGTATCCAATGTACTGCGGTCCATACGGCTATTATGTAAGCTTCCTTAGGTATTCATTACCCAATACTATTAAGTACATGATTTATTTTTAGCCGATGGAAGCATGACTTTCAGTAAGAACTGCGTGGAGGGGATGAAGGCCAATAAGGATAGGATCGACAAGATCATGAATGAGTCCCTGATGCTGGTCACCGCCTTGAATCCGCACATCGGCTATGATAAGGCCGCCCAGATTGCGAAGACGGCTCACAAGAACAAGACAACCCTGAAGGAGGAGGCTCTAAAAACAGGCATCACTGAGGATCAATTCAAGGAGTGGGTCAACCCCAAGGAGATGCTCGGACCAAAGTGATCCGCTTTTAAGTTACTATCAATGTGCTAATTAGCTGTAATTAAATTGTATTGTATAGAGTTATTATGGTATATTTTGATGTAAAATTTTACAAAAGATTGTGAATATAATTTTATTATAAGATATAAACGATTATACAAGTTTATAATCACTTACCGTTAAAAAAAACGGTTTAAAGGTTTTAAATTGTATATGGTTATCCGTTATCGAAATTTCAAATATACAACAGATGGGAAATGCACGATTGTACTTAGTAAGTTCATACTCCTAACGTAAGCATATCTTAGCCAAGACACACACTTAGATTACGTGGCCTATCGAATACTCGATAATAACAATAAGCATCGATTTATTTCCAGCTCTAATTTTTGTTAAATAAACATTTAGGTGTGAAATATTTTTACCAATATTGTATATTTGGCGCAACGCATTGGATTGCAAATGCAATAAGTGTAAGTAGTGTGCGTGCACAATTACTAAATCGGCTGGCTTTGAGTTTTGTTTTCTTTTAATGATAAATCGGAACATCAAGCAGCTAGCCAAGTTGGCTTTCGTAAATTATCCGTTACGTTCAGTTTAAAATATCTCGAAATCAGTCTGGCCCACACAGCTATAGAAAAGAAGCTAAATTTTTTGAACCAGAGAAAAATTGAACATTGCGATCCACGGATTTTGCCTTGTAGTTGCACCATCTAATCAGGAACTTCCCCTGCAGCTGCACCACCCACCACCCACAAACGAAAGTTATATTTACGACGCAAAAACAAAACAATCGAAACGACACCCACGCACCAGCTGTTTTGATACCGATCGGCGATATCGATATCACACTGATGAGCAACATTGGTAGAAAAGAAGAAGCAACAGTTGTGCAGCGAAAAACTTAAAAAAAAGTAAGAATCTAAAATCATAGTTATGAGACGCTTTTAACATCTTTTGCAGTTATAGGCAATTAAAGCCGGGGTCTTTGTGGGCCGAAATATGTCTGTGAGACTGCTGACCGTGCGACTGATCAAACATGGTCGCTACATTTTGCGCAGCTATTGTAAACGTGATATACATGCCAACATTTTGGACCAGAATCAATTGAAGACAAGAAGCAAGCGAGGCTTTCCCCTACCCTCCTCCGCTGCCCATGTGCTCCGGGTAAGTAGCCACGAATTCCCTGGGAAAGCACTTATTTGACCAACGTAATCCCCTCCAGACAACGCCCCAGCAGGCGGCCAAATCGGTGGTAAATGTAGTGCCCCGAACCACTACTTCCCCAGCGGGAACGTCCCTGAGCGGCAGCACCAACACTAGCAGCAGTGGACTCTTTCGAGTGGGCCAACATGCCCGAAAACTCTTTATCGACAATATCCTCAGTCGGGTGACCACCACCTACTCAGAGGATCTTCGCCAGCGAGCTACCCGCAAGCTGTTCTTCGGCGATTCAGCTCCATTTTTTGCCTTAATTGGTGTTAGTCTGGCTTCAGGATCAGGTGTCCTCAGCAAGGAAGATGAACTTGAGGGCGTGTGTTGGGAGATTCGGGAGGCAGCTGGCCGGCTGCAGAGGGCCTGGAACCAAGACGAGATCTCGGAGACGCTGGACAGCAAGTTCAGCATAGATGACTTAGAAATCGGCCCACCCATTGCCAAAGGTTGTGCCGCTGTGGTCTACGCAGCTGGTTTTAAAAAGGATGGGGCTTCGGAAACACTTCCACCTGATGCAGTGCATTCACAGGCATCGCCAGCCTTTGCTCCAAATAGCTGGAGCGCCCACGAGATGATGTCACCGTTGCAAAACATGTCGCGATTTGTCCACAATTTCGGCGGCTCTGTTGATAACATCTTTCACTACAGCCAACCCTCGGCTGCAAGCGATTTTGTGGGCGCCCAGGAGAGGGAACTGGAGCAGCAGCAGCAGCAGGACCAAGAGCTTAAAAGCAGTGCCTTTAATGTGGTAAATATAGATTAAGAAAACCTTCAGACAACATCCTTTTATGATAAATTAACTTGGATTGCAGAATTCCCCAGCGAATTCAAGGATCAACAGCTCTGTGGACAACTATCCCCTGGCCCTCAAAATGATGTTTAACTACGATATCCAGAGCAATGCGTTGTCTATCCTGCGTGCCATGTATAAAGAAACAGTTCCGGCCCGTCAGCGAGGAATGAATGAGGCCTCTGATGAGTGGGAACGTTTGCTGCAGAACCAAACGGTCACCCTACCCCCGCATCCCAATATAGTGTGCATGTTTGGATTCTTTTGTGACGAGGTGCGCAACTTTCCCGATGGTCACCTCTTGTATCCGGTGGCCCAGCCGCAAAGGATCAATCCCCAGGGCTATGGTCGCAACATGTCGCTGTATCTGCTTATGAAACGCTATGATCACAGTCTGAGGGGATTGCTCGACAACCAGGAGCTAGACACACGCACTCGCATCCTGCTGCTGGCACAAATGTTGGAGGCTGTCAATCATTTGAGTCGCCACGGAGTGGCCCATCGCGATCTGAAGTCGGACAATGTGCTAATCGAGCTACAGGATGATGCCTCGCCGATTCTGGTGCTCTCGGACTTCGGCTGCTGTCTGGCAGACAAGGTGCACGGTCTCCGGCTGCCGTATGTATCGCATGACGTGGACAAGGGTGGTAATGCGGCGTTGATGGCGCCTGAGATCTTCAATACGATGCCCGGACCATTTTCCGTTCTCAATTACGGCAAGGCTGATTTATGGGCATGCGGTGCCCTGGCCTACGAGATCTTTGGCAGCCGTAATCCATTCTATTCGAGCAGCGGTGGCCTAGCACGCGAACGTGGGGAACTGACGCTTTCGCTGCGAAACAGCGATTATCGGCAGGAGCAGCTCCCTCCGATGAGCGATGCTTGTCCGCCGTTGTTGCAACAGCTGGTCCACAACATCCTCAATCCCAACCCGTCCAAGCGGGTCAGTCCGGATATTGCGGCAAATGTGGTGCAGTTGTTCCTGTGGGCCCCGTCCAACTGGTTAAAGGCAGGCGGAATGCCCAACAGCTCCGAGGTGGGTCTTTAATATATATAGTTGTGTTGTCAATGTATCTAACTAAATATGTTATTCGCAGATCCTCCAGTGGCTGCTATCGCTAACTACCAAGATAATGTGCGAAGGTCGTCCGCAGCTTGGTGCGGGATTGATGCCAGTGGTCACTAGTGGAAGACGTGCCTATGTAGAGTACCTGCTTATTTGCAGTTTCTTGGCACGCGCCAGACTCCGTCGCATTCGTGGTGCCCTTAACTGGATCCAGAATGTGGTGGCGTAGGCCACATGAAATATATCTGGATCGTGGGATCAGGAACCTTCTACTTGTTACTCTGAGAAAATCAAATGGAAAAGCGTGTGATACCTATATTTTACATATGTATTTATAAAACAAATCAAAATTAACCGCACGCTCTCCGGACAATTGTCTATTTATCCTGTAACTGCTGCAGTTCCTCGCACAGCATCAGCTCCTCGGCTATTGCCTCTTCGTACTCCCTGACCAGCATCAGTAGTCTTTCATTTACGGTCTGGGATGCTTCAGTGTCGTTATTCCAGTCGACCATCAAGTTCTCGACAACCTGGTGCATTTCTTTTATGCTGTTTCGCGCCCGCTCCAGACGAGCGTCGTCCATCTTCTCAGTTGTATTCAACTCTGGGTGCTGCACGGTTTAAAATCACTGTTTATTGAACGACTAAGCGCTAAAGAAATTAGAAATTACCATGACAAAACAGTTGAAGTTCCTCCAATATTTTTTTTAAATTTCACAAATATTAGAGATGGTAGATAAAAATGCGCTGACAACAATAACGATAACGACCAGGGTTACAGTAATTTCAAATACAATCGATAACGTTCAATATTTTTTAAATATAATTTATTTATTTTTTTTTTATATATTGGGTCTACATTCTAATATAATTGAAAAATAATTTATTTAAACATTTCATTTACAAAAATAAAAACATTTGTAAAAATCTACTACTTAAATTATTTTAACGTACAAAAAGTCAAAATTTATTTGCTTATTTCAACGCGACTGAGACACAACTTGTGATCATAGAAGGAACAAGTGGCCATGGTCAAGGAGTCATCATCCTTCTTTTGAAAAGGCGCCCAATCGGCTCCATAGCAGATGCTTTTGTGCTCCTCATAGACGCCCAGTAAACTTAAACTGGGTGCATTTGCATTTATCTGGACCACACTGAAATTTGTGTACATGCAGGCGGCCAGGATGAGATCGGGATGAGCAGGATGCGGTTTCAACCGCCAGATGCCCCCGCTCAAGTCCAGTTCCGACAAAGTTCGCTTCATGGATCGGGTATCGAACAAACGGAGTTGCTCATCATAGCTGCCCGTGAGAAGATGGTTTTCATGCTTTGGATGACTGAGCAGACAAGTTACTCCGGCCATGTGCGCCCTGTTTGTCCAGGCTCGCTGCTCCGTCCGCAAATCGTGGGCCATCAAAAGCATATCGTCGCCACCGCTGTACAAAAGATTCTCTGACCAGCGATCAAACGCGCATGTCCAGGCTTCAAAGCCATGAGATGACCACGAACGTTCCTGGATTACCTCACCCTGTGGCGAGTACTTTAGCAGATTTAAGCCACCTTTGGAATCCGAGATGGCCAGTTGGATGTTCTGTTCCTCCTTACGCCAGTCCACGGCCAGAGCCAAAGGCGATTCTTCTTGCGTCTCCTCTGCCAATCCAAAACACGTGCGTTTCTGTAGCTTCTTTTCACCTCTTAGGAATTCATAGATTTCCAACTGACCCAAAGAGTTGACAGTGGCGAGGTAGGGATTACTATCAGAGCTCCAGGCTGGCAGCCACTTCATGTCCAGAATGGCAGCCGTTTCGATGCCCTGCAGCCGCTCCAAGCTGGAGCTTGATTTCCCGAAATCGTACAAATAAACGCGGCCCTTACGTGGACGCTTGGGAGAAGCCCCATCCTCCGGCTCCACCTCTTCCTGGACCAATTGATAGGTGCCACAGGCAAAAACGCCCGTTTCCAGATCATCCTGCAGCCACTCCACAGAATCTGCAGAATATTCCGTATCTTCGCTGTGAAGCGTTGTAAACATGTTTATAAGAAAATTCAGTTATCGATAATTGATAACTTCTACCAGGGCGTCTTCAAACACACAGCCAATCGTCCGTTGCGTTTTGATCTTATTAGATTTATTTGTTATTTTAGCATTTCATTGCTAATTTAAAAAATTAATAGTTAATACATACAACTACTTAGTGCTCTGTTTACGCGCTACATATTCTGGATTAGGTATAGTTGATCTCGTCCCTCGCTTGTGGAGTTTATAGCTGCATTTCCTCGATTTTTTGTGGTTTTTAGGGCGCCACAGTTTTTTATTTTTGCTTTCCATGGGGTTTAGTGGCTGCCAGGCATCCTTCGTATTGCACTTGATTCTTGATCTCCGTTTTCTCTTTTTTTACAAATCTATTCTCAATCTATCTTGGCTCGACACATATTAAAAAAACACATTAAAAAAAAATCTTATTGATAACTACTATAGACAATCCCTACTTCTCACAGATCTCTGTACTTCTCGTTTGTGCGTCCAACGCCTGATAACTTTTGGTTTCCTGGCGGGAATAGGTGCCTGGCTGCCACATCTTCCACACATCCCCTCTAGCGATTGGTACTGCGACTGTGACGCCTCCGCGATCCTCATTTGGTCTTCATCACAATGATTGGCTCGAGTATCTTCAGCATGTCATTGTTTTCGGGTGCTCCGGTTCCATTGCCGCCGCCCGAACCAGGAGCTCCACCTCCGCCGGCTGCGTTGCCGTAATCCTTGACCACCTGTAATTTGCTGAAGCCGGAATGTGGCTGCTGCTGCTGCTGTTGGAGCTGCTGCTGCTGCTGGTGTTGACTGATGGTCACCAGGCGGTGCTGCTGGTTCAATACGATCGCCTCGTGATGCGGATGCTGTACCAATTGTTGCTGCTGTTGCTGTTGTTGTTGCTGCTGCAAGCTGCCGGCAATCTGTTGTAGCTCATGCTGCTGCAACTGCAACGGTGGCAAGTGCTCATGATCATTAGAGCCATCCCCTCCGCCTCCATCTAATGGGGAATCGTCATCGGCCTTGACTACTGTGACGAAGCCACCTTCACTGCCTGTGCCCGTGACCGAAACCGCTTCACTTTCGTACAGTTGCTGATCGGCGCTAGTGTCATCCTCATCGTCATCCTCCTCCTCGGTTTTGGCCCGGAACTCGGTGCTTGTGGCACTGCTGCTACGTGGCGTATGACTGCGCATGCGTCGCATTCGTGCATACTCCGCCTGCTTTGACAGCCGCTCCTTGCGCTCATCGGTATTTTCGGTGGCCCGGATTTGCGCCCGCTTTAATCGTGCTCGTTCACTCAGCTTCTGAAGTCGTGTGGCCCGCTGCTCGGGAGTTTCATTGGCCCGAACTGCCCTCTGGTGAGCGGCCATCTTGTCCAGGCGCATCCGTTTCTCTTCCTCCGTCTCGTATTTGTTCGGACCGCTGCGTCGCGGCGTCGTCACTGGTGTTCGACTATCACCATCGGCCGTGGAATGTACATGAATCTGACTGAGCTCATGCTGATGTAGTTGGGATGCCTGTGATAGTGGCCTGCCGCGACGCGGAGTACTAGTGGCTAGCTGCGGAGCGGATAGCATTTGATTGAGTTCCTGTTCTAGCAGACTGTTGACCTTTAGCTGCTCCTCGTTGGGCAGGGGATGTTTTCGGGGCCTACCCCTGCCCACAGTGGTTGTAACAATCTGTGGAGCCGGTGCCGCTGGTTGCTGCTGCTCTTGCTGTCCCAATCCTGTGACAGTTAGCGTAGGATTCGCCGCCAGAATGTTGTACTGTCCACCGCCTGGACTGTTAGCGCCACTTGCATTGGCAAAGTTGACGGGTGTAAAAGGTGGCGGCACTGGATTCGGTCCGATACCAATCTGGAAGCCATTGTGGTACATTGGATAGTAAGCGGTGGTGGTGGTGCCACCCGCACCCGTTGTCGTCCCCGCCGTTACCACACCCACGTGGCCGACATTGGTGGTACTAGTGGTGCTGTTACTGCTGGTGGTGTTTGGGAAGGTGGCCAGGTAGGGGAATTGATTGTACAGCTGCTGGGCCTGTCCAGGCGTTGCTTTGAGGAGCTTCTGCTCTCCACTGGCGGTCGTCACAATTACCTTCGTCTCATTGTGGCCCAGACTAACAGACCCGCTGTTATCATTGCCGCCCGTTGATCCCGGAGCATCGTTATCCGACTGCAAAAAGGGTAGAGGATTGGAAAGGTAGAAACGGGTGAGTAGGTTTGGTGGTTAGGGTGGGTTGTTATGGAATTACTGTTAAATTTCCATATTGTTGATGGATTTATGAGAGGTTTTAAAGAAATCTTTACTAATTTGGACATCCAATTTAATTTTTTAATTCGAAAATAAAATAAAAAGATAGGTTTTACGGATAGGTTTTTGAAAAGAAGCGAGTGAGTGTGATGGAGTAAAAGAGATAGTGAAAGTGGACACACACACACACACACCGGTACAGAGATCTTTTCGATTACATTTCTTACGAATTAAAACCACTTTTTTTTTGTTTGTTTCTTGTTGGTAAAAGTTTTTTGATTTGTTCTATTCGCCTTTAACATTTACATTTCTACATATGTATATCTACACTCTATATGGTTAATTCAATGAATATTGAAAATAATACAAACATCCAACATTAACGAAAACAAAAACGAAAGTATACGATTTTTGTAGGATGAAATGGGTGTGTATAGTGACTATTGCTTTTGACAGCTAAGGAACAAACAAAAAAAGAAGTCCATCAGCCGTTTATTCCTCTCATTTCCATTGACTTTTTCGTTTCACTATGAAAATTCTAAATTCTTCAATCACTTTCCCTTGAGGCAGTTGATATCTCCAACTGCAAGGAAAATATTTGAAGTTTATAAGCTTTTGGAAAAGTCTGATATTTTACCGGTGCTAAGAATTTTCATTAGATTCCAAACTTCTCTTCAACTGCAAGAATCATTTAAGATTATTAATCGTAAATTGAGGAATCAAATGCATTCTTTTAAAGATATTTTCAGTTGAGATATCTTCTCAAAACACAGTGTTTTGTATTAGGAATCTTGAAACGGAAAAAAGTATCATTTAAGGCTGACAAGGCTGATTGCAAAGATACATCTAAATTGTGCAGCTGCTGCATCGTTTACAAAAAGTACTTATATACAACAATATGAACAGGAGGCCCTAGGGCTTTTTAAAAATTGATTGCTACTTTGCGGTGTGTGTGTTTGGATTGCTATAGCTAACACCTCTTGTGATCACTGATCATTCAGTAATCTTTACCATTTCCTCGTTATGGCTGCTGCATACGCACCTGAAGTTCCTGCTTCTTGGGGGCATATTTGTGCGGGTAGAGCTCTATTTGACCACCGGCTATGCTGAAATGGGGCACATGCGCTTGGAGCAGCTTGGTGGTGCCCTTACCACCATCATCGCCATAGATCTGCTGCACAAAGATACTGCCCGGTTCGGTGCCCTCAAGTAAAGCAGCTGTGACCTGTTGCTGCTGCTGCCCGGCAATGGCGTATCGATGATGTTGCTGGTGCTGTAGGTGCTGCTGGGCGATCTGCTGCTGTTGCGGCGTCTGTGGCTCCTGTTTCAGCTGCATGGGTGGACGCAGGGAGCCGGGCGCCAGAAACATGCCCTGTCCCATGTACTCTAAAGCCTGCTGTTGCTGATAAGCGGCTGCTGTCACAAGATGTTGCTGATCCTCAGTAGATTGCGGGGTTCCTGCCTCATCTGCTGCCGTCGTCGTCGTTGTGGTGGACGCCTGGTTTAGATTGATAGTGTGTTCGTTAGTACAATTGGCTGCCGCCGTAGCGGCTGCTGCTGCTGCAACAGCTAGCACCTGCTGCTGCTGTTGTTGCTGATGGTGGTGCTGTTGGTCCGTTGACGACGAGGAGGATGTCGGCGTTGAGACGACCACCGACGACGAACCACCGTGCACCACAACATGCTTCAGTACCTTCTTCTTTTCTCTGACCTTTTTGGCATAGTCGTTCAGCTTTCTCAGTCTTTCCTTGCGCTCCTCCGGTGACTCATTGGCGATCCTTTGGCGCGCCCTAGCTGCCATTTCCGCCAGCCGGAGCTTCCGCTGATCATTCGTCTCGCTGGCCCGATACATACGCATCCTTTCAGCCAATTTGGCCAAGCGTTTGGCTCTTTGATCCGGCGACTCCATGGCCCGACGGAGCCTTTGCCTGGCCGCATTCCTCACCAGTCGCATAGCTCTTTCTATGTCGGATTCATTTTGACGTCTCTGGCGATTGGCCTCTGCATTCCGAAGTAATCGTTTGCGATACTCGTCTTCGCTCTCCCGCTGCCGGCGTTCCCGCATCCTTTCAGCATTTCTAGCCAGACGGCGCTGGCGTGCCTCAGGACTCTCGTTCCACCTTTGCTGGTGGCCAGTGGTAGATGCACCTGTTATGGAGGTGGAACTGGCACTGCTAGTCGGTCCCAAGGGAGTGGGTGGCTGTGGTTGCTGCTGCTGTTGCTGCAACTGTTGCTGTTTCAGTGGGGTATGTGCATAAAGCTGGAGATGCTGTTGCTGGAACTGAAGTGGATCCTGTTGCTGCTGATGAATATGTTGCTGTTGAAACTGTTGCTGCTGCTGTTGTTGCTGCTGTTGCTGTTGATGTTGTTGCTGCTGCTGATGTTGCTGCTGCACGTGCTGTTGCTGTTGTTGCTGCTGCTGCAACTGCAATTGGTGATGCGAGGGGAGGGGTACCAATAATGCTGAGGGATGCTCAATGAGCAGGCGGGCATTGGAGCCATTGATGGCCAGCACATGGGTGGCGTACTGCTGCTGATCAAGTGAGGGCTCTATTTTTATCCCATTGGGATCTGGTTCCATTCTTGGTCAAAAGCCGGGGGCAACAACAATCGAAATTGTCGTCTATCGGGGCTCCAAAAACGTAGTTATGTTGTAGAAGTTCGTTAGTTATCGAAAGGATGAGCGCAATCCTTCCGATAGTTCCGATAACATCTAGGGGCCGCGCTCTTACTTTGTTCTCTTTCGCACTCTCCCGCTCTTTTCTTTTTTTCTGCTCCTTGGCGTTTCCTCTTTTTGTTTGTTTTGTTTCGTTTTTCCCACTAGTTATATAAAGAATATGTGTGTGCTGGCGCCGTTACTCTCGCTCTCTCTCTTTCTATCTTGCAGCGGCGTAGCGATCGCTAATTATTATTGTGGTCCTCGAGCATGTATTTTTCCTTTGATATTGGTTCTTTTTTCTTCTTTTGGCTTCTTGTTGTCTTCTTTTTTTGCCAAATTCGTGCGTTTTTAAGAAAAGCGTGCTTCTTCTTTCGAGTAAGTGACAATTGGCGCCGCCGCTGCGCTGCTGCTGCGCTGCCAATCGATTTTTCACATGATTATACACACACACTCACACGCACTGCGAAACATACACACACACACACATACGCATACATGCAGAGCGTACGTGTATGCAAGTTTTTTTCCGCTCCTTATTTTGCTTTTCGCACAAACCTTAACCCTCTGTATCTTGCATCCATTTAATCGTTGTGCAGCCAAGCGTTCTTAGTGGGTTAAGAATGGAGTGGCTTGGCTCCCGACATTGACTGCAACGAGCGAACGTTAACCATATAGCTGGGCTAGCATATATCTTCCGCATCCGATCGGACCGGATAGGCGTTCACGTTATGATTCTTGTTCTCTTTTTTCGGAGTTCGTGGCACTGTTCTTATAATTTAATTCAATTCATTTTGTTTCAGTTGTTTTCATTTCTAGTTTTCGTTTCTCGGCAGAAAATATCGATATATCGGTAACGGATGCGAGGGTTGATTAAACATCGATATTTCATTATGCCGTTTCGATATGGATGGATTTATATATCGGGAAAATTCTTACTCGTATAAATGATAACTTTGTTAACAATTTAATTGTACCCGTAAATTCAGCATGTGAACTTATGTTAATGATTAGCATACGTTTTTTATGAATTATTTTTAACTACATAAAATATTGCTTTCATATTTTAGACGAGTGGGTCAAAAAATATTATCTCAGGTCACACTGTTTTCGAGCTTTTACTTTACATTATTGTAGACCGTTAATTTTACAGAGCATTCTTATAATATATCAAAAAAATCAAAGTATATTTTAATTAAATGCAATAGAAACTTTACTGTCGAGGATTCATTTTATTTATTTAAATCAACACAACATGTTATTATATAAAATGATTATAAAACACAAAGTTTGCTTTATTGATGTTTGAAACCACCTGTGTGATGTGCAGGATCTTTTCAGTTTAAAAAAATTTTTTGAAGGACGACGTTATAAGCCCCTTGATTAAGTTACCAATTTTAAAAGCCTCTACTTACCACCCTTGGCCTTATTCCCAACCATTTTTCGAACGCAACATTTAAAAATTGTGAATGTAACTTTATTCAAGTATATTCATTTTGTTATTCTCGTTTTTTTGCTTATGTTCTTTTGTTTTTGTTTTCGCTTTGTTGGTGTTGTGTGTGTTTGTTTTTGTTGTTGTTTTTGTGTGTTGTTATTGTTAGTGTACACGAATATTACAATACACAAAAATGTATTTCAATCTTAAGTCTTAAGGCAAAAAACAATTGATAAACGTATTTAGACAGGAAAAAAACAATTTGAAATTTCGACTAGAACTTAATGGTTAATCTTTATTAATAATAATTAGCATAATATATATTTATATATATATAATGTGGTCCGAGCGGAACTGTTTCGAATCCGTCTAAGGACATGGGCGTGGGAGAGGGATAAGGATAGGGCTAAGGATAGGTACTAGGAACTAGGGACTAAGGGAAGTGGGTGGTGAAAGGGAGAAGGATTGCGTGCTATAACAAATATTGCGTTATGTGCCTGGCAACGGATCATGTGTGTATGCTCCAAATATATATATATGTATATATGGGGGCTGCCAAGTGTGTGTATCCTTATGTGAGTGGCGTTGTCCGTTTTGGGTTACATGCTTTTACCAACTACACACACATATGGGGGTTGATTGTCGCCAGGGTGCCTCAGTTGTTTTGAAAAAATATTATTTTTGGATATTATAGCAAGGTTTGCCCGAGGATTTGCTGGAAAGGCACTTGTTGCCTCGTCCAATCGCGAATTTCTTTTTTATTTTGGATTAATGTTGTGAGATGTACCTCAGTCGTTTGCGATTTTTATTTACAGTGAGGCACCCTGGCGCTGTAAGCTTCCCTTTTTCCTGGGGTGTGGGTATTACTGCCTTTTTTGGGGGGCTCTATGTGTGTGCTATGACTATGCTAGTACATGTGTGTGGTTTTTGTGTCCTGTGTGTATACATACCGTACGAATATAATGCATGCATTATAAAAATACTTTACTTTATGATTACTTTACGTTACTTCATCTTGTTGTTAACTTAAAAAAAAAATTGCCTGGTTTTAATCCTAGAGTGCCTGCTGCCCCATTCATCTGTTAATTATCGTTATCCTCCTGGTTTCCTAATCATTTTTGTTATACGCTGTATACAATATATATTATTTATGGATGTGTGTATGTTCCTCGGCCGATCTTGGCCAATTTTTCAGCCGAAAGTTGATCCTAGCCAGCATTTTTCGGCTGCTCCGCCTGCCTTTCTGCTTTGCCGGAGAGCCAGCTCCAAAAGGTTTTCGCCATTATTCCGGGTTATACGATTCTTACCAATTCTTTTAGTAACCCTTGAGCCTGTCGGCCAGCGGTGGCTTGATGACCTTGGGCGCACTGGCCCTTGCCACCCGCATTCTTTCGGCGGCTTTGGCCAGCCGCTTTTTGCGCTCCTCGACGGTCTCCGAGGCGCGTCGCAGGCGCTGCCTCGCTGCATTCTTCATCAGTCTTAGGGTTCTTTGTACTTCCGTTTCGTTCTGGCGACGCACTCGATTCGCCTCCGCGTTCTTAGCCAAACGCACCCGATACTCGGCCTCCGATTCCTTAGCCCGTTTATCACGCATCCGGGCAGCGTTCCTCTCCAGCCGCCTTTCCCTGGCCTCAATCGATTCGTTGCTCCGCCGACGAGCTGCCTTTTGCGCTCTCGAAGATTGACCTTGCTGTGTGACTGATTGCTGAGCGCTAAGATGTGGTACACCGAGATTGGCAAGGCCCGGAACGCCACCAAGTTGGCTGGCCTCGACCACAACGCCTGCGGACAAGTGATGATGCAGGGGATGCTGTTGCTGGAGGACCTCCTGGTGGGAATTCCCCTGCTGTTGCTGCTGCTGCTGTTGCTGGTGGGGATTGCCTTGCTGGGTGAAATTGTTCTCCAGGCTCAGAACCGCTGTTCCAGCCGCACTACCACTATTTGCTGCGCTTGCTGACGCACTGGCTGCGGCTCCAGATCCTGACCCTGATCCAGAACCGGATACGGAGGTGGCTACGGATGAGGCAACGGCTGCCGCTGCGGCCGCCGAAGTCGTGTAGTTATTGTACTCTAGGAGCCCCCGATTGCCCGGATAGAGGGCATGGTGCATGGGACTCTCATAGCTAAGATACTCCGGCTTAATGAAGAACGGATCGCGGGCGGTGAGCGGCGCCGTCGGCGAGTTGAGGAAGTATAGGCGACTGTGGTGCTCGGTGGTAATGCTCCCTCCGCCACCCACACCCGCGGACATCGGGGGATTTGTGCGCTCGCTCGCGACTCGACTTTGGGATCCGGTTTGTGGTTACTCTCTAGCGGAAGTCCTTCGATGATTTAATTCGCCACTTTTCTTTTTTCCCGCGCACCGGGAATTAACACAATTAACTGGCCTGGGCAAAAAAAATGTGGCGAGTAAACAACAAAAGCGACATAACTAATCAATATGGAAAAAAGCTGCTGATGGTCTGGTCCAAAATAGCTTTAAAAACAGCTTTCAATATTTCTGTAAAGCTTTCGTATTAGTGTGCCCGAACGTGTAATATAAAATAATACTATTTCAAAGAGGCAGTATTGTATAAAGGCTTGAAAAATTTCATTTATATTTTCTTTTGATTTGTTAGTTTCTGTATATATTCGGTATAAAATGTTCAAATTTTTTGAACATTCTTTTTATATTTAATATTATTACATTTTTCCATAACTTCTGAGCGTATCTTTTGTTACTCCGATAAAACATCAAAACATGATTTATGTTTTTAAATCAGTCAGGCTTCATAGGTTGCCTAAGCATTATTTTCGTTAATTTTGTATTTAAAGTTTTAAAAAATCACTAAATTGAAAGAATAAAGACCAGAATAAATGTTTATATTTAATATTCTTAATTAATTTTGGTCAACTGCTTATAGCCTGGGCTAAAAGTAAAACAAAAATAAAATTGTCTCTTATTAAATGTAAATTTAATTAATTATTTTTTAATTTCTGTAGTTTAAGAAGATGAATCGTTTATATTTGTAATTTTATATCTTCTATCTATTAAGTTAAGGGATGCTGTTAAGGGATTTCAGCAAAATGTTTCTTCTTTAACTTTTCGTTTTTCTTAGCTTTCTATCTAGAACCTTAGATACATACATGATTCTTTTAATTTATATTCAGGGCTTCCATTATACACTTTTCTTCTTGAGCTGGTATCCCATAATTATAGTTTATCTTTTAAGCCGCTTCAAACCTAATGACGTCACATACAACTTGCTGCCTTCAGTTGCGGTTGCACGTAGAAATGAACGCGTGCGCGTATTTTTATTTACTTCATATCACGAAAATAAAAAATATATGCTATTATTAATAGTTGTATCCAGGTTTGTAATAAAATTAAATGTTTTTAGGATGTTAACACACGTTAGAAATAACAATACCATTGATATCAACATAAAAACTGTCATAACTAATGCACCGTGACACGAACAGCGATGTCGGCGCACGAGCGCATCTCCAGTAGTTGAGTGAATGGCTGGTGGAATGACAGCACACGCCATGTTGTACCGCATTTTTGTTTTGGTTCTCGACGTGAACGGACGTGTGTGCTCGTGTGATGCGGCGTCAGCTGGCAGGTAGCGTAGTTTACCTTTGCCGCTCTACAAAAGTCAAATAACAATAATAACAACGACGACGACTATAATCGCAATAGCAAAAACAACAACTGCAACAATAGGCGCATTCTTAATTGTGTTTACCTTTGATTGTCATTCGCTAGCGTTACATACACACAGACACAACGATAAACATACATTTTATAACTGCGATTTGACTGCGTGCGTGTGTCGTCGCGTCTCCTCTTCACCGCCCCCTCTTCGTCCCTTCTTTTTGTTTGTTTGTTTTTGGTTCTTGTTCTCTCGGGTTTTCCTTCAATTGGAATGTGCAGCGAAAGGAAAGGCAAGAAGAAAAGCCAAGCGCAAAGAAAAGAAAAGCAAAGAACAAATCAAATCGGAGCAACGGTATTAAATTTTATATAAGCACTAACATAATTTACTATTCCCACATATACATATACAAACATAGACATTCAAGGCAACTACTTCAAAAAGCAGTAATGATAAATACAACAATTTTACACATTCACATTCCATTTTGATTCTGTTGTGTGTGAAAAACTTATAAGAGAAAAAAGAAAAACAACAAAACCAACGGCAAATAACAAAAGTATCAACAGCAGCAGCAGCAGAAACAACAACAATAAAAACAGTAAGCAGCATAGCAAAGCAGCGAAGTCAACGTCAAATAATAAGAAGAAGAAGCAAGATAAATACATAGCAATTTCGACTAAATAAAGGTATGTGCGACGACGATTTTACTTGACTTTATTATTACTACTATACTATTTGCTAGAGCGAGAAAGTCATATATACATACAATCAGAGGCAACAACACACACGCACACACATTTTCATTATTAGTTTAACTCTTCAATTTATTATTGTTATTATTGCTATTGCTATTTGCCTTGTATCCCTGTCCCGCTCGCTCGCTCCTTGTGCTCTCCTTTTGCGCCACTCGCTCTCAGTCGACTGTCATTTTCTCTCATTTTTCTTGGCCTTCTCTTTTGTGCTCTCCGCTAGTTCTTATTAAAATAGTTACGTTAAATCAGTGCGTTAACTTGTATTCGTGTGTATGTCTGCGGGTGTCTGTATGTATGGCAGTATCTGTGTTTCTGTATGTCTAAAGATTACGGATTTTTATTTGTTTTTTTTTGAATATGCCTACGAAAATGTTTAAGAAACTAAGAATGTATGTGTGTTAGTGTTTATTGTTCTTTCGTATTTGATCACCCGCTTGATAAAAAAGAGAAAAACAACAAGTCAGGTTAAAACGACGATGTCTGTATATTTTGTATCTGTAAGTGCCCTCGCATATGATTGTGTGTGTGTGTTTGCATTGTACATAAATTGAATTAAGTGAAATTTTTGTTGTTGTTTTTCGTTAGCGGAAATTTCTACACCGCATGTTCGTCGATCACTTAAAAAATCAAACTAAAATCAAACACGCACACGCATGCATAACGGTTACTCTCTGACAATTCCGATAAGTTTTTCACTTTGATGTTCGACAAATTCTGATTGGAATCTCGGCCGTTATGCAACATTTAGATGTAGAGCTCTTAAAGATTCCAAGTCTCTAAAATTAATTATATCTCCACATCGCGATTGCCGCCTAATGGTTTTCTCATTAGTTTCGTTTCTTTCCTCTTTTATTTTTGCACCCACAAAGTTATGTTCTCACGGGAATCGAAATAAAATCCATGAAAATCGAGATGAAGAATTTGAGTGCCAATAGGAATTAACCAAAACTAGATAGATTAAATGTAAATTGTGTATAAATATTTACCTTTATTATCCAGCTAATTAAATCCCATTCAATATGATTACGTTCTTCCTTACATGCCATAATTTGTATTTTTAGCCGCAGAATAATGCAAAAAGTGATGTTCGCCATTAAAAAGGTAAAAGATTCCTGTTTTATGCGAATGATCATGTACCCCTTTTGTGATCCTTTGCCTTGTTTTGGCCCTTCCCTTTTTTTCTATAGCTGCCTAGTTGGCATTTGCAGAAAATGAAGACAAAAAACCCACTAGACGAGTGGAGCTGCACATATTTGTTAACATTACCATTACCATATCCCATTTCCAATTTCCAAGCTTGCTTCTCTGTGACTCAGAAACAACAACAACAATAACCAGGGCTCAAATAAAAACTGCAACAACAATGAGGCGAAACACACACCTATTTACAGCTGTGTTCAAGATAATAGTAGTTCTTATAATTCATATATATTTTATTATAAACACACTTGAAAAAATTACAATGCTATTCTGAAGTTTTACCATAAATATAGAATTCAAAAATGCTCTTTAATGTGAACCTTAATTTTGAAAATATTAAAAAATTATTCTATGTAAATTTTTATAAACTTTACTCTGAACTACTTATTTTGAGAAAAATGAATATATGACTATTAGTGTGGACACAGGTGTATATGTTGTGGCATACACACAGGTACACTAGAAGAAAAAAAACAAAGAGTTGCCGATATGCATATGTAACTATTCGAATATCATTAAATGCAGATCTCTATAAAAGCATAAAAAACAAAGTTGAAGCGGAGAAGTGACTTTTGAGTGCGGTTTTTTCATATCGTATGGTATCGTTTCGTTACCAAGACAAGCAGACAAGACACACAGCCAACAATCCATAATAATCTTCCCGTAATTTATAGTCCAAGACAATTTATGTAATTTACAAATACCAAAAACGAAAGAGACGGCAAAAGGTAAAAAAAAGAAGAAAAAATGAAACGAAAGACGATGAGAGCGAATGCAACTGCTGCAGCCAACTAACGATAATAACAATAACGAAAAAAAATATAATAAAAATGAGAGAAAAACACACGGTGGAAAAAAACAACAAGGCAACACACACGGCAATAGCAATAAACAGCTACACCAACAGAAACAACAATAGAGCAGCGCACTAAATAAACAATTCAACAAATTTGATCCGAGTCAAGCACACACATCCATACGTTCGCACACACACACACACACACACACACTTGACAATCATAGACAACTCACACGCACATAAAAATGCATATGAAGAAAAAATATGTAGGTATGTATGTTTGAATAAAAAATATACGACAAATGTAAGTGCAGTAACAGAAAAAAAAAAAGACAACAATAACAAATGCAACCAAGTCAAAAGCAAAAGGCAAAGAAAACGCAAAGACAGCGCAAAGTCAAATGTCGTTTAGGTTCCAAGTTGTTTTCTTTGTTTGTTTTTGCTTCTCAAGTTTGGTGAACGCATAAAATAAATAAGTAGTTATGGTCCAATGTCCTAGAGCTCGACTATGTGATACCCAAAAAAAAAGGATATTTCGGTTAGATTCTCCTCTGGCTTAAACTATGTTTTTTTCAAGTTAATCTACTACTGGTAAATTATTTAGGTTATACAATAACTTACGATAACATGGGTTGAAAACTGGTTTTATAGATATGTATATTTGTATATAATAAAACCTTACAGAAATTAAACATGTATCGATATAGAATCGTTAATTTATTAAATGCAAAATAATTGATTGATTTGTGTTTTGAAGTTCATAAATTCGTCGATCATTTCCTGTGTCTATAGAAAAAGTATGATTTTAGGGACTAAAATACCCTTGATACCTCTTATATCAGAATCAGAATCGTCTATAAAAGTCTGTAGAAAATGTACAACTTGAACCCATAAACTCACACACACACACAGATGCAGACAGATGCTAGCTTGAATGTGGTAATTGCATTTATTCCACGTGCTCTTGCTATCTCCTTTGCACTAGCCTCAACCGTCTCGTTCTCTCGTACTCAAGAGTCAAGCACAAAATGTAAGGCCATAAAAATATTTTTCAAGCTGTAAACTTTTCTATGCTGCACAGTTTCTTTTGGTTCTTTTTCATTTTTCTCTTTCTGTGGTTTCCCGACGACGACGACGACCAAACCGCACCAAACGATCTCCTCCCCAATCACCCAGAACCCTCCTCACCTCCCCCACGAAACTACAGGGTATCAATCAAGGGAGCTCTTGCGGTTGGAGGATTTTCACTGCAATTCCCCTTGGGACTTACAAATGAGGTCAAAATAATAGTAACCCTGTTCTCATTGTCGATCCAATTTGCTGAGTTTATATATATTTAAATTCTTTTAGATAAATATATTCATTTCTCAACAAGTGTTATCCACATATGGATGATGTACTCTAGAGGTCAAAAGATCATAGATTTATTCTGCAAAAAGATTATCAAATATTTTAGAAGCTCCTATTATTTTGAACACATCTGTGTTTTATATATGCTTTTGTGCAACACTGATGGAAGATGTAAAGGGAGGGCGCTGCATCTTTGATGCTTTTATGGGCAAGTTGCTGGATATGAAACTTGTCTATTGAGCGTGCCTGGTTCTTTCTTCTAGCTGGTTTCTTCTCTTTTCTGGGTTCGTGGTTCTTTCGCATGGCGTTCTTTGGTTCTCAGCTCTCTGTTTGCAATTCAGTCCTCTCATCTTTGGCTTATCTGTGGCCATTGCCAAGTTTTTCATCTAGTTTTTGGCATGGCTTTTCCCCCTTGGCTCCCAGTCTTCGATTCCTGTTCTTCTTGGGCCGTCTTCTCAGGCTGTTTCTTTTCTTTGCGGCACTCCCACCCGCCCACACGCATCTCCTTTTGTGGAAGCGGTCGGTTGACTTGGTTTACAGTCCCCTCGTAGTGTTTTTATATTTATTTTTTTTTTTTTTTTTTTTGACTTAATATCCTCGTTCTCCGTCATCATCATTGCCGCAATCTTCATTATCAGAGCGCTTTTATTTGTTTTCTTTGAGCTTTTCTTTGTACGCATTCCTCTGGTCTTAGTCTCTTTTTTGGTCTTCCGTCTCTCGAATTTCTTTTTTTTTTGGTTTTCTTTCAAGTTCCGTAGAAATTTTAATTGCAATATTTATTTGGGTATTTCTGCGAAACGAAAACCTCAGCATTTATCTAGGTTTCATTTCTTTGTATGTGTGCATTTAATATCGAGGCATATAGTTGGGTAAATTGTTTACATAATAAGATAAACCTGATACCACCGGGACCAGCTATCGATATTGAGCGACTATCGAAATTAATATCTCGTCAACTGATGTTAAAGCAACAAATAAAACAAACAAACGGGCAAACACATTCCAATCCTCTCTTGTTTTTCTTTATTATAATGGTTAAACTTACAGATATTTGTGAGTGTACACTTCCTCACACCGACACACTGTAATCACTCGTGTGTGTGTGTGTGTGTATATCTGCTGGTGTGTCTTCTTCCGGAGCTATTGTTATTGCAAGTACACGTAAAATTATTGTTCACGTCGCACATTGTCGTGAGTTTGTAATTACCAACCTCACCTCACCTCGATCTCCCACCCCTTTGCCGTCGACCGTTCATATGAGGTCTCAATATGCAGCACAGTGGCTGCTAGCTAAGTGAAATTATCTTATTTGATGACCTTTTGGTGGTTGCAGATCTTTATATATAATGATTTAACAAAGTAGACGTGTCTTTGAATAGTTCTTTATCGAATTTCCATGAAAATTTAAAATCATCAGCAAGAAAATTGTTTATAGCATCAAAATCGAAACCTTTTCTCAGTTATAAAAATGTGCACGAATACGAGAATATAATATATACACCCCTTCTCTTAAAATAATAAACACATCTGGAAATCGGGCCTTGCAATCCGTATATCATTATTTATTAATGGTGTGAGTTTCATCAACAAATTTCTACTTGTAAAGTCAGAAAACGGGTTAGTGTAAATATGCAATGTAGGCGATATCGTATTTATTGGATTGTTTTACTAAATTGTTATGATCATATTCAATTGGAATCGTTGAATTGAAGTTTTATAACTTGCATATGTTTAAGATGCATCTTGAGAGCGAGCACTGTAGCTGCCCATGCATGTTCATATGTTGTCTGTATGAGTTGTAGATACGAATAATGATATTCTTTTGGGGGCATTGCATAATCAGTGTAATCTCTTCAGCTTGCACCTCTCTTTTTTTCCGCTTTCTTCTCTCACAAACGGTCTTTCCCTTATGCTCTCTCTATCTGTTTTTATTTTTTGCCCCCTCCCAAAACTGTTGCATGCAACAACAGGCTCAAATCAATTATGAACACAGCAATTTGTTATGCAAGGCCATGGAAGGTTTTCTTGCACATTTTCTCCATTGCTTCGGGTTCTTGATCTGTGATCTTAAAAACAAGAAAAAAGAATGCTGGTAAGCTGTCAGAAGAATTGCTTGTTCGTTCGCTTCTTGTGCTTCTTTTATTATTTGGAATACTTTCTAAGTCAACGACAGCATTTAGAATTTATCTAGTACTTGCACACACGGTACAAATACCGATACAAAAGTTTACTTTGTCATCCATCGCGCGTTGTGTCTTCAATTCTTCTCGATGTGCCTTCTTCATCGTCGTTGCGAGAGTTCTTATGCTTCCATTCTATTCTATACCATTCCATAGCCGTCCGCAAATATGCTCACAAATATTAAATTCTGTATGGTATGGTATGGTATGGTATGGTATGTCTGTATGTATAGTAAAAAACCCACAATCCACCGCCCACCTCCCACCTCCCACTAGCCCCTTGTAAGTTGGTCGTTCGTGTGCGGTGTATAAATTTTCTGTGGAACTGTACAATAGCTAAAATAATCATAAAAAAGAAATAACAAAGTTTTAAGTCTCACAGTGTGAGTGGAGGTAAACCAACAAGCAAAGGCAACCAACACACACATGTCTTTTCCTGGGATATATGGGATAGTAAGTGTAAGTAGTGTGTATTTGCTTTTCTCGACGCGGCTTCTTGAATAGTTGCAGAGTAGAGTCGTTCAGTTCAGTTTAGTTCGGTTTTGGGTTCGGGTTCGGGTTCGTTGGGGTTCGTTTTGAGGTTCGTGTTGGGGTTCGCCTCGGTTCGTTTGGAGCTTCGACTTCGGCTCTATGAAATCTTCTCTCTCTCCTAGTCTCCTAGTCTTGTCTTTGTGCAGAAACAGAAATCTCGAGTTTCTTGACTTTTCTGCTTGCTTTTCCGCTCTACTCTTACGCACTACCCACCTCCCCTCCCCCATTCAACCTCTTCTCATAAGTAATAAGCATTTCGTTTGTTATAAAGTTTTTTTTTCTTTCTTGCTCCGTATACCATATATTATTTCCTCATATGTGTAAAACCACGACGTTTCCCACCACTATACCCACTTCTCCCCTCTGGCCAACATCATAGGCCCTTATATGGGTTCCATTTTATTTAATTTTTATTTTAAACTTTAAACAATGTCTGGCTCTGACTTGAAATGGTAATTGATAGAAGGTGGCAGGGAGAGGGGAAGCTCCATATGCGGGCCTCTTACAGACATGAAAACTATTCATATACAGTCGAACTTCCATAATTCCAACCACCATCTGTCTCATAAAAATTCAAGTTTCTTTTAAAGATTATTTATGGAACGCAAACAAGTTTTGTTTCTCGAATTATTTGTAATAAAAAAGTGGTTCCAGTTTTTATAGTATACGAACGCTTTGACTTTGACATTTTTGTAGTTTGAATTCGTTATAAAGTTACAGAATTAATTAATTATTTCAATTAAGTTCAGACAAATAATTTAAAACATTGTGTTTAGATGAGATCTATTAGTTTCTTTGTATAAACTTGGTATTTTCTGGCTTGGTAGAACGTCAAGCAGTATGCAATGATTTTTACTAAGTGAGATTTTGGTTTCATAATATAATACTATTTATAGATATGTGCATGTTGATAAATAAAATTTCAACTTTTAAGTTTTGGTCTATTTTGAATAAAGTTCAAGTTCAATTCTATAGATCTTTTATAACCCTAAAAAGGATATTTGCCTTTTAATCAAAAATTCCTTATACATAGATACTTTGGTCATAGTTGTAGAAGTTGGACTGTTTTCATATCTTTGTGTGGATTATGTTTCTTCAAGGAGTGGGAGAAAAAGGAAGAGGAGAAGAAGAAGGGGGTTTAGTACTCGTTGTACAAATATGTATTGCAAATTGCTTTGGTCTTTTTACCAGTTCCAGTTTCCAGGTGCTATATCCCCCCCCACTCTTCTGTGCGCTCGCTCTCTGTGCATCATTATGCGAGAGCTTATTCTTGTTCTCTTCCCATGTAGATGGAAAAAAAGAGATCGCGCAGAAGATCAAAACAGAATTTCAATTTGCAAACTCATGTGCCTAGGATTCTTAACCCCCCATTGCCCCACACAGTCCGCGTTGTTTTTTTTTTTCTTTTTGGATATGATTTTTTGCAAAAAGTTCTCGGGAGGAGGAGAAACTGGTTGAGAATTTTTGCATTCCGTTGCTGAACTTGAATTGCATTTGGAATTTGTTCGTAGTTCTCTGTGCTCTGTGTTCCACGCATTTTCCATTTCCGTTCGTTCACCTTGTTCTTTCCAGTAGTTTAATAGAGGGTTATACTGTTGGTTCGGAGGGGGGTTTAGTTAAATGGAATGGAAACGTCGATAGTTCGATGACTTTGGCGCTGGCTTATCGATGACGCTGGTGATTTATTGATCGAGATGCGTTTATCGATGGAGCGAATATGGCAAACTAAAACTTAATTGCTCAACTAAATTACAGCAGTTTTTCCCATTCCATAAAATAATGAGCGAAAGAGAGCGAGCATGAATTTATCGTACTTTGTGTGCTTTGTCTTTCGCCCTATCTTCTCCATAGCCTCCCCCCTTAAACGCCCCCCATCCCCCATTCTCAACTTTTGTAGATATAAAGTTTTATTTCATTTCGTTTCGTTACGATTTTTGCTATTATTATTTGTTCGTGTCTCTCTGTCATTGTATCTGTGAGATACCCCTGTAACTGTGTGTGTGTGTGTATAAATGTTATTTTTTAGTTTCGACTTGTTTTCTTTTGTGTAATTTTATTTTTGTATGTGCCTGTGTGTGTATCAAGTTCATAACTTTTGTATGGCGGCTACGACAGTAAGAATTGTTTTGTTGTTGCTGCTGTTGTTTTTGTTGAAATCCACACAATAAATATATGTATGTACGGTAGGGGCAAGGAGTATGTTTGTATCTCTGTGCCATTGTGTTGCCATCAATGTGTGTGTGTGTCTGTGTCTGTTTTTTTTTATTTTTCACATTTATTTTCTAGTTTGCTCGCTCGTTGTTTTGTTAACTCTTATTTAGTTTTCTTTGCGTCTTGACGTTGCTGCCTTCGTATCGTACAATACGTACGTACATAAGTATATATTCTTTTTGGTTTTTGTTTTTTGTTTTTTCATACAAACATTTTTCGTTTATGCCCCATTATTAATAAATAGTTTTCTTGTTCTGCTCTGCATTCCCATTTCAGTTTACCAAACGTCGTCGGTAGAATCGGAACGTTTTGTTCCTGCGTTTCCGTTTCTCCGTCCGTCCTTCATTCCGTTCGTTCCGGGCAATTCTCACGCGTGAGAGAGTGCCACTTGTTGCCGCCGGCTCCGGTACTCTCTCCATCAAATCACTTCATCATTCCATCGTTATTGGATATTCGATAAACTTATTGATCTGATTCACCCACTAGCGGGAGACTTGTGGAACGACAACTGTCAGCGGAAACAGAAGTACCACCCCGGATCAATTGGAAGGCATGCAGTTGATGGCCAGCGGTTACTCCTGCAGCAGCTCCATCTCCTTCAGTTCCAGTTCCAGTTCCCTCCGTTCCATACTCTCGCGATGGAGAGCGAACCGCAGGAGGTTGGGGTCGGAGGTGCACAGTTATGTCGCATCTGCATCACCACCCACCATCAGCATAACAACACCAATACAGCGACCACAGCCAACCTGCCAATGATACCCATCTTCGGCGAGGATGCGCTATGGCAGAAGATTACCACGCTGGCCAACGTCAAGGTGAGTGGCAAAAGCAAACGGAAAAGGGAAGTAAAAAATGGGAGCAATCTTAACATTAAGAAGTCAAAGAAGCAAAAGAAAAAGAAGGTGACAAAGAAGAGGAGGGTTAACCAAAGGTCAAGAATCGCAGACAGCCATACAGTGGCTTTTCACCCAACAAAAAAAAAAATGGCACTTGATATTAAACGTGTATATTCAGAAGAGGACTTAAGGTTTTCCTGTTATCATAAGGGTACTTTGACATTTTGTATCACATATTATTAGAGAACTAAAGTAAATCGGGTTTGTAGAACAGGTATTACAGTTTTTACATTTACTTAGACTTCTTATCTTCTTGAGATGGTAAACGTTTTGATAAGGAATGTTTTAGGGCTGATTTCATAATGACTGATTAAAAGTATACGTTTGTATAAACTAGCACGTGTTTTTACGTTTAGTCGGGGAAATTTCCTATTCCTTATGTTTTCGTTAATGTTTTTTGAATAGCTTAAGACCACTGTATTTATTGATTTTGATGTTTTGCTGTGAATGACTTGTTTTCTTTTCTATTCCATTGATTGTTAAGAGCTTTTCAAGCTGCTTGTATATAAAATCAATCCTAATTTGTATTCTATACAAATCAAGAGTTCTTGATATATATCTAAGAAAAATCACATTCCATGGCAGGAAGTCGATTTTTTTTTTTTTGGTTTTTATCTTATTTGGCAAACATTGTAGATGAACGGGAGGATTGGAGTGAAAGAACTTCTTAAGGTCTATTCTTATAACGTACTTGTACTTTTAACGAGGTGTGTCGACTATTTGAGCCCACTGTTTGTGTGTAATCCAAGATTGTTGTTGTTGTTGTTTGTTGTTTTTGTGTTCTTCTTCGTGGAATACTAAAACTAAAAAAAGCAAACACATGAAAGTTATTCACACCAACACAACCACTCTGCGTATTTATTATTCATATTAATTTTCATATACACTCGCCTGTACGTATTATATCTTATATCCCATATATGTATATGTGTGTGTGTGTATGTTTGTGTAATTTGGAATCAGTTTTCATTGCTTTGTCTTGCTGCTCCACTCCTCTTTGGCCATTTATTCTGTTTATTTGTTCGGTGGAATGGTTTCGGCTTCGGCTTTGGTTAGTTTATTTTATTCATATTGTGTATTGTGTTATGTGTATACAATTTTTTTTTCAACAAGCGTTTCATATTTTTTCCTTCTCTGCTCGATGGAATTTCTTGTGGGTCTTGTCTTCGTATTTTGTATTTTGTATTTCGTATTTCGTATTTCGTATTTCTTCATTTTATTCCGTTTCTCTATGCCCTGGCTTTTGTAAAATAATTTACCGTTTACCGTTTGAATTGCTGTTTAGAAGTGTTTGTTTGTTTTTTGTGTGTTTCTGTCGTCTGTATGTCTGTATGTGCTTGGCTTAATTCCATACATTTTTCCTTTACTTAACTTTACAGTCTTGACTCTCTTGTCTCTCTTTCGTTAGCTCCTCCAAATCGCTGTCGTTCTCTTGCTACACAAAAAGAAATAAATCTCTGCGATACGGAAGAAAATACTTTCACAGCTTATCACTAATACAAGATATAGTAATGTCAGATACTTTAATTTAAATCTAATATATGTCAAAATCTAACTGTGACCTAAACATTTTGAGAAATATTCGATAATCGACAGCCACTTGTTTTCCTTCTGTGTATTCGCTCTTTAGCCATTTCCCACTTTATGTTCGGCTTAGACGTTCGTTGGCCCCTCAATTCTGTGCTGGTAAGGGGTGTAGTAAGGGGTGAAGAGGTGGCACGTGAATGTGAATGGGGTGGCTCTGTGTGTTTTTCTCGCCCATATGTCTTCGCCCCCTTATTCGCATTGGTGTTTTTACAATTCATGTGCATATTTCAATTTGATTTTCTCCTTATGTGTTTTTTCTCAACCGTTGAAATGCTGCAATTTTCTGGTTTATTTGTGCAATTTTCCCACTTGAGTAGATTATGTTGCCAATTCAAGGAATTTTATGTTGTCTTTCGGCATTCGTAACGTCTGCTAGAAATCTGGCAACGCTTGCAAATCAGGAAGCCAATGAAAACACAGTGGTCCTTCTAATAAAATGGTTATTAAGCAGATTACAGAAAAAACAAGAGGAAACGCTATAGTCGAGTGCCGCGACTATAAGATACCCGTTACTGTTTTACACAATTTTAAAATATTAATTTTGCTAGTGGAAATTCACAAGGCGCCACCTATTGTCAGAGGAAGTATGTTGAGTATGCTTATAGTGACGTCACTTCCCATGTGAGGCCTTATAACCTTAATTTCTTCATAAATAGCGCAATAATGTTCCGATTTGAAAAACCTTTGGCAAATCGATAGATATTAACAGAAATAAGTTATACAAGGTCAAACAAAGGCATTCATAATAATATTATAGACGCCACAGTTTTCCGCGGTTTGTAGGCGTTAGAGTGGGCGTGGCCTAATGCAACTTCGTGGCAAGTTGCAGAGGCATCTACTAAATATGTGTTTCTAAGCAAAATTGTGTAGCTCTTATAGTTTTTGAGATTTTTGCATTTTTGGTTTTTCGGATTTTGTGGGCGTTAGAGTGGGCGTGGCTTGATCGGAAAAAAACAATTCGCATTGGGAGCATCATAGAAACCTACATGCTTAATCCGAACTTTCTATTACGAATAGTTACCGAGATATCAGCTTTTCTAGAAAATCCGAAAACCGTCTTTTGAGCCTTGTGGGCGTATGGGTGGGTGAGGCCGGATAGTAGTACTACTATAAGATGCGCTGTCATCTAAAGATTATACTTTCTGAATTTCAACTTTCTAACTGCAATAGTTCCTATGATTTCAGTAATTTTAGTTTTTTGCGATTTGTGGGCGTTAGAGTGGGCGTGGCAGGATGCTGTAATAAACTTGCGCTGTCCCGGGACCTCAAGAATCTTCATGCTTAATCTCAACTTTGTATCTGCTATAGTTCCTGAGATCTCAGCGTTCATACGGACGGACGGACGGACGGACGGACGGACGGACGGACGGACGGACAGACGGACATGGCTCAATCGACTTCGCTATTGATCCTGATCAAGAATATATATACTTTATAGGGTCGCAAAAGCTTCCTTCTATCTGTTACATACTTTTCAACGAATCTAGTATACCCTTTTACTCTACGAGTAACGGGTATAATTACCCGACATTGGTTAATATTATTTTAATTAAAATGCTATATATGATATACTTATTTATTTATTATATTAAAACTACAGTACGTTGTATTAAATAATATCGGACAGGAAAGACAATCATTTCCGTTTGGAATTATGAGTAATCGCTGTGAATCATTATGAACTTTGTTAATCGATTGACGGTATTTTTTCTGGTATCTGGCAATCATTGCCTGCCGTTACATTTGCTAAAGGTTAAATATGATTTTAAAATCTTTTCTCTATCTCTATAACAGATTAGCAAAAACGACACCCTACCGCAACAGGTATGCGTCGGCTGTGCCAAGACAGCCATTTCGGCCTGTGTTTTCAAGAAGAAGTGCGAGGAGGCGGATAATTTTTATCGCCAGCAACTGAGGCTCCAGAAGATTGAGAACGCAAATCCGTTGGAGGCGAGTGCAGCCGCCGACCAGGCCAAGAGCAGCGGATGCAGCAGTGGCAGCGGGAGCAGCAGTGGAAGTGGCAGTAGTTCCACCAGCAGCAGTTCTTCCTCCGACGACGAGGACGAAGACAATGACCAAGAGCTGGATAACGATAATGAAGAGGAAGCGGATGAGGGACACAAGCGGCTACAAAATGGTCATGGCCAGGTTATCAATGGTCATCAAGGAGACGAAGATGATGGGATCCAGGACGAAATGGATGACCAACACGGACCTGGCAACGATGAAGACCGGGAAGATGATCACCATCGTAATGGCCTGCAGTTGACGGAAGCAGCTCCTGAGGATGGTGATGATGTTGAGGATATAAATCCCTTGAGCCAGCACCATAACGACGATGGCGAGATAACCGTCCACGGCGTGCATCACAAGGAGCCGTTTGACTTCAATTCTATACGCCTAATGCAGGAATATATGCAACACCAGATGAACAAGTTTCCCAATGGCTCTGCCACCGGTCCACCGGGTCAGGATATGGAGCTCGATCTCGACCAGCAGCACCACGACGGCGACGATGACGATGATGAAGATATGTCACTGCCGCTAATACCTGAAATAGAGTTAATCACGCCGGGTGATGAAGCACCTGCGGATCACTCGATTCCAAATGATTTGGTCAACGGGGTCGGCGTTGGTGTGGTTCAGGGAATGCGGGGACCAGGTTTCCAGTGCCCCCATTGCTATCAGATATTTGAGATGAAGCAGATCCTCAAGGCGCACATGCAAAGCGTCCATGGAGCACCTGGTCCGGTGTATGAGTGCAGCAATTGCCGTAAGACCTATTTCTACAAGCGCTTCCTGGAGAAGCATATACGACGCGGTCGGTGTGTCAAGAAGCGTCGCAATCAAACGTAAGAGTGGGATGATCTTTAAGGATGATCAAATATTCATTCAGTATCTATTTCTTTTAGTCGGCCAATGCAGTGCTCGGATTGTCATGTCCTCTTCCCCACGGGCCATCATTTGGGTTGGCATAAGCGCACCGGCTGTCCTTCAAAGGCGGCCAAAATGTGAGTGACTAGCTGATAAACAAGTCTAATTGCTAACTAACTAAATTACCAATTTTCTTATGTTCAGGCCTCTGCAACAGCTTTTCAAGCAGAACATTGTGCAGTTCAACAATTTCCCCAAGCGGATTGCCGCCGGCGGAGCACGCAAGCCCACGGCTCCCGATCTGCATGTAAACAATCGCAAGTAAGTTGCAAATGTTTAACTAATAAGTTTAATAGAGATCACTCTAAATCACTATCTGATTTATAATATAGACTTGGTTTGGCCAACAAAAGAAAGGGGCGCACTCGCATCAAGTTGGATGCTAAGAAGATCGCCCTGGCCAAGCAGTTGATACTGCGCGAGGCCACCACCACGGTTATCGCCAACGAGCTAAACATCTCGCGCACCTTCGCCTGGCGCCTGCGCAAAAGTTTGGTTAATGGTGTTAGTTTGCATGAGCGCGTAGTAGATCCAGCGCAGGAGGAGCAGCATCTGCAGCAGCAGCACCATCATCATCATCAGCTACAGTTACAGCAGCAACAGATGGAGGAGCAGCAGCAGGCAGCAGCTGCAGCAGCGGCACAAGCGGAACGTGAACGAGAGCATCATCATTTGAGTCTTCCCTATAGCCACCTTGGTTTGGGGCTTATCAAAGAGGAGCGTCAGGACAGCGAGGATGAGGATCAACAACAGCAACAACATCACCATCATCCGCATCATCAGCTGGGTCTATTAGATGAGTGCGGTGCGGAGGAGATCGGGGCCGAGGAAACGGCTGGTTATATGGGCGATGAGGACGCCGTTTGTGGATTGCTTCACAATGGCTACGACCCAGATCCCGAATCGGATCCCATTGATCACGATCCTTTCGAAGCCACCGAGAACAATGAGCATCATTCAAATGGAGGACGTCCCGGTTCTGCTTCGCCCGCGCCACCTCTACCGCCGCCATCGTTGGGTAGTTCTGGAGTTCCAGTTCCGGTACAAGTACATAGTGCCGCCACTCGTTCTGATGTCGAGGTCTATAAGCGCCTGCTAGCCGAGTCGCAGCACTTCCCTCACATTGTCAATGCCCAGCAGCTGCAGCTGCAACAACAGCATCGCGAGCGGGAAAGGGAGCAGCGGGATCGCGAACGCGAACAATTGCAACAGCAGAAGGTCCACAATGGCGGTATGCCGATGCTCACACGCTATCCGCCTGGCGTCATGTAAGACTTTATTCACATTTAACCTATAAATATTTAAATACGTCATATATAAATTATATGGAAAAATTCGGCCATTCTAAGGTAGCCGAAAAACCATAAATGTATAAATATTCTTATCTTAGCTTTGGTCATAAATATTTAAGCTTAAATAATATGATTAGCAACCGTTCCTATCAGAAATATTCTTTTATACGTTTGAGGGCAATTATGGTAATCAGAAAAACTATAGTTGTTTGTCATTAGCAACAATTTCTAACAAAATATAAATTTTTGCAGATGAAAGTTAAAGTTAGAGTTTTATGTATTATTCCTATTATCGATAAATTAAGAAAGCAAACATTATTCCAATCGTGGAAATGACATATATATAAAAAATGGAAAAGATAAGACCCGTTTCTATATATACAATAACAATTTAAAATTGCTTCAAAATCTAATCATATTTTTATTTATTTATACAATAGGCACGCCCTGCCCGTCAATCTGTCCCTGCGCTCCATGCCCCACATGAACAGCAACGAGAGGTATGCGTTGCTTTTAAGGCTTTTAAGTTCAAATATTTATATCTATTAATACTTTGATGTCCTCTTTGCAGCAATGGCAGCTCGAGTAGCAACACTGCAGCCCCTGTACCCGTTCCTGGCTCATCTGGACCCTCGGCGACTTCCACACCAACTGGCAAGAAGCCCCGTAAACCTAACGTCTTTATTGATGATGAAAAGTATGCAATGGCTAAGTTGCTGGTGGCTCAGAACTCCTCCACGATGGAGATAGCCAGGGCCCTCAATGTTTCCCAAATGACGGCTTGGAAAGTGCGTGATGCCATTCTTAAGGGAGTACCGCTTTCCTACCGTAACAAGAGATCAGAGGGAAGGCATTCTGAGGAGTTCAGTATCAAGGAGCAGCAGCAGCAGCAGCAACAGCAACAGCAACAGCAGCAACAGCAACAGCAACATCAGCAACAACAGGAGCAACAGCAACGCCAGCAGGAGTTGCAGCGACAGCAGCAACAGCAAATGGAGCAAATGGAGCTAATCAAACAGCAACGCCAGCAACAGGAGTTGCTACTTCAACAGCAGCAGCAGCAGCAGCAACAACAGCAGCAGCAACTGCGTCATCACACACCAGCGGATACATCACACTATCAACAACAGCAACAGTCGCAACCAAAGTTGCTTCATCCTCGTCGCCGTCTTAAAGCCGCAGAACGTGAGCTGCGCGACAAGGAGATCACACGCGAAATACTCGAGCTAATCAAGGAGGACAGCAATATTCAGTACTGGAAGGTGTCGGCCCGTTTGGCTGAAAAGGGAATCAATATATCGCCCTCGTCCGTCTGCCAGAAGCTCAAGTCAATGGGCATTCACCGACGATGGAAGCCGGGCGACAAACCCCCTATGCTGGCCATTAGTCAGCTAAAAGCTGCCACTGTAGCAGCTGCAGCAGCGGCAGCTGGTTTGGCCGGCGTTGGTGGCGTTGTTGGTGGCAACGCTGGACTGGCCAGCAGTAGTTTTGGCTTGGCCGACGATAGCTTCGATCAACAACAATTTGATATGGGTGGGCCACACTTTCTCAGTGCCTTTACGCGCTAGACGAAAAAGTCAAGAAGAAGTCCTCACCATCAAGAACTAGGATTAAATATTACACATACATTGGATTGGATCAGAATCATAGAGAGCAGCAGGTAACCTAAACAGCAGCTCTTAGTAGGTATTTTGACTTGGAAATTGTAGGTCTAGAGCTGGGGCAAATGCTCTTTTTAACCCACTATCAAAATATCAGCCTTGAACTTGGCTATAGGGTAGAATTATTTGTAGATACTGTTTTTAATTAAGTAGGAAAGTGTAACTTGTTTATCCGAAAGCATGCTGACCGTCATTACCATTTTTTATTACAAATTTTATTCCAAAAGTGTTACATTTTTATGAAAATTGAATTGAAGGCCTGCAATTTCCAATACAAAATATCTATAAATTGTCCACAATAATGACTTTTGAGTTAAATATATATATATATATATTTTTTTTTTTTCGAGCCACCCTAATCTATATGCATAGATCAGCACAGCAACAAGAACTTGTATTTTTTATATAGTATTTGAAAGAGAGCGCGCTTGAAATGTATTTGTATTTGTAATCGATATGAGATAGCATATATTGAATGATTCTGTATTAGATTTATATATCCAATATATATATATATATACACTATATATATATATATATATATGCTAAGCATTCCTAGAATGTCATACACAAAAAAGAAAACAGAAATCACGCCCAAAAACACATTCATTCCAAGCGAGGAAACTATTTCCTTTCTTTGATTTCAGCAGCTTCCTTTTTTTCTTCCTCCATCCATCCACACACACACACACACACACACACACATACACGTACACTATACCAATACAGACTTAGTTGATAATTTAAAATAATTTAATTAACATATTTATTGATCGTATGTCCTTGTGTGTGTGTGTGTGTGAGTGCCTTTTAAGTAAGAAATGTATTTCATGGTTTTTCTACCATTTATAATTTATTTATTATTTTACTCACGCACACACATAATCAATTATTGAGTACTGAACTTTAATTTAGTTAAATGAATGTATCAAACGATAAAGTTACAATCAGAACAAAGCAAACGGAAGCAGAACAAACAGCAGCTAGAGAGAGAAAGTTAAGAAAGCTACCAACATAAGTGCAATTATAAACTAATCCTAGAAAAAAAAAAATGAAAAACGAACCAGAAGAATGTCAAACATACGTGTGTGACCGAAACAGAAGATAGCAGAGAGTGAGAGATGGGAGAAAGAGAGGGAAGATTGCCTATCCAATTTAAGGGCCAAAACACCACTGGCCATCATTGTAGAACCACTTGTTGAGTTCTTTCCTAATTCTATTTTAAAAATCTTTTTACAAATCTTATCATTATGTTGATTTAAATATACAAATTGTAGTTTGTTTTTCTTAAATGTTTAAATTTAATTTAAACTGTTTTATTATTGTGCTTTAAAAATTTTAAACTAGTTTAGATTATCTAAAAAAAAAAAAAAAACTCAGCATGTTTGTATTCTAGAAACTACTATACATTCCCAAAGACAAACCAAAATTAAAAAATTTCAATATAACATTTTTGTTTACAGTGGTGTTAAGCAAATTTAGTTAAAAAAACATTCCCTAGGGAAAAATTTCATTAATTTTCTCCTTTCTTTCTCCTGGTCGTTATCCCATATAGACAGTTACTCCGAATCCATCCTCCAACCAAACCCCACTTTTAAGTAAGAAATCTATGGAAACAAGACAAACGATCAACGTTAAAAAAGAAATTCGTAGCCAATTGTTAGTTGAAAATGAGAGAAAAAACATTAAAACAAAAATGAACAAAGCAAAAAAAAAAAAAAGAAAAGAAAAGAAAAAGAAAATTAAGGGAAAATAAAGACAAGTTGAGGACTCAGAACTGTATTTATTTACAGCAAATTTTGTTTAGGAATATATATATTTTATATTTTTTGTTGTTGTGGATGTGTAATTGCAATTTTTTCTGCGATTTATTTTTGTATAGATTTTAAGGCCAGAAGTTAGAGCAAAAGAGATAGTAAGCGAGCGAGCGAGACAGCGTTAGCCGAAGGTTGAGATAGTATTTTTTTTTTTTTTTTATATTTTTATACAATTTGAAATTGTAACTGCTTTTTATCAATCAATCAATCAATGAATGATTCCCTCCCTCCACCAATCCACACACACATACAAAATCACACATACACACGTATAGTATTTTCTATATATATATATATATTCATTAAATATAAATATATACATATATAAATTTATGTAACATTTAAACACATTCAAACTAAATTTATGAAATAGTTTTTTTTTTTTTTTTTTTTTTTTTATATACGTATATCATATTTATTAGCCGCAGCTTATAAAATAGATTAAAGAAGAAAGACGATTGCAATTCTTTGTATGAAATGCAAAGAACAATATCTATGAAGTATATAATTTAATATACAAAAAGTATATATTTTAAAGCGTATAATAGTAAGGATCCATTGCAAGCAGCATCAACAAATAGAACTGACGTGCCTATGTAGCGATTAAATCTGAATAAAAACACAATTACACCCAAACACACACACTCACACCTAGAGACAAGCCGATGTAATATGCATAAATAATCATTCCAAAATGTCATATGAAGGAAAAGAAACGAAAAAAAAAAACAAAAATTCAAAAAAAACAACATTATATATTTTTAAATGAATAAATAATATTTCAAGAATATTTTCCCAAGATTTTGAAGTCGATTTGGGGCAAAGTTCATACAAAGTTCAAAGATGAGATTGAAATTGACTTTGTATCTACCGATGAACTGAAACTGGTTAATAAATGAATATTACCAGCTTGTTATATGGAATGTGGAAGTTTACTTAAGTTTTTCTAAGTGCATTTACAGCTTATAAGCTCTTTGAAAGTCTGGCTGCGTCATTAAAGATAGCTCCGAAAAGCAGACTATATATTTGTGAATAAGCAAAAGAAGCAATTTTCACAGCTGCTAGAAAAAATCAAAAATTGGAAAATTTATGTGCCATTATTAGACCAAACTACAAGTGAAAACAAAGAACCTTTAAACATATCTGGAATATACGAGGTGTGTTCAAAAAGTAAGGTGACTTTTCAAATTTCGCGGGCAACATATTTTCGATTATCGTTTTTTTTGTTTTGTTATATTGGTACACTCTTCCCTAACATCTGTACCAAGTTTCAATGGAACATCCTCTTTTGTTTGGTTGTGAGAGGCGTAAAGTTACAAGTTGTTTTGCGAGCTCGGCGATTTTTTGCTATCGAAAAATATGGATCAAAGGATTTGCATCAAATTTTGTGTAAAAAATAAAGTTAAGTGCTCTGAAACACTTGAAATGTTGACAGTGGCATACGGTGAAACTGTTCTGAGTAAAAAAAATGTGTACAAGTGGTACAAACTCTTCCAAGATGGCCGGGAAGATGCCAATGACCAGCCTCGCTCTGGACGCCCAAGCACGTCAACAACTGATGAAAACGTTCAAGCAGTGACGAAAATTGTTTTGGAAAATCGTCGAATCACTATCAGAGAAGTTGCTGAAGATGTCGGTATATCGCTTGGCTCGTGCCATGAAATTTTTTCAAACGTTTTGGGTATGAGTCGTGTGTCAGCGAAGTTTGTTCCGAAATTGCTGAATTTTGAGCAAAAGAACCGTCGCATGAGCATCGCTCAAGAGCTGTTGAATGACGTCAACGACGACCCAGATTTACTCAAAAGGGTCATAACTGGTGACGAATCATGGGTATATGGTTATGATATCGAAACCAAAGCCCAATCGTCCCAATGGAAGAGCCCAGACGAGCCAAGACCGAAAAAAGCAAAAAATCGCCGAGCTCGCAAAACAACTTGTAACTTTACGCCTCTCACAACCAAACAAAAGAGGATGTTCCATTGAAACTTGGTACAGATGTTAGGGAAGAGTGTACCAATATAACAAAACAAAAAAAACGATAACCGAAAATATGTTGCCCGCGAAATTTGAAAAGTCACCTTACTTTTTGAACACACCTCGTATATAGAAAATTCCTAGAATAAAGAATACCAAAATTTAATAGGTCAGCAAACTTAATATGAAAATTTCTAGAAAATTATCAAAAAATTTATTTTAGAAATATTTTACGAATTTTCCTTGGAAATTTATGTGACACCACAAAGTCATTTGTATTTCCGAATTAATATCTTTAGCTTTAGCAATTCAATTTGGCGATCGAAAATTTTACATTAATGACGCAAGTCAAGTTAGCTAATTTATTTTTATGGTTCTCTCTTTTTTATTATGCCAATCTTAAGCACGTGTTGATGCTTCTCCAATCTAATAGATTTTATTAGATATTTCAATCACCTTTTGTATTTGTAAGACTATTTATATTTGTCGGCGAATTTCTTTGAATTCTTAAACCAGGAGACATGCACGTCCACTTGGGTTGTTTGCTTTTGTTAAGTAAATACTTTGTTGAATCTGTCAGATCTGGGCAATGTATTTATTTAATTAACGCTAATTCTGACCTGCTGGCTGCTGGCTTCACGTCCTCGTCAATATTTTTCATTCATTGAGCAAATAAATATAAGCCAAGTTGCGTGTGTGCTAGTCGCAGATTTGCAGCTGTGCGGCTGATTAAACTGATTTCTTGAATGGAATCGAACTTTCTATCAGTTTTTTCCAGTTAAAGGAAGCTCTTTCCCCCTTTTCCCCTTTGTACCATTGAAATAACAATTTGTTTGTGGTTTGTTCTTCTTTATTAGGTTTTTTGTTGTATATATATATATATATATATATATATATATGTATAGGTAGCGTAACTTGTTATAACGTAACTAAATTTTACAAATATTCTTTCACTTCCTGTGCTTTGGTCCTACATGACGAAAAAAAAAACAAAAAAAAAAATGGTTTTTGATATATGTTTAATATATAGATAAAGTTATATACGTATGTGTTTTACATTGGATGCATTAATAATAGCAATAATAGCAATAATAACAACAATAACGGACAACAGGGCGACCGAGAACGTTAGATTCCCATGGGATTGGTGTTGTTGTTTCGGGGTTTCGGTTTTATCTTTATCGTTACTCGGTCCCGCTGCTGCTGCTTCAGCCGGCGCCGGCGCTTGCCAAATATATATTACTCTCTACATATCGTACATACATACATATAAATCGATATTTATCGATCCTACCTGCTATATCTTCTCGCTGGCTTGGGGTTTTCTTTGCAAATCATTTTGGGCAGAAGAATACTCTATTGATTTTCATCGTTTTTTTTTTGATGTTTTCTTTTGCCCATTTCTGATTGAATTTAGTGGGTTCGTTTAAATTCCAAATAGATAGATAGATATTTGTAGGGGAAAAGAGGGGGTGGGGGGGCGTTTAAAATTAGACACACAAAGAAAATCTTTATCGCTATCGTTAAATAATTACTGACGATACAAATAATCGTGTATTGTAGCACACACATACCATATATACACAGATAGACCCCGATCCTCTGGCGGGATGGGGGCAAATGGAAATTACTTGTGGCTGGGGCTGGGGGTTTGATTTTTGGTTTTCTGTTAACTATTGTTGATTTTCGTAGGGAAAATTGTTAGTCCACAAGTCCTGTCAAGACATAATGTGACTTCAAAAGAAGATTCTATGGACTTTTTGGCTGGGTGTTGGGGGGCGGTTATCAGCTAGTGATTAGAGTTCCATTAATTGAGTTCCTTACGCGTCGTGTTGGGTAAAAGGAGGCACATAAGACCGCCGCCGATGAGCAGGCCCGATACGATGAACGTGGGCGATGGACAATAGTTGTCCAGCAGCTGGGCGATCACAATGTTTCCAATAATGCCACCCAAACGGGCAGCCACCATAGAGATGGCCACGCCGGTGGCTCTCAGTTTGGTGGGGAATACTTCGGTGATGAGGCAGTCGAGCGCCGCATTGGCTGCCGATATGGCGCCACTGAAGATGGCCGACACGATCAGGTTCTGCATGGAGCTGCGCACAAAGTACATCAGCGCCGAGCATATGCCAGCGGTCATGGTACCGGCGATCAAGAAGAACTTCCTGCCCAGCATGTCCATGCCCAGGATGGCTAGCAGATTGGCGGGCAGCGCCGAGGCCAAAGATATCAGCGATTCCATGAACACCGACTGCGGAATATCTGATGAGCAGGTGCCATTGTTGCTTTGCTCCTTAGCCAAGTTAACGACGTAATCCGTGACGGAACAAACACCGGCCGACTGGCCAGGGAAGGCCTTCTCGTACTCCTCGAAACGATTGAAGAGCTCTGGGAACCACATCAATAGGCCATAGTAGCCAATGTGGAATGTAAAGTTGATCGTGATCGAAACGATGGTGAAACGTAGAATTGGGGACTTAAACAAGGCGCGACTGTGGTCCACCATCCCGCTGATCATGCGGCTATACTTGTTCTTCACACTGCCATTGCTCTCCAGCAGCTTCTCATCGACCTCCAGGTCATAGACCATGTACTCATCAGGACGGCGTTTCGTGTTAGTTACGAAAATGCCACGGAAAATGGCCAAAGCACGATCCTTCTTGCCGCGGGTCAACAGGAATTTCGGCGATTCCGGCAGATAGAAGAGCAGGAATCCCACAAGGAACGAGGGCAGGGAGCAGACCAACAGGAAAATCCTCCATGAGTTGTACGTAAAGTACGGCGTGATGAAACCAATCGTGCGCGGGATGATCAACCAAGCCAAACTGGCGACGAAAAGGTTACCAAACGTCCAGAAGGCGGCCATGAAACTTAGCATGGAGCCGCGCTTCGCCTTCGGCTGGAATTCGGCGAAGTACGACCAGATTACAGGACCGCTGCCGCCCAAACTGCAAAAGATATGGGATATATATGGTTAGCTTAGATGTATTTCTTGATATTGATGTTCTATATCCTTTAGTTAGCGTATTCTTAAAGCTATCAGTGCGTATGCGTTATATTAGTACATATTGCGTATACGCAATGGTTATGTTAGAAAACAATAAGACAAAATTTGAGGTCAGTAATGCGGTTATTGGTGCTATATATGCTCTAGTCAGTTTGTTGTCAAAGTCATCAGTGCGTATACGTTATTTTCCAATATAGATATTACGTATACGTAATTCCTAGGTCAAAGCATAGGATTTGAAATATTTGATCATATATCAAGTCCTTTGGATTATTATAAACAAAAATTGTAGTAGCATTCAGCATCCAATATCACTAGTAACCCAAAAACATTGCGAAATAATTGTTGTTGTCCGTTCGCTGGGGTAATTAGCAATCGATTGGCAAAAAAAATAATGTTAAATATGGATGAGCATGGGGGGAAACCGGTGACTAAGCGTCAATGTAACCCAAAAACCCAGGGGGGCCAAGGCCTAAGCTGAGATTTTCCATTTGCTAGCAGGTTGGCTGCTTTTGCTGATTTTTCGTTTCGTTACATTTTGGGGCATTTCGATCGGACTTGACGGGGATTCGAGCCTTTAATTAGCATAAACAGTCACGATATTGCGGCTCAAATATTTTGTTGTTATTTATAACAGAGGTAATTGAATTAACACTTTGCCCCGGGTCCGGGCCCGTGTGTCACTCGATCCACACAAATCGATCACAGAGCGATGATCCATGGCTACATAGAGCTGTAGTCATCGATTGGGTATTTGTCCATGCCTTGTTTGTCGGATATCAAGATGGCATGATAATCAATTTGGTATAAACTTGGGGCTTATGCTAACTAATAGATTAGTAAAAGTTGCTCTCCTGCTGCTAAATTCTAATTTAGTTAAGATTAGTTGATAGGTAAATGAAAAATCACTTACGCTGCACCATTGAGAAACCGAAACAGCATGAAGAAGGAATAGGTCTGCGAGAAGGACGAGGCGACGATGCAGAAGGCGTTCATGAACGAGATGACGATGAGAACCTTTTTACGGCCAAAGCTGTCGGCAATGCTGCCCCAGAAATAGGCGCCCACCATCATGCCAATGAAGATGATCGAGTTCAGCCATCCCTTAGTCTCCGTATTCAGATCCAGGTCACATTCCGCCGAGGGTAAGATGAACGACATTGAGATGACGTCCATTTCCTCGGAGGTGCTGACCAATCCGCAGATGGCCAGCAATATATAATGGAACTTGCCATAGCCGCATAGTTCGATTGCCCTCTCGAAGTTGGCGACTATTGGGGCAGTGGGTTCTGGCAAGGGTACGGACTTCTTGCGTCCCTTGTTCCCCTTGCCAGATGGCCCATGACCCCCGCGACCCCCATCGGGGGCGTCCCGCTCTACGTCCTGCTGCTTGCCATTGGCATGGCTGTCCGGCTCGTAGCCGCGATTGTCCGCCGCAAATTGATACTCCGGCTGCTTGGCTCCGGTGCCCAAGGAGTACGGCTGGATGATCGCTCGGTTGTCAATATGCGAGGTCGCGTTTCCGGTGGCTGGTGCGTTAGCCTGGCCAGTGGGATGGTTGCTTGCTTGGTTGCTTGCTGCGCTCTGGTTGTAGTTCGGTTGTAGTCCAGCTTCTACATTATAGGCTATAAGTTGAGATTAACCAGAGGTTAGTTAGATTATGATACTATCTTGATCATTGTTTTTTTTACTTACATTCGCTTTTGCCCTTTGCGGAATCACCTTCTACCATTCTATAGTTCAGGGGTTTGTTGGCTTCTTGTGCGCGTAGCAAAAAAGAAATTGGGATTACTTGTCGGGGTTTTTTTTTTTAGTTGGCTTTTTGCTCTAAGCTCTGCTTAGATGGGTACAGTTGTGTCTGCCTCGCTTAGCGGTCTGCAATGGGAGAAAGAGAAAGAGAGAGTTCGAGTGTTATCGATTTGTTAACCATCGATCGATCGATCGATCGTTTCAACATAGGGGGAAGTGGGTTAATTTAACGCAATTGGGCGGCAATTGAGCAGAATGAATGAACGATCTGCTCGACGCGCACAAAACAACATCGTAATTGATTAATAAAAAATTATGCCCGAAATAGTCGCGAGCACAGAAATTAACCGAAAGTGCCGAAGGCGTGAAAAAACCCCCATTTGGGTCGACATTTTTATTAATATATAATTGGAGAGCTAAATTCGTTCACTATTTGAATGTCATTGGTGAAGCAAGGGTAGGGGGGGGACTACAAATAATAAATATTACGAAAACATTTAGGCATTACAAAACGGGAAGAGACACTTTTGTAGGGGTATATGGTTAACCCATTTATCCTACGCTCTAGTTAAGCCCCATTAAGCCCGGCTCAATGAAGCGTTTGTGGATCATAAAGTCTGTTAATCAGTTAACGACATTCAATAATATCATTTTATTGATATAAAACAAAAAGAAGAAAGCATCTGTTAACTAAGAGATTTCCTATTTTCTTTTGCTTTCCCTAACAATTTCAAATTCGAATCATGATTTATCGCTGCAATCTTTCACTTTTTTCATTAGACAGGAGCAGCAACAATTTCAAATGTGCTTCAGAATCAAATTCGCATCGTATTCGCATTCTCAGTCACATTGAACCTGAACCTGAACCTGCCGTACGCATGTGCAATGAAGGAGAACAGGAACCAAAAGCGCAACGGCAACTACACGGGGAGAAAAATATGGTTTATAATCAACTATATATGAAACTGAAATCTAAACAGTTAATGTTATATTTTCATTAACCCTTCTATCAAGATCAATATCTCTCATTGATATAAAACTCGCATCCCATTTGATGTTTGTGTAGAAGCAACATTCACGGCACTCAGCTGTCGGTCACTCGTGGATGACTGCGTTCCGTTCCGCACTCTCTAACTAACTCTTTTAAAAAACGATAATCGCCAGCAATTAGCCATATTTTAATAATGAATATATGCTGATTTATGCCCTGGACGATGAGTTAACGCCTACGCTTCCGCAAGCCAGTGCTACATGGCCCTTCACCTGGCCTTCGTACCAGTCCCAGTTCCACTCCCGTTCGTATTCCCATTCCCATTTCCATTACATTTCCTCAAACGATGCTACATGCCGCATTAAAAGTACAGTCGCACTTCGCCATTGAAGGAATGCAATACATTTAAATGGAGTTTTCAGTCGTAAAGTTTTGCTCTCATAAAATTTCAAGTTGAACCATGAATATTGGTAGAACGTCTCTCGGTTAAAAAGTTCTAACCATAGAAGTACGACTGTATAAATCGGCTATGCTACGAATTAGCTTCATTAAAAAAAACGCACTCGTTTCCAGTTTTGCTGTTTAGCAAGTCGCATTATAATGATTGTCTTTTTCAAGCGCAATTAAAGCAGCGCAACTGGAAAAACTGCGTGTGAATGGAATACCCCGGACTTGGACTTGGCTTGGTCCCAGCTTTATACTCGTAGCCTCAATGTCATTCGATACAGAGGCATGTGTTGGATGCCCAAGGGAAGGGGATTAGAATTGGGATGGGGATTGGATGGTGGACCGTTTATGGTGTACGGGTGTAGTTTTTTGCGCCTTTGCATATTTGAAATTAATTAGCACATAAAAATGAGACCCGGCTCTAGACTTTGGGGCATTCAGCCTCAGCCAGGTGATACGAGTTCGAGTATAGTGCCTTTCGAAGTCTGAATGAACCCATAAAACTTCAGATTTAAACAAAACATTTGTGAGAATTTCGCCACTCAATTGATTACCAAACTAGTGCGAAAAATGACTCACATAAAAATTGTTTAGATTCTCTCCAAAATGAGGAAATGTAAGCGAAAAATCTTACGCGCTCTGCTTGTATCTTAGACTGTAGCTTCTTGATTTTTAGGAAGTTTTTATGCATCACTTTCAGACCTTCATTTAACTATATAATTTATGATTTGTCTTCATTTCTAGTATAGCATATTAGTTTGCAAATTTACTGTTGTTTTTGATGATTAGAATGACATTACCTGTTGGCTGTTTTTTATTTTTTGTGTTTTTACTCGTTTTGGGCTTGGAGATCTTTGGGTTTGTTGTTTGCACCTGTATTTCGGGGCTTATTGTTTGGCAATTACTTTTTTTTGTTGAAAAATAAAATATGTGTTTTTTTGTGTTTTTTGGTACTGTTAAATATTTGTTTTTACTGCGCGAGTACGCCCTGTATTTTTGCACTTGTTTGGTATTTGTTTATTTATAAACTTGTTGGTTGTGGTTTAAATTTTCGAAAATTGCTCGTCAGCTCAAAGTGGACTGTTTGTGTTTCTGCTTGTAGTGGATCTTGGCGTTGCTCAAGCGCGTAGTTCTCAATGAGTTTAGGCAAATGTTGCAAGCTGGCGAAAACATTAAAACCGTTGGCTGGCACACAGTGGGCGACTGGCAAAGGGCATCGAAATTGATTTAATAAACCGGAAAAAAATTTGGCTCTTCCTTATTTTTTTGTTGTTGTTGTTTCGGATGCTTTATGTTACGAGCGGTACTTTAAGCGGTCTCTCGATCAACGTTCGTGCACTTCAAGCGGTGGAAAGTATCTGAGCGGTGTTCGACGTCCGCTTAAATACACAGAAATCGCATCCGGGGAACGGTTGGCAGTGAAACGCGGCTTATCAGCCGCTCAGTAATAGCCGCACCACCCCCTTTTACCGTTTTCGCTTAACGCCTGCCGTCGTTCTGATTCCAAACATTCCGAACACCATCAAGCGTGCGCGCGCGCTCACTAATTGAAATTCAAATTGCGATCAACGCCAAGCGCGATCAGCAATTGCAAATCAATTAAATGATAACACCAAGAAGAAGAAAGCAAATCAAAACAAGAACTGATGGCCGGGGAGTGGCCCCGATTCGATTGAATGCTTCTAAAGATGAGGTCAAAAGGGGAAGCAATCTTACTTATTATTATTATACATAGGTGCCAGCTTCTAAGACAGGAAGTACTGATCATCAATACTATCTATGAGCAGAGTTAATATATATAAATAGATAAATCGATTACTAGTTTGGACCATGGCCAAAAATTAGCTGAAAATTGAAAATGTCTATGACCTCGAATATTATTGAGTTGTCACCAAATGGGAAAACAACATATTTCCCTCTTTTTTAACAAAAATTTTCAAAAACAAAAACATATTAGATAAAAAATATGTTGCCTAGTTTAAAATCAATCAATATTAATTTTCTGATATGTTCAAAAGAATCATGACATTACCTATAATTCGTAAAACTTAAGGATAATTAATGATACGTTTAGGGAAATCCAAAATCGTGACCGGCTCGTGATCTACCTTGATCCCCCCCAAAAAAAAAACGAAAACAATTCGGGTGAGTCAAGTTCAGTACGTTATGATCAACGATCGCATAACGATTTCAGATGGCTAAAACTGAAACGTAACTGGCCGATCGGGTGACAAACCCGATGAGAATTCAAAAATTCAACTTCGGATCCCTTTCTGCGAACAATTAACGGCAACAGGCATCGGTTTAAGTGATCAAAAGAATTATACTTGAGACTTAATAGCGGCATTATCATTATTGTTGATATTGTTACATATAGCGATCGTATATATGGATTATATATATATTTATATATATATATTGTTGTCATGGCGATTACTGATACTACCTACTCGATTGCAGCGAGCAATGATCGTGTAAGCTGGCCATGTGACTTGCGAGCCTTAAAAATAAATCAATAAATAAAAATATTAAGAAATAAATGAATTTAACGGGCTGAACTGATCTATTAGCGTTGCTAAATTAGTTAGCAATTAGAGAAGTTCATTTATCATTATATAATGCCATAAAGTCGATCATCGCTGTCTAATTGCTTAATTGTTAGCCGCATTCTGGTGGGAGTTTTTCGCTCAGTGAGTCATTTTTTTTTTTTTTTTTTTGGCTTGTTTATGCGGACTACAAGAACGAGAACAAAGGCAATGGTCTCTACTTTCCAAGAACCAAGACAACGACGTGACTCTCTCCCGAGTTACTATAAATGCAGATTAAGGCCTTGCATAATATGACTTTTGATTAGTTCAGTCGTAGTTGTCGTAACTTGACGCTAATTTCTGGTTGTTGCCAAATTATCGCACCTCTGACCCATAGAAGAGCCGACGCATACAAAAGATTGGATGCGAGTGGGGTGCGGTACGTGTTCTTTGTTCGGTTCTCGTTTTCGCTTAATATTTACTTTTTCACCGTTTGTTTAAGCCGCCCACAATTAATTTAATTAGACATTGTTGTCACGAAACGAACACGGCTAATTGAAAATTATGCTAGATGAGGGACAGTTTGATTATTCTCTCTCGTAACAACAATCACATATAATAGTAACATATATATAGAATTCGAATGAATACAATCGTTACGTTAAGGAACCAATGGCTGGGCTCTAGACTAAGGATTGTCGACCTCGCTAAGTTCAATTTGGGGCGTATGTAGCCATGGCTGAGTTTAATCAACAAACAATAACAGATGGTCGGTCCTATCTATATACTTCATTTCCTACATATACTAGAGTATACTATATTCTATATGCACATTTATCTGTTTATATATGCATATTCAGGCTGAATTTTAATCAAACTGCGTGTGCTCGAAACTCGTTCGAATCGGTTTTTTATTTCCCCCGCCGCAATAGAGAGAGTATCTTTCCACCACATCTTCATCTTCAATTTGTGCTGCTCTTGCGATCGCTGCACAAACATTTCAATTAATTGACCACTTTCAATTGAAGACAATGTGTGCGAAACGAAAACAAGAGTCGTCGAGAGAGCGTCTAAATATTGAATAGAGGAGGAATGGGCATTACGAGGAATTCAATATTCCTCTATCTTTATCTCTATCTCTATTTGTATCTGTTAAGCAA